GCTATGAAAATACTTTTCTTTATGAACAATGTAACGACACCGTATACGTAGGTAATATAATTTCAAAGCCATAACTGCTTCGACTCTTAGTTTCGTAAAACACAACTAAACGCCACAGGAATTTTCTATTACGTCGGAAAACACAATTTTGTAAGATAAACGATCACAATGTATACAGCCCAAACACCAGAAAATGTCTCTCCAAGAAAACAAACTGTAAAGATACATTAGGCACCTAACAGCTAAGTAGTATAAATTATAATAACTCTTTTGGAAAAGAAATTTTAATTCTTCCTTTTTTTTCATAAAATCCCGCTAATTCCCTAGTCACCGAGTATAGAAAAATTTTTCTAACATTAATCAAGTTATCATACCTTGTATTATCAGAAATTATTAAGACACAGTTCAAAACATTTAGACTCAATTCTATTTAGAAATCTGGTTTGTTTTCTAAATAACTCTAAAAACATAAAAAGGAAAAACGTCTTTCTCCATTTATTTATTCTTTATTAGCCACATTACAAAAAAAATATTTTGTTACTTGCCTTATATTTACTTAACTAACCTTCTGCGGCACGGATATCGTCGTATCGACCCCAGCACAAAAAATATCTACCATGCTGACGTAAGAGCATTTATTACTTCCTTTCCCGTAGGTGTCGTAAGAGATGGCTAAGGAAGGGCGAAGGATGGGCAGCAATGTCGCTCTTAAAACATCTCCAAAGCCTAACTGCGGATGTCAGTCCGCCTGCAAGCGTGGCAACTACTGACAAAACCCCTCCTAGGGAAAGACTTTGTACAAAAGTCGTTTGCTTGGGTACCTCAGTCCCATTCGTGTTTCAACCGTAAAGCGGTTGTGTTTGCATGGCTGTATTTCGGTTTGAAGAGTGGGATATAGCAGTGAATTTACAGGTTACATAGACATAACACCTTAGTACTCAGGAATGGCAACGCATGGGGGGTATCATGGGAGAAACAGTATACTCGGTTATATACATAGTACTGTTCATGTCTATAGACGACGGTTAGCACTTTCCATCAGGTAAAAAGTCAGCTTGCTTGTCATTCTAAATTGCATAAAAAAAACATGATTTAGCAGAGGAGAAGGGATTGTTAGTAATGAGAACTATCGGCCCCATTGTTAGTAATATACCTTATCAGGTGGACCTCCACATGGTTCCACCTGGAAACCATAGTGTACCCCTCTTATGAAATTCGTCACGATGGATTGACTGACCTGCTCATTCTCGTCTACCGTTTGCGTATACCAATAGAACAAGCGGGGATACCAAGCCATTTATATTTCATTAAAAAAATCCTAAGTTTAATGATTCTTTATAAACATAAGCGTCAGTTTCGAGACGCAATTTGTCTAAACTGATCTCTAAAATTAAAATATTATTTGATACAGCGAAATTATTATTATAAGGAGCAATATAAACTAATTTTTTAATATATTTAATCGAAAATTATTATAATTTAAGCTTATATAGTCTACAATTAGCAAAATTAAATTACAATTCTAAGTTAAGAGAGTTTAGAGAAATAGCGCCTCAGAATCGGCTCAAATCTGTTGCTAAGTGCCAGCAAATAAAGACACAGTATATAATTATTGTATATGTATACTAAGATCATCTACAATATGCCATAAAAAGGGTAGTATAACACGATTTTGACTCATGTAGTTTATGAGTCATGAATCATAGATATGCCCGACTGACAAAATCACCGCTGCCTTACACAAGGCCGCTCCCATGTAACGCTATCTTGTAACATTATATTCAATCTTATGGATACAGAGCAAATAATAATCTTAGTCTTAGAGAAAGTAAATTACCAAACCCAAAGCTTCTAAAAGGAAGGATTCTCGTTTACTAATTAAGTAACGAACATCCTTTAATCTTAACAAATATAGGGTCGACCTTGAAACACTATTCACTAAAACTATCTCTTAGTATAATGAAATTATTTAATATAAAATGTAAAAAATTTAAATTAAATATGCTCATTACTATAATCCTTAATTAGTGTTATTGGAGTAGTCAGTGACATTTGTTGACTGCTCACTTGCCATATTTCGCTAAATAGGTACATATATAATATTAAGATCCACCGTGACAGGGGACGAACCCACCACCACCACTTGGATTAATTTGGTGTGTTGTCGGTGTTTATCATCAGACTAGTTGATTTTATTGATCATATTTGAACTCGAAACCGAAATACCCCAGTGCTAGTTCTTGTTATTCAGTGCTAGAGGTTCATCATTACAGGGTTATTAAGCTATTTAGGGTGAATAAAACAATACATTCATTAAATCTCACTTTCCATCAGATGGGTTATCAGCTTATACCTATGCTATTTCCAATTGCGAAGAAAAAACTAATGAAGTAAAATTTTTAGACCAGGTCATCATCAGTATCACCTTAATCCTCGCTTACAAAGGGAAGATATATTTATTTATTTATATATTTATTAAACATGAATACGCCTAGAAAGTGTAAATAACGGATTTACCGCCGTATGGCATTATCTACCAGCCAACTGTAGACAGGAAATAAAAGAAAATGTAATAGATGGTGCAACGTGATGAACAATATTAAATTAAAACAGTAATTTAAAAATAATATACATATCATAATTTATACGTTATTTATTATTAGCAACTGAATAAACTTCTACGTAATATGTTATCTCTAATTAATATATAAAGCCTTTTTTGTATGTTTGTAAAATTTATAGCAATTGATTACACCGCAAAAGGGTATGACGTAATTTGTAGGTATAAATATTTAAAGGGATTTTAGTATCCATACATTAGGGAAATTGACTAATTATTGCTTACCTACTATAATTTCCAACTTCACTTATATCTAATTCAGGAACGGTGTTCGGCGGGGGTTAAAATTTTCAGATGATTAGATTCAAGACATACGAGTTTTGGGGAATAAGGGTGGAGTAGGTAGGAAAAGTACTTTATCTGTTCCTGCTAAATATAGCGCAACATTAGATCTATTTTATACCTAAACGACTATAATTTGTGTACTATTCAACTGTAATTAGTAATAATTATCTTACTGGAAGGAAGAGAATATAAGTCGCGTGGAGGCGGATCTGATAAGGTCCGCCTCCACACGATATTCTCTTTAGAAACCATCATAATCAATTCTAGATGATTTCGTCACTATGTGCCAATTGAATTACTATTATTCTCACTGGTAATTAAATAACATATGCTAATAGTGAAGGTCATTCCATTTTCATCCCTAAAAAAAAATATTATCCCACTAGGTATATTCACGTCAAATCAATGTGAAACGTTGTGCTTGTTACTCAATCATATTTAAACTGAATGGCGTAAACGGAAATTTCTTAAACATACATGTCCCAGATTAATTTAGGCAAGAGTTTTATACTATCAAAGGTGCTTAGCGATGGAGATGTAAGTAATACAAAGGTAGGACAGATAAATAATAATCTAAAAACAGCATTTAAAAAAACCTACGCTCTCACAAACCTATATATAGCAAACACCTAGGTACTTCTAATATTTGCCTGATACTTGCCAAAAGGCGTTACACGACTAGGTATAAAATGTACTCTGTCCTTAAATCTCAAAATAGTTCCTAAGGATATCGACTTTCATATCATTAAAAAAAAACCTCTTAAAACAGAAATCAGAATTAAAGATGTTATAGCCTATTTTAAGTACCTATACTTAATATACTTAAATGTATTAAAATAGATTTTATGTCGGAATAAACCCTTGAAAATAGCTCTATAAAGTACAAAACCTTTGGTCGTGTGGTCCCGATATGGAATAGGCCACCACTTCTTTTTCCATGCTATTGTCAGAGGAGGCCACTAAGGAAACGTAAAGGTCGAGAGATTGGCAGCAGCATCCCTCTTAAGACATCTCTAAATGCCTAACAGCGGTTGCCAACCCGCCTGCTAAGCGTGGCAACTACTGGCAAAACTCTCTTTATAAGGAAGGCTTATGTTCAGTAGTGGATAGCTAATATGATGATTGTACTACTTTAGTATAACAATAATCCGTATTCATCCAGAATACAGCTATTTCATATTCTACAATTTATTTCACAGAATAAGGAAACACTAATATATTTTTATGTATACACGTTAGTATTTAGTCGTTTATTTATGGCACTACTACATTCGGGCTCCAGTCGATTGCCTGTGCGTTACCGTCTCTATATATGTAGTTTGAGGATTGCCTGAACGTTTCGTTGATAACGTTGCGGCTGTCGTCAGCAAACCACTTATCTAAATTGAATCAGTTGCTTCTAGCGCGATGTTTTGCTTTTCTTTTTGCGGCTTAGTCCTTTTTATAGAGTAGATATTACAGGAAAGTTCTTTATGTTCGCTCTTTAATTAATAAGCAACAAGACTAGTTTTTGGAACAAATTATTTTAAACGAATTTGTTCGTGGATAAAATTTACGTTAAAAATATCTAAATACTGAAATATCTACTTATGCAAAATGAGCTACTGATCTGTACTAGCTGATACCAGTCAATTAAACAAAGCATCTATAAGGGAAAGTATGTAGGTGTAATATATATATATTAAGCAAAACTAATTAGTAAAGGAAGGGATAAAAAATGCCCACATAGTACTAGAAACTTATTGTGGCTTTCCTCGTAGCCTAAAGTTCTGACAGCTCAAATTCATAAGCTTAGATGTAGCAAATAAAAGCTGGCTCTTATTGCCAGGATTAAATTACTCGAAAACCCTGATTAAGTTTTCAGAAAATTACATGTTTGATATTTTTATTTTTGTAGTAAATTTTATTTTCATACTAATCTCGATAATACAGCGATGGAATTTGTAATATATTTATCAGATCGTAATCTATGTAATAAATCTCTAAAATTATTGTGCATTTACAGATTTGTAATAAATATTCCTTATAAAATCGTCCCTAGAAGGATTATTATTATACTAGGTTATTATACTAGGTGATCAATAAAAAAATAATATCTACTAATATAACGTTTTATTTTTTATAAATAATAATCATTAAATTATAAGCATTCATTATATAGCACGATACATTATTGTACATTAACATTGTAAGCATTTTGCACGAATTATAATGTCTAAGCAACTGAACAAATATACTGAAATAAATAACTTCATGATTTATACAACTCTGCTTAGTTACATAGTCTTTCAATTTTAAGAGTATTTTTCAGATCAATCATATGTTAAAAATATCAGTTACAAGACCAGCTGCTATTGTGACACCTGAAACACGCAACATTACCCGTCCCAGCTCTTTGACATCTTTGTACCGCTCAATACAGATTGGTCTACTAACTTCAATATCTACAACTGCCACAGAATTGTTTCCTAAACAACGAGGCTTCTTTTTCATGGTCTCCCCATTACTTTTATTCAATAGTGCTTTCAATTTTACTATATTTGCAGACTCTACTAATGACTGATGGTGTATTAACACAGGATAACCTTTAGTAATGGGGACTTTAACATTAAAAACAACAATTCTAGCTTCAAATCTAGTAGTGACTGGCACTTGTTGGACAGGATCACTCAATATATACCCAACAGATACATTTTGCATGTCCACACCAGACAATGTAACACTCACTTGGTCTCCAGCAAAAGCAACATTACTTGTCATGTCATTTATACTTATACTTCGAACCTCGGCCAACTCTTTAGTTGGACACAACAAAACTTTATCACCCTTGTTAAGTACACCATTTTCAATCCGTCCTGATACACAAAATCCAGACCCAGTGCCTTTAAAAACATCATTTATTGAGAAACGCAATGGCTTAGAGACAGGCCTCTCAGGTACTTTAAACTTATCAATAATGTCTAAAAGGCAAGGTCCACTGTACCATTTCAATAACTCTGGCTCTGTTGGTGAGTTTACAAGATTCTCACCTGTCAAGCCTGAACAAGGTACATAAGTGACATCTGATTCTTTAAAACCTGCTTGCTTTAAAAAAGCTTTCAATTTCTTTGTGATCTCATTAAATCTCTCCTGAGACCAAGTTGTTGTATCTAATTTGTTAACAGCCACTGCTAGCTGACTAACTCCAAGAGACCGAACAAGAAGAGCATGTTCCCGTGTCTGACCACCAAGGTCGAATCCTGATTCAAATTCTCCCCTTGTCGCATCCACAACTAATAAAGCAACATCAGCTTGCCCAGCTCCTGTTATCATATTTGGAATGAAGTCAGCATGTCCAGGGGCATCCAGAATGATGACTTTCTTAGTTTTAGTCTCAAACTGAGCGTGACCAACATCCATAGTAATTCCTCGCACTCTCTCTTCTCCAGTTTCATCTAATACCCATGCATACATAAAGCTTTGTTTACCAATTTTTTTACTCTCCTGCTCATACTTGTGTAGAGTTCTTTGACTGACTTCACCCAAATCACAGAGCAAACGACCCATTAGAGTTGATTTACCAGCATCAACATGACCAATAACCACTATATACAGATGATCCTTGTCTGAACCTCTTTCATCTGAATATTGCTTATTGGGATCAATTTTATTGTCTTTTGTTTTAGTTAATACCTTTTCTTCAGGCTGATCAAACTTTGGTGTTGACACTCTATCAGTAGCTGGTGACTGCTCTCTGGGTGTTTGTGGATGACTACTTGATCCTGCATCAGTGGCTAATGTCACTTTAAATCCTTTAATTACAGCATTACTCTTAGGCTCAGAAATAGATGCTACTACCTTCGGAGTTGACTCTATTATTGATATAACAGGAGCTTTGACTGAATTGATTAGAACGCGAGATTTAACTTGCTCAACTTTCGGCACCTCAGATACTTTATTCATACTATTACTTAAAACTTCATCTAAAGCTTTATTGTAATCAAAATTATGGTTAAGCACACTTTGTATCAATATATTTTCTGATATTGTATCACCTAATATATTACGCATTTCATCCAGGCAAGACATAAGCTTTGTTTCTTGTTCTTCGTCAAGATTTAAACGGCGAAGGTCTACAGACTCACGTCGTTCCAAACTGGAATGTGACGCATCTGGCACCTCGTCTTCGATCTCTTCCTGGATATTATGGTGACTATCTAAAAAATGAGAAATCGCTTGCTGATTTCGTGACCGGTCGTATATCCACTGATCCGTCTCACTTGGTGATAAACAGCTCTCATCTTCAACAGAATGTCCATAAACATCATCGTAGTCATAGTCGTCAGAATAACTTCTATTCCTTACATTACGATGGCGTGCCATTTTTAATTTCACTGAAAATCCCAATATTTAGGATAAGACCATATTGCAAAATTTTTGAACTCGTGGTGTAACATGAAAATAAATTTTACACGTTTTCTTTCCAAAATTTGCGTCTTTTGCGCCTTTGACAAATTTGACAATGACAAAATGACATTTGATTTGATGATATTACAAACAAGGTGCCTATGAATAGGTGTTTAGGAAGTACTGTTTTTAATCTATGAAAACATTTAAATTAAACGCAATGCGTACGTTACCTACTTTAAATGTTCCTACCTGATGCAAAAAAATATTGGATAAGTTGTTATTAGCCCTACTCATATACGATACTCATAGTTTAATCGTTAATATGAAAGGTATTTTTTTTTGTTTTCCGACCCTCGTTTCCATCGAAAATTTCTTAATGTTGATATTTACAATTTTATTACAATAAGAACAGTAGGTTAGATTTGATTTTATTTTAACAAAATTACATAGATCAAGAAAATTTACAAGTAGGTAAGTAAACGTCTACCTTTTACTTACACAGTTTATAGTTCACGTTTGACAACTTTGACAGTTTGATTTTGTTTTGTCAACTTTTGTCTATCATTGTGTCATTTTTATTGTCGAAATCTTCATTTACGCCTACAATTTTTAAATTAATAATAAACATCGAATTCAATTACATAAAACAAATTTATTCAATACAACAGACATATTTCGTGTTCTAGAATAAATACTATCAACTGGGATTCATTATTATTAAGCTTATCGTTTACAGGTTTATAAAGTTGATCCAGCTCGTAACACTGTTAACATGAAGAAAAAGGTAGGTCCCCAACAGATAAAAGAGAAGTCTTGCATATGATATTTTAAAAAAAGATAAAACATTTTCTAGGTATATGTCTATTTATATAAAGTCAAATCCGTGTGTAAATTCTTATCTACAGGTACTTTTGATGGGCAAAAGTGGTTCAGGAAAGACAAGTATGAGATCCATCATATTTGCCAATTATATAGCAAGAGACACAAGACGATTAGGAGCAACAAGTAAGTAATGTATTACCACTATTATAAATTACATATACTATAGATATTAGGCATGACAAATACTTGTAGGTATTTATTGCTGACATTTTAACCTTAGTAATTACACTTTTAACAAGTCAGTTTTTTCAGCTTTATAAAAATCAATTGAAATGTAAGTTTTATCCAATTTGTCATGAAAAATTAATTTCTTTAGTAATGGCTTACCCCATTATTAAAGTTGCCATATGTTTCTATTTCGTTTCATTGTAAAAAAGTAAATAGATTAACTAAGATGTGGATAGACCTTATTGCACTACATAACTATTAAAAAAATGTACTTATAAACCAAGTACCAAAAACTTGCATAACTGTATTTCGGTTAAAAAATTGACATGATAGTACTAAAATTATGCTATATATTTATAACAACTTAATTTTCAGCATTAGCAATGCATGAGAACTAAGCATACATTATCCATGGATGCATTGCTGCATATGATATCCATAGTGCTGTTCAGGTCTATAGCATTTTCCATCAGTTGGTTTACCATTCAAATCAATCCAAATTAGAAATAAATTTTAACAATTCACATATTACTAAATTGATGACCTGTGGTTACAGTTGATGTGGAGCACTCGCATGTCCGCTTCCTTGGAAACCTGGTACTCAACCTATGGGACTGTGGCGGCCAGGAAGCATTCATGGAAAACTACTTTGCATCACAACGAGACAATATATTTAGAAATGTAGAAGTGTTAATTTATGTATTTGATGTTGAGAGTCGAGAAATGGAGAAAGATATGCATTATTATCAGTCTTGCCTGGAAGCTATATTACAGGTAACATTCTGACACTAATTTAAGTATTAAAGTAGCAAATTGTTTCAATAAAATAAATTACTCTATTTATTTAACACTATTGCACCAATATTAGCATATTTGCATATGAAAAATGCTTGAATGTAGCAAGCATTTTTCATATATAATATATACACTTTTGGAACACATTATATATATTTGTTTATAAACAAATATATATAATGTGTTCCAAAAGTGTAACTGTTTGAATTCAGACCCATTTTATTTAGATAAAAATTCCAGATTTTGATAAATTGCCTTATTTAAAACTAAATATACTCAATAATATTTATCTATATAACATACAGTGGATTTCGAGTATAACAACAATGAAGGAACCACTCTATTTTCGTCATTATATCAGAAAGTTGTTACAAGCAAAAGTAAAGAGATACAGACACACACATGTATAGTATTTTCTTCGCACAAATCAGCATTGTTTTCACCATTTTCAATTTTGAAATGATTTCCGCCTTTTCTTTAACAGTGAAATAAATTCATCTCCAAAATGTAGACGCTTTCCTACCTATTTAGCTGATATTTATAAACAATAGGTAAAGGTCTCTATACTTGCTGACCATCTGTGTGGATGTAAACAAAAGGTTAGAAATGTTTGTGAAAGAAAGAAATCTTGGTGTCTCTTTAGCGGCCAACTTCGGTCGCAATATCTGCATGGGATTTCTAGGAATTTATAGCAAATTAGTCATTAAAAACAATCGCTACACCCGAACTCGGCATTACATCCAAACTCACTATAGCCACATGAATTTTGTACTAAAGTATGTTTTAAATTCAAGGGACTTAGATTTAACGTCGCTATAGGCAAATGGTTGCTACAACCAAGATCGTAATAATCCACTGTATATACTTTACAATTACGATTCATTATTTTACATTGTATTTTACATATTATAACATTGCTAATTTCAGAATTCTCCTGAAGCCCGAATATTCTGTTTAGTGCACAAAATGGATCTCGTATCAGAAGAGCAGCGTGATGAAATATTCAGAGCGAGGGAGGAAGATTTGAAGGGTCTCTCAAAACCTTTAGAATGTACATGTTTTAGAACAAGCATATGGGATGAAACTCTTTATAAGTAAGTGAAATAATCAATTTACATATTCATTATTATTTTAATAAATACCTTTGATTTTATTTATATTCTATATACATTACTAACAATGTGACCTAATGATAGCCTATAATTGCATAAATATCAATTTAGTTCATTACTCACAAATCAAATATTAGAATCATTTCAAGGAAGGAATCCATTATTGTCTGTTAGTTATGAATCATAAACCGTAAGTAGTAAACCAGACAATTGTATTACTCTCTTTGTATCTGCTCACATACTATTAGGAGGTCAAGATGTAATCTGTTGTTTAATGAACTGTTTGTTATATATTTACCAAAAATTTATAAGTTTTATAAAGGTTAATGTACATTATAATTATACACATTAAATATTTTTTTCTGTAAATAATAATCCTAATGACAATGAAAGGATTGTGAGATATATAAGTTATTTAAAATGAATATTCAACTATTATGAAATTTTAGTTTTTTTTTTGTGTCTGAAATTATGTATGATTTTACAAAAAAGCATTAAATTGAATATTAGAAGTATTGTAGTAATAATAATAAATATAATATATTTTTTTATTAACAATTTCAATTTTTTTTTTTTCATTCTAGTATTTACGTTAATCACTAGAACAAAAGTTATTAACGGAGTAATAACATTTTATTTTTTCAATAAAATATAGATAGGCATTCCTATGTTAACACTATCTGTCTCTTTGTAAATAAATTATTACATGATAATATTTCCTTGCAGGGCATGGTCTAGCATAGTCTATAAATTAATACCTAATGTTAAGGCTCTTGAGTCATCACTGAAGCAGTTTGCGGCGATAGTGGATGCAGATGAAGTAAGAAACAATATCACATTATGTTTTAATAAGAATTTATTATAATTATCTATTTTTATTCCAAATCCCTTATTTTGTAAACAATAAGAACCGATATCAGAAGTTCTTATAACTTTTACTTTATATCTGAACTTCCATAGCTTATTTATTTATTTACATGAAAATTTGTCCTGTCTATGATATAATATAAAAACTTAGTTTTCAAAATGGCCAAATGGGTGATATAACAATTTACCAATAGAATTGAAAGTTTATAAAGATGTTTTCATACAGCTTACATCTACCCGTTTTTCTACCCTCGATTCTCTAGAATTGGACAATCGAGAACCTCCTCCTTTCTGGTTTTGGTTAAAGTGTAAGTGTGCTCGGTAGCGTGTTATAAGTGAATTATATGCACAGGTACTATTGTTCGAGCGCGCGACGTTCCTAGTTGTGTCGCACTGCCAACGGCGGCCGCACAGAGACGCGCACCGCTTCGAGAAAGTCTCCAATATCGTCAAGCAATTCAAACTCTCTTGCTCTAAGCTCGCCGCGCAATTCCAGAGCATGGAGGTTAGTTTACCAGTCTCGATATAAATGAGAATACATATTATATACAAGTAATAAACTGCACAGCCGATTTTAATTAAATTTTATAAATGCGTATTTTTTGCACCGATTTAAGAAATAGTTTTAATCCTATTATATATTAGTTAAAACTTAGTTGGCGATACGGGCAAAACATTAGCTTAACCTATTACTATTTACCTAAAATTGTGTCAATCCCGATCTATTATATTAAATCCCGATCGTGAATTGAAAATATTTTTGCGTATAAAAAATTACATTGTAAGCATATAGGGGCTGTATTTTATTTATCTTACCTATCTTCCTATGTATTTTACCTAAATGCATTGTATTGTATATGTATTTCTCATGCGAAGCCGAATCAGATCGCTATTTACTACAATTAAGACTGTAAAAAAATTATACCCTTTAAAATTAAATCATTCAGAGAACACTTATTAGCTCTTATCATTGTTTATAGGTCCGCAACAGTGTATTCGCAGCATTCATAGACGGATTTACAAGCAACACATATGTTATGGTCGAGATGTCCGATCCAAAAATACCTTCTGAGGCTACACTCATCAACATCAGGAACGCGCGCAAACACTTTGAAAAACTCGAGAAAGTTTCATCGTGCGCTCCCAGCCACTACCAATGAATGGAAAACGCGGTAATAGTATGTACTGTAGCAAATTTTTACAAAATAATGTGCTAAGCACCGGAGGATTGTTTGCAAAGCAAGAATAGCTTAAACACTACCCCCTATTCATATAAACTAAAACCTATTTTAACTATTCGTGTTTTGTCACTTGCATATTATTAAGAATTTTACCTCAAATGAAAAAGACAAAACAGTTAAAAAGCCACAATAGATATTGAAGTTATTATGAATAATGGGGTAAATGAATACTGATTACATTTGAATTATGCATTAAACCTCTAATTTATATAAAAAAAATATATTTAGTTGTTAATGAATGTGTAAAATAATTGTTTTGTTAATTAATGTCAAATTAGTCATATATGGGATTTTTTGTAAGGGAGATAGTGTTATAAAGGTACTCTGTTTTTAATAGTTAGCCTTGGATGCTGGCAACATTTGATTTACCTGATAATATAATTTTCTAAATAATAATATTTGTGACATACGAAAGTTATCTAGTTGAATTATATATTGATTGTGTAGAACAAATATTATAAATCTATCTTTGAAAAGATGGGATTTAATTTATTGGTCCATTCTGAAATTTACAAAAGGGATTTTTGAATAATAAGTTAATAAGAACCTTAATATTTCACAACTAACTCACTTTTTACTCAATCATAATTGTTTGTTTTTTTTTTATGGGTGATAATGGAATGGTAACCCCACCCGCGCTATCGGTATACACCGGCGGGGCACCAGTGAAGGATGATAGGTGAGGATGAACTAGGTCAGTTAGCCCATCGTGACGAATTAAATAAGAATTGTTCACGACGGTTTCCAGGGGGAACCACGTGGAGGTCGACCTAATAGGGTCGACCTATATTGCTAACAATAGGGCTATCAATCTTCATTGCTAACAATCCTTTTCCCCCCAATTGTTTGTGTTGGTACCAGCAATCAGCCTGCGTCCTATTCATCAGCTTGCCTAACATTTTTATTCCCGCAAATTTTGTACGAATATATAAAGTTCAACACAAACTACTCAGTATGTTCTTGATTTTGCCCTTAAATAGTCTATTTTCTTGCAGCAAATGGTGTAATTATTTCATTCTATTTTTCTAATGTAACAAAATAATATCAAAGAGTTTTTTATAAACTTAGAATAAACCCGGTAACTATAATTATGTATCCATAACACCCCTGGTGTTAAGAATGGACCATACCCTAAATTGACTTTTTCTTCTGTAATTTATCTTTGTAATACTTCTCTTTCATAATTTCTCTATTTTGGCTAGTGCAATGTGACCTAATAAACTATATACACATATGGATCTATTTAAACAGTCAAAATCATTACCTAACTTACAAGTTGACATAAAGAAAATTAATAACTTTATGAAATAAAAGTTTTTCATTTGTCCTAAAATTATATTTTCAATCGACTTTAAAAAGATGGCGGTTCTCAATTCGGTTGCATTGTTTTTATGTTTGTTACCTCATAATTCCGTCTCTCCGTTGTAAAAATGATTTGAAAAACTCTTTATCTGAAAGGTATTAGGTAGTTTAGATTTTAAAACTAAATACCTGACGGTTTTGTTGTGGAACACAATTTTAAATTATTATTAATGTATGAACCGTAGTACAATGTAACTACGTATAGTTTGGTTAATACGCGACTATCCAAATTCACATGTACCTACTCAGCTTGAATAGCTTAGAAGATTTTTTACAAGAGTAAAACTTATTAAAACCAAAATAAACATTACATCATATAATGATATTTTTATTCATATATACATGCAGAGAATTTAATTACCTAATTGATTCGAACTTTAACATGTTTTGCTTCCAAAGTTCATAACTACGCTGTCGATTGATAAAGAATTCAAGTTAGAGTAAGGAACGCGATAAGATAAATGTGATAAATAAGGGGGCAATTGTAAGATTTGTGTAGTCAAGTATTGAACATTGAACTTTGTCGTATTAAAAAGATATCAATCAGTTTGCCTTGATATTATCAGTAATGTCGCTGTGTCATTGCTGGATGCGTTTATTCATGTGATACGCTGCAAAATTCGACTACTGAAAAATTTTCATCAAAGTTTATAACTGTCAACTATACTAATTACCCACTATAATTAAAAAAATCTGTTATCAGCATCAAAATACTTTTAATTACATGTCATTACCTATTTTTATAAAAATGTTTTAAAAAAGATTGTTATATATATATATATATATATATATATATATATATATATATATATATATATATATATATATATATATAAATATACACACACACACACAACTACCTAATACTTTTCTAATGTCATGTAATTCCGGCATATAATTGGCCAGCTTTTCCTTTTCCGTGGGTGTCGTAAGAGCCGAATAAGGAAAGGCGAGTGATGGACGACAGTGTTTCTCGTAAAACATCTCTAAAAGTCTATCTGCAGTTGTCAACCCGCCTGCCAAACTTGACAGCTACTGGCGAAACTCCCCTTATGGGGAAGGCTCGTGTTCAGCAATCGACTGTTAACGGCTCTTCATCTTATTTATACATCTTGGTGACGATCTGATCACCCACTTGTCTATCACATGGGTCATTAGATTGTCGTAGTCATATGGCAACGATCGCTAACAAATGTGAATCAAACGACATACAGCCCCCTTCTGACAAAAACATTTTATTACCAAGCCAGATATTTCTCCTTACTTTCTCAAGATGAATTCCAATTTCAACCAAGTGCCAATCACCATCGTTAACATACCGGTATGAAATGACAACTTGTAGAGGTAGAGTAACCATATTACAAATTTCAATAACCAACATATTGTTATAACAATATTAAAGACTGAAAAACGAAAAGTTGTACATATAGAATTTTCCATATACCTTGCAGAGTAGCCAGACATTGTAGGATAATACAAAAGATAACCTATTATAGAAAACGATACTCTATAGGACGTAAGGAATTATTAAATAACCATGGTTGCACATCTACTGTAGTATCTAACAGAACCCTGCGATTAAATAGAAAATGTTAAACAACAAAACATTTGTTACTTACAGCTGTGATTCTTTTTGTATAATATATGCATAGTCCTAGCTTTTAACATGTACTTATCATTAATGATGGTATTTGGAACATAAAATATAATCTAACAACTTTGTGCATAGCGCTCCTGCAGTATTATTGACGTGCCAATAAATTAATAAACGTTTTAACTAATAACCAAATATTGGTAGTTGCATGTATACTGTTAACGAAATTGAACAGTGATATGAACTTTAGTAATATAACATCAAATTTAATAAAATTTATTAGTCTATAATCTTGAAAATTAGCAGTACTTAATCTTACCATTTTTTTAATAAATATATTAGGCTGCGTTCATCAAACAAAACGAAAATCTGTTATAGGTATCTATATATTTGTCTTTTTCTTACTAATAATTAAAATTTATTTGTAGAAGATTCTTTATTTTTGTAAATATGATCTAACTAATATCATACAGACGTCCTACCTTGCCGCCACCAGGGACGGCCCACGCCTTAGCTGAGGAATGCCATGCACAAAGTTGACAGGTTGTAATCATCGACAATTAGTTTAAAATCGTGTCCAATTTACCACTATAATGATATAAATATTTAAAATTATGAACAGACTAGGTAAGTTATATAAATAATATTTAGATAAGTACATTTTTTTGTTAGATTCTCAACATTATATTGATTGTTGGGCTTACGACCAAAATAGTTATTTTTCAAGAAATACTAATAACGACCGATAAATTCTAAAATTAAATTTATAGGTACCAATTTTTTGTTTAATTTTTTTATCTACCATTTAATTACTCCTTATAACTACAACTACATATCACCAAACTTTTGCATAAATGTAAATGCCTTGAAAAAATTAGTTTTATTGTCAATAAATATAAACAAGCCTTAAAACTTTGCGTAGTCTTGTATATATATACTAGTGGCTTAGTTTACTTAGCACATATACCAACCAGTAATTAAAAAGATGTGTGTATAAAGTAGTTGTTCATATTTCAAGTAAGTCAAATAGCTTATAGTTGGAACTGATCCAAATTGACATGTCCTTGTGCGAGACCTATTTAAGTCGACGTGATTCTGGTTATAATATTCTCTCAGCGAGTTTGACTTTCCTACTTTATCCGCTTTATCCGTTTCTAATTATTAGGTAGGTATATTTATCCATATAGAACCATTAAACACTTTACTGAAATGTATCTTAGTAGCTACATTAATCATTAAAATGTGACAAAATATTAATTATTATGAAATAGCATATTTTGTGTAATTTTCTTGTCTATTTATAATTTTCGAAAAAAAAAATAGTTGGTAATGTCCCTAATTTGATAATTTTGGAGCTCTGGAACTATCACACTCTGTTTAAATTTCTAGAATCTTCGACACATACGTTCGTTGTAGATATATTCCGATTATAAGTCTAAGATTACTAATTCTTTTGAAATGAATACCTATACAAATACTCTTTGCAATAAGAATTGCAACGTCGCGCTCTATGATCAAATTTGTTGTTAAATCTTATCTTACATACTTGAACCATTATTTCGAAATCTATTATTATTTAAGAATTATGCAACTGCGTATATAATAGAGGGTAATTTACAAGAAATTATTATATTCGATTGCGATATGAAAACAATTTAAACAAACTAAAAAAAATGCTTAAGTACGTAGAATTATGTATAAGTATGTCATGATAATAAAAAAAAGTATAAAAGATAGCAGATCGTAATGTTGCAATTCTTAGCAATAAATTTATATTGCTCTTGAATTATATCCCACACAAAGATAACATTAAGTGTAAGATTTTATTTCTCCATATAAATAAATAATTTATGTTTCGTAATTTACTTAGTTTTATTTTTATATTCTATAGCAGGGTTTCTTAAAGTGGGGTCCACGAGTCAGGAGTCCGTAGCATGTTTATCAGGGGTCCGCAATAGGTCAGTTATCTGTAAAAAAATCTCTATCAGGAAATTGTGTAGAAATTTCGACGAGACGCATCACCGTCAGGTGGCAAACAGCAGCATCTTTCTCATTAAGTTAATAGTAAGTGTAATGAAACTACCAATTTTTTTGTTTTTTATATAAAAAAGCGTTTTTTTATTTTCCTAAATTTTAGGACCTAACTAAAATATTGTTTATCAGGGGTTCGTGGTATTGTTTAAATTGTGAGACTGATCCGTGTCTGCAAAAAAGTAAGAAACTGCCGTATAGTAACCCTATAGCATATATACTAGTATAGTATTATATTATCTGTGCCTATAGTAATATTTTACATTTTATTTAATGGTTTGTAGTGGTATCGAATTCATATCGATCAGTGTTTATTAAACCGCTACACCATCAAGAGTGTCATTTAAGTTCATTGTCATATTAATGGGAATTTAATATTAGTAAATAAATAATATAAATTGCTTTATTTCTGTTGATTGAATTATCGTTCGCTATTTATTATCTCTTATCTATAAGTTATATAATAGATATGAAATTGAATTCAATTATACATAATTGTAAGTATTGTCTACTAAGTAGATCTTTTTTATACCACAGGTGGCAAACAAGCATACGGCCCACCTGATGGTAAGTGGTTACCGTAGTCTATGAACGCCTGCAATACTAAAGGTTTTACGCGTGCGTTGCCGACCCTGAAGAAACCTCTTTACCCCCCTTTTGAAGAACCCCATGCTGCAGTCTCTTGGAAAAATCTCGGCAGGGAGCTCATTCCATAACCTGAATGTTCGTGGGAGAAAACATCTCTGAAACCGCGTTGTACGCGACCATTTAGGCTGTAGGGTATGAGGGTGAACACCCTGTCGATGGCGAGCCGTACGATGATAGAAAGAGGCCGCAGGCATCATATTGAATAATTCCTCTGAGCACAATCCGTTATACAAGCGGTAGAACACGCAGAGTATAATCCTTATTATAAAATATGTAGTTTATGAAGCTTATTTATTGTCAGACATTACTCCCTACTAGATTCCATTAAAAGGAAAGCAAACAAGATGCAAATTAGATAATCCAGTTTTTATTACATACCCTATATAAAGAATTAAGAAAAGTTGTAGTAGCAACATACCCATGCTAAATAAACCATGATGCCATTATTAGATAGATAGGTATGGGAATAACCTATATATTATACATATCGGAATATCTACGATTTCCTCATAACGTCAATTGATAAATATAATCTTTAATGGACTGGTCTATGACGTTTTTCAGAGTCGTTCACTTATTTATTATAGTATAGTGCGGTGTACCTACGATTAGTTGGATATTAACAATTGAATTCTTCCTATTTTATGTGTATAAATTATAAGGTAGGTACCTAACAACTTTGATATACTTAGATATATTGTGTAAATAGCTCAAAAGCTTAGATTATAGTCAGAAGGTATTCTATCGCTATTCATGTCAATGGAAACGTAATTTATTATCTAGGTTACACATGTTCATATTTATCACAGAATTTATATAACGAATTATACCAGAGTTACCAGAGGGAGACTTTGTATAAGTCATTTGCTTGGGTACCTCTGTCCTATTCGTGTTTCTATCGTGAAGCAGTTGTTTGCAGGGCTGCGTTTCGATTTGAAGGGTGGGATATGGCAGTGAATTTACAGGGTACAGAGTAATAACACTTGAGTCCTCAGGAATGGCAAGGCATGGGGGGTATCATGGGCGAAACAGTATACTATGTTATGTCTACGGTACTGCTCATGTCTATAGGAGACGGTTAGCACTTTCCATTAGGTAGGCCGTCGGCTTGTTCTAAGTTGCATAAAAAAATATGAAAAAAGATTAAACTACCTAATCTACGAGTGACCTGATAACGTGTTACATGGAGTTGATGGAAGCAGGTGGCGCGGAATTTTACTTTGTCACACACAATAACAGGAAGCCCTATGTCCAACAGCGGGTTATAGATGGACTGTAGCGATGATGAATTTTATAACAATATAAAGGAATAAGAATTTAATTATGTTTATAATGCTACTTACCTATAACGAGTATGATAATGGTATAATAAACAATTAACATTTTGAAATAATTAATATATATTTACAGTATTACAAAAATGACAGAGGAAAAACCCAAGTTTGATTATCATGAAGAAACACACAGCGAGAAGTTAACTCGCAAATCAAAAGAATCTCCATTCATGATTATTGGTAGGTATGTATTTAGTTAACTGAATTCTAACTTTTAAGAGACATTATAATAGATAAGTAGATCGTGTATATTTACTTATCCATATTACGAATCCTTAAAAGAAATCCCAGGTCCCTACGATTGTTTCCAGTATGAGACAGCATAGAGGTCGATTATAAAAAAATAGGTAGGATATATTGATAATAATAAAGCCGCTAGTTTCCTTTGGTGACTATCTTTTTCTCCTAAAGTTTAATGGATTATATTGGAATGGTAATCTCGCCTGCGCTGTCGGGGCACCAGTAAGTAATAATAGGTGAGAATGAATACAGTTGGCACGTCATTAAGAATTAATAACGATGGTTTCCGGGGGAAATCGCGTGGAAGTCGACCTGATAAGGTATATTGTTAGCAATAGGGCCTGTAGTCCCATTACTAACAATCCCTTTGCCTCCTCCTTCTACAGTTGGAACTAGATCATATACCTAAAGTATAAAATATAATTACTGAATGATTTCAGGATTATCGGCCCTAGCGGCAGCAGTTGGCTATGGTGTGTATAAATACAAACACAGGGGCGCTATGAGCACAAGCGTGTTCCTCATGCAGTTCCGCGTCATATCACAAGGTGCCGCTGTTGGGGCCCTCACTGTTGGCATGGCTTACTCTCTCTACAATAATCATTTTAACAAATCTAAACATAACGAACATTGAATTTAGACATTTAGAATCCAGCTACCTAACTCCTAACGAAAGCCGGCTTGGTAATTGGCCCGCCATAGGCACTAACTTCCCGCCAGCGTATACCGTTAGCATAGGTGGGGCACCATTACCTTATCATCCATTAAAAAAAAATCGCCACCCCTAAGGCCGATACTGCTTCTATTTCTTAGGCGTTTATACCTAATTTGCAAACTAACAGTAGCATTGCTCTTCGTTATTTGGCAGTTATTCGTTTCGGTCCATGATCCTGAACGAAAACTCATACTTGATGTTATGTACTGTAATGTATATTAATATTAGGTAAGTAAACAAAATATTAATACTCTTCTTTGTTAGCTGGATCCGTATGTATGAAATTTTATCTATCTTTAAATTATGCTATATTGTAAATTGTTTTGTTGTGTAAATATATTTTAAGTAAAATTTTACAACAATTTAATTTGTATTTACAATTAATACCTGCCTACAATTAATGCCATGCCAAACCCCTTATGGAATGAGGAAACTTATTTATTTATATTTACCAACTATGGGAGATTAACAGTTTCCCAATTCGCTCCCTTACCAATCACAATAATGACATTCAAACAATGAAATTTTCTAAACAATTTATTACCATACTGCGTAACAAGTTTACAAGTAAATATATCTAAGCCCGAATAATGGTTCATGACACCGTTGAAGTCTCAATGCTAGTGGAAGAGGAGCCTATTTTGCTAACTCTATTTTTCACAACGTAATATGGAAAAAATCCGTTCGACGTGCTCGAGCATAATTAGAAGGGGGCTTGAATGGATATCGATGCCAAAATACTCTGATTATATTTATACCCTTTAAACATTTTTAAAATATAATAAAGCAAATTTTTAACTACAAGTGAATTATATCCTACCATGCCCAGTAATAACTTACTAAAATATATAAATTTTCTTTAGATTTTCTCTACCGTGAATATACATTTTGACTCGTGTTTTTGCTACATAATCAGTGCATATTAAGTTCGTTTTACAGCAGGAAAAAGATAATCAATCTTTTTTGTATATGCAGGTGCAATTGAGAAGATACATTATATAACTTTAAATTATACCACAAGGTATTACAAACATACAGCCCGTCTGATAGTAAACCGTCACTGTAGCCAATGATCGCCTGAACACCAGGAATATCACGTGCATGTTGCCGACCTTGAAGAAACTTTAATACGCCCTTTTATTTTTTTAAGTTCAATAAGTGTATATACACCAAGTTTCCTGCGTGGAAAATACAGTCTATCTGTAATATCTGGCAATGGCCTCTATGGATTTACGGAATTAGATTCTGGAGCCTTAATTCTCCTTCAGACAAACTCTTTCAAAATAGAATCTGTATTGTTCCACAAAATAAAATCAATCTTGACAAAATTAGTATGGGACTAACACGAAAGCTCTTTTTTTAATTGATTATGCATTAATTAAAAAAAGATCATCGAAACATTACAGTTCAGAAACGGCAATGATATACCGAGGCAATACACATACAGTCAAATAAAAAAAGTGTAACTCCTACTGAAACAATAATAATGTATTTAATCTACAGTAAAAGTCGTAATTATTTAATGAATCTCTTATCTCAAATCTAATACAAAAGGAGAGTATAATTTTAATTATTTTATTAAAATTAGTAATACATGAAATAAATACTTGGTACTACTAACAAAAAATATCATTGTATTGTTAGCATAACAATAAAGCATCTTTTAAATAGATTCCAAATGTACAAATGTGATAGATATAACACGTAACACCCCACTAATAATCAGCACAGAATGACAGGCATGGCATGCTAGCTTAGAGGTGCCCATGCATCACTCCATCATTCTGTAAAGCTTCTTATACATTCAAGCTTGCACAAACTGTGGATATATCTCAGCATACATGTTTAACTGTCATAATAGAATACAATAAATTGCATACTACAATGAACATGTGTTTGTACAAATATGCAGCTCACTCCAAGTTTGTGTCCTTTGTCCATTGTCCCCACTATACTCAAATACAAAAAGCATTACAAAGTATTAATTAATATCACATTTTTTTATGCTTTCTAGTTTTGATAATGACAAATACAGCTATATTTATTAATATAGTTATTAAATATATTTGTAAAATTAAGCTCGTACCTAAATTAGGTAATAACAAAATTAAACAAACAGCAAATCTACAGTGCTTAGTATAACACACAATGGACAGTTCAATATTAATATTAAATGAGATATTAATTATTACAGTCTACTGTCATTTAGTGATTTATTGGAAATCTACGTATAGGAAGGAGTGAACCAAATAAAACATGCTGGATAACTGGGAATTTTGCCAAGACTTCCTTTTTGTACATTTTGATAAGACCCTGATTTATTTTAGTCCACGAGCCCACTGCACTTATGCTCCACAATTGATTAGAATGCTCTGCAAATGGACCTTTTTTCACTTCCTTTATATATTTAATACAGGAAATGAACATATACTCATCTGCATATTTGTCTATTATATCATCCTCCAAAAACTTTGCTGGTGGATATACTTTGGGTTGATCAATCAACTGTGAGCTTCCCCAAATAAACGGTATAAATTGATAGTCATCTAAACTCCAAACTCCATGACTGCCAGCCGGCTCCATTCTATATGTTTTCTGTAGTCTTCTTGAAATGTTTATATATTTATTGAATATTAAAAACACTGTTGCTACATTGTCTTCAATATTTAAAAAACCTATTTTGTAGAGGCAGCATAGAAACATTACAAATGACATTTCATGACCAGTTCCATAATCTATTCTTGTAGCATTTCCAAAGCTTTCTTCCAAATATACTTTTATTTCAGGTATTGCCAGATGTAATTGTTGATCTAATGCTTCTTGTAATAAACATGTAGTATTTGATTTGATTTTTGAAAGCCAATCTCTAAAAGCAGTGTTACCAAATCTTTGAGGCTGTTCAACTGGAGGAAACTCATCTATAATTTTATCTATTTTATCAAGTAAATTTATAATTTTGGTTACATTTTGTGATACTTTACAATCAACAGATAAAGGTTTGCTTTTTATTGCCTCATTGAGAGTGGCAATAAAGCCAGTATATTCCATGTAAGCTTCAGATTTTTCCCATACGGCCATATCTGTTACAGTTTTGACAGCTTTCTCGGGTTCAACAAACCTGTGGTTAACTGGAAGTATGGAAGGAATACTTCCACTATCCATTTTCTTGCCATCACCTATTACACTCTCAGGATTCATCTGAAATTAAATTTGTTTATCTATCTGTAACACTTTACAGTAAAAATCATAAAATTATTAATAAAAAATAAAATGTTTTGGGAATCAATTTTATATTTCTAATAATTCCCCAACTTTTTACAACTATTATATTTTAATGCAAAACCATAGGATAATAGTTATAATTAGCCCATACAAAAAAGACATGCAAACAAAAGTATGCTAAACAAAACCCTAGTATATTCACATGAAATGGAAAAATTAATAAAATAATTAAACATTTAATTATAACAATTTAATGTAAGAATCAATGCATACTAATATAAATAAAAATAAATCAACTAGTGGAGTACTAGATATGAAAATATTTTATCAGTACAAGGATATCTATTTATAAAATTATTAGATAACTTGTCAAAATATTATATAAAAATTAATTAGCCCTAAAAGTATTATTATAGACGTTGACCCTACTATCCCTCTTTGCTACACTAAACATGTTCGCTTTACCATTTGCGATAAGCTAGCTTAGCAAATGAAGGTCATAACTGTCAATCCCAAGCTTCAACAGTCCATAAATACAAGCACGTCAATTTAAACAAATGTGTCTTAGTTTGTGATATTAGAAGTGCCTAGATAGCATAAATATGGAGAGAATATTAAGAGGTATCATGAGGTATCGCGTTTTAGACCGTGCAAGCATGGTAAAACAATTTCAAGAAGTTAAAAACAATCCAATAGTAAGTACCTAATTAATGTAACTTAACTAACTTTATCGTTCGTATGTGTAAGATAACTAATGTAATTCCTTTGACACGGTTAACGTTCGCTCTTTACAATGATTAATTTTATGTTAATATACTTAACAATTGTAATTAATTCTTCAGAAAGCAAATAGGTATACACGAATTTTTAATATGACATTGACAATATTGACATAAGAACTTTTTAATAATTCAATTTAATGGCTTTGGATTACACGCTAGTACATTTTATGGCTTTGGAATGAAGAAGTAAATAGATTCTGCCAACATTGATGAAAACCATAGATATTGAAAACAAAATACTAGCCTCCATTACGCAAGTATTTTCCTTATTCTATGATATTATACAACCTTAGATTATATCATAGACTTAGTATAATATACTTTTACACATTTCTATAAATAATGGGGCCGATTCTGAGACGCTATTTCTATAAACTTATCTCTTCATCCAATATTTACCTTGATAATTTCACGCAATTATTATTTTATTAACCATCATGAACTAAAATTTAAATAATCTATTAGAAAATTAATTCATATTGGTCCTTACAATACAGCTTTCACTGCGATATCAAATTGAAATTTTAATGTTTAAATAAATGGTGCCTCCGAATCCATCGTTTATAGTGTCTCCATATAAATGCTGTAACAAAAACAGTTCAACTTTTTTTACCCATTTTGCGTACATAAGATTACCATGATGTACATATACTCCTCAATATATGGGAGAAATTAATATATAAAATTAGGTTGAAAAATAAAAATAATACAAAATTCTTACGATATTTGAAAAACAAATATAAATAGAACACAATGATTCGTATTGCTTATCTATATTATATTTATATCCAATAATAATAATAATATACTTATAATATTTTTTATAATAATTTATAATCAATATGAATATATTTATTTTTATATAGGATCAAGAGAAATAGTTCCCAATTCAATTTAAAAAAATCAACTTGACCTGAATTTTTTTTTATATTAGTTATAATGCATTATATGGTTACTTGCTCTGTGCTAATTAATTGCCAACACTGAAAAAATAGCGCGTTTGGTTTTGATTTAAAAAATATGTCAAATTAGTCATCATCATCTCACCCATTATTTGTCCACTGTTGAACATAGGCCTCCCTCAAAAACTGCCATAAGGGGCGATCCTGCATCCACTGACTCCCTGCAATGCCATTGAAGTCGTCATTCCATCTAGTATCTCTAATATAAATAGCTAAGAGTTTATGAACTATATATATATATATATATATATATATATATATATATATATATATATATATATATATATATATATATATATCTCCGTAAGAAAGTCTGTTATTTTATTTATTTTACTTTTAAAATATTTTTCATTATTATTAAACTTGATTCCGTAACTCAAAAGCCATATAACTAAAAACCACTGGTGGATATCTTATTAATTCCTTTTTCTAATATTATTAGCCAAAAGCTGTTTTCTACACCTGCATGGACAGTCGAATGATCCCCACTAGATTCACAGAAACAAGTGTTGGAGATATGTTTGTTGGTTTGTATTAGTTAATAACATGGAATTTTATTTTGTTTCATAAATATAATAAATAATAAAAAAAAAAATACTTATTTTTTACAGTAAGAAATGCTGGCAACGTTATACCACATTCTCAATATTTTGTAGATGAAATGACTAGCTGTGAACCAGCTGCTTTAGAACTTGGTTGTATTATTAACAATATTAGACACATTATTGTATGTGGACACAGTGACTGCAAGGCTATGAACCTTTTATATAAACTGAAATCAAAAGAAGAGTCTACTATTGTTAGTAACAAATTTGATACGTAATTAATTTTATTTTGATTTACTAATTATGGCAATTTTATTTTTGCGCCTCATTTACGAGTACCTACTCTCTCTATCTATCACATTTTTTCAAAATCCCCACTTTTTCAATCTAGTAAAATCTTCATTCAATTTTGTATTTCAGATAGGTATGAATATATTAATTAATAACTTTAAGCAAAATATGGTATTTACAGGAACAAAGACGAATATCGCCATTAAAGTCTTGGCTATGTACGCACAGTAAATCCAGTTTGGATAAATTTTTAGAAATGAATAATGATTTTACAAAACCTGTACTTTTTACTGCTGAAACCCCACAAAGAAAGTTTGCAGCATACATTGACCCGGATAATAAATTTTGTATAGAAGATAAATTATCCCAGGTTGGTATTGTTTCTATCTCTTCTTTTCTACCTTTATTTATTATGATTTTCTTGAATCGTTATGAATCAAAATTACAATAAAAATTTTATATTATATTTGCATAGCTAAAATGTATATTTTTTCATAACAGTAAATAATAGTAACGTGTCTCAATTACAACTACAGTTTCGCAACATAATCGATATCAGTTTTAAGTGTTTCATTAGATATTATATTTCCGTTCAGGCAGTGCGCCTATGGAACTCACTGCCACCGTCTATACAGAGTGCGCAATCCTTGGCTTCGTTTAAAGGACAAGTCAAATCACATTTTCTTTCACTGTAGTTACTCTTTTCCACTCCTTTGTAATTTTTGGACTAGATTTGTCATATTTCCTTGTGTGTGCTATGTATGTATTTATATGTGTATGTTTATGTATTTTGTATGTATGTTATATGTGTATATGTATGTATATATATATATATATGTATGTGTATGTGTATGTATGTATGTATATATATTGTTATAGTAAGTAGTTTAATAAATTATATGTATTTGATATTTTTGTGCATTACATGTTTTTGTATTTTATGCACGAAAATTGTTGATTCACTCTTGCGCCACCTGCCCTTTTCTATCTGTTCTCCCTTAACTAAAGGTTGTCTGTAAGAGATTGCCCTAGCGATAAGACCGCCTTTTGTACCTTTATGTGTATATTTCAATCTGTATTTATGTTACTGTATTTCATTTGAATTATTCACTTGTCATTGTATATTTTTATTTATGGTGCAATAAAGAGTTAAATAAATAAATAAATATTATATTTATATTTGTAATATAATAAAATACATCCAGGTTAAGAACTGCAAAGGGTAGGGGGTCGCAAAATATTTTTACATGCCTACTATATACATTTTACATGATATAAATCATATCTGAACTTTGTGAGAAAGTTTGTGTAATCAATATAATTATTTTATTATAAATATCGAGCCTTGATACACCTCATGAGCAAATACCAAAATAAAATGTATTAGTTTTCTGTATTCATTTTCAGGTAAACACTCTCCAACAATTACAGAATGTTGCATCTTATGGAATGTTAAAGAAAAGACTAGAGAAACATGACTTACATATTCATGCACTCTGGTTTGACATTTATACTGGAGATATATATTACTTCAGTAGGCGTGCTAAAAGGTTTTTAATAATAGATGAATCAACGTATGAAACCATATTGGCAGAAGTGCGAAGATATTACTCATAGCTATAAATAATCTACTTACATGTTTGTAATTATCTTAGGTAATTATATATACTCGTACATAATTTATAAATAGCATTCAATCAGGGTTAATTTTATAATAAGTATTCCATTGTTTATTTTTATTTATTCATATGTTTTTACTTTTATAATTTAATTATAAACATGCGTATAAATTAAATTTTAAATTTAAACTAATACTCGAACGTTTATGAAAATACCACTAAAAACATTTTTTGTCATAAATATCATATAATATCAGATTCACCAATAAAATTGTCAATAATAATAATAAAGCTAAAGAGCCAATAGGCCGACCATATATTTTATACTCGTAAAATCTACACCCAATGGGTAAGAAATTTAATGTTCTTGAGTAGCTACCGCGTGCCGACAAACCTACACTGGCTTTAATATACTGAAAGACAATTAGGTTTACCCGCCAATAGATAAAACGACAACTTAAAATATACTACAAGAAGTTACATTCATATTTTATGCATGTATACAAGTTCTGAGTTTAATAGATAATATAAAATTATTCTCGTAGGTTTAATACATATTTTGAACATATTACTGTCACTCTACTTTTTAATTACGGAATGGAATCTATGCCATTTAAAATAGGTAGCTAAGTAGATTAGATAGCAACTATTTTGATCATTAGATGACCGGCCTTAAGAGCATAGCTGCACTCATCGATACGACTCTAAGACCAACTCTATGGCATCATTCTCTAAACCAAGCTCTAAAATTTATTTTTATTAATTTATTTTAATATTATTTCATTACAATTATTTTATATTTAATATATATATAAAAAATAATTAAATATAAAGTAATTCTAATATAAATCTATTAGAAATTTAGTTTATCTTTAAGATTTCGCTGTGATAACAAATTAAAATTTTAATTTTAAAGGTGAGTTTAGAGAATAGTAAAAGAGACTCGTCCCAATAAGTTCGATTTTGAAACGTCATTATATCTTAACTAAATATTTTTTTCATAATTTCATAAAATTTAAATTACTGTATTATGGACCATCTTTAACTAAATTTATAATAATATTGACTTTATTAGAAATTTATTTTATATTAGACCTTAGAATAAAGATTTCGCTGTGATATTAAATTGGAATTTAAATTTTAGAGGTAAGTTTAGAGAAATGGCATCTCAAAATTGTCCTTAGTGATTATACAAAGAGTATATAATCCTATATAATCACTCTACTTTAGTCATCATATAATGCTGTACTGATGTTTGGATATCTTTATACTGCGGTAACAAACAAAATATACTTAATTACTTAGAAAAGTTAAGTTATATATATAAAATTATTAAGGTATAAATTGTAATTTTAAGGGGTACAGTCTATTACTTATATAAAACTATTTTTATTGTATTTTTTATATTTAGAAACTTTAATGAAGTTGTAAGATTAATTCCACTTTTATATGTGGTTGATACACTTTGTAAAAACGTACTAATTAAAATAATATTACTTTTTCAATATAGAGTATTCATTTATTCAATTCTGATTTACATTTTACCTTTTCAGTTAATTTTAGTTATGTAACAACATGGTGGTGTCTTCCCCGCTGAACTTTGTGTTTAAATCAGTGCAATACTATTTGCCTTTCTTTGTATCCTTAAAAATCATAAATTGATTCATAAAAAAAATTATATACAAAAGGTCGTTCACGCAGTAAACAATATTCTAAAAAAATAAATGCGCACAGGGAACATGTATATAAAATTAAATTGCAAGTTATATATAAATAATTTTAGTGGCATTAATGTATGTAATTCTAATTTACTACTAGCACTAGTATTAATGTTTTATCAATCGCATCGCTATGGTCATGATAATAAAATTTCATGGTTACATTTTATTATCATGACCATATAGCAACCTTATCGTAAATATCTAAACAAAAGAGATGGATAATGTTAAGGCTAAGAATTGAGGGTATTATATGGGGACCGGTTGTCACCGCTCAAATGTCAGATATCAACTCGACACAATTATTTTATTTATTTAGATTTGTTTAAACTTTATTGCCCAATAAAATATGGTATAAATGGTAGATTATAGGCATCCTTTACCAGTCTATCTTTAGGATGTGTAGAGATACTTGATAGAGGTTTAAATAATAAAATTATTTATATTTTAGTGTATTACGATAAATTACATACATATAAACATTAATATTAATATAGTACTTATATATTTGTTCCTACATATACCTACAAATATACATATATATGTATATGTAGTATAATATTCATAAATACATATAATTATGTACACATATAATGAACTACTGCCTGGTCGATCACTTGTTTTGAATTACAAGTCTTAATAGGCAAGAATGAAGTCTTGCTAAAGGCAAATTTATTACAAGGGACACATATGATTTAATCCTTCAACCTAAAGAATAAATAAACATTAATATTAATCTACAATCCGATACCGATATATATTAAGCCCGCGCAATTGACTATAAAATACTTATTATAAGGATTCTTTATCATATTTTCAAAATTTATTCATATATGAGAATGAAAATAGGTCAGTTAGGCCATCATGATGAATTCATTAGGAATTAACCATGATAGTTTCCAAGGAGAACCGCGAGGAGGTCGACCTGGTTGGGTATATTGCTAGCAATGGGATTCTCAGTCACCATTACTAACAATCCCTTTCCCCCCTTAAAATTCAATTATAAATAGAATCTAGAGTAGCATTTTTCCAAGAGTCTACAACACGAGGTTCTTCAAAAACGGGTAAAGATGTTATTCAGGGTCGGCAACACGCACATAATGCTCTTGGTATTGCAGGTGTTCATAAATTACGGTAACTGCTTACCATCAGGTGAGCTGTATGCTTGTTTGCCACCTCAGTGGTATAAAAAAAATAAAGTAATTAAATATATCAGTGGTATTATAGTGTTTGATTATCGAATAGAAACACCATAAATCACACAACATACGTTTACTATCGAAACAGAGTCACATTTTGATTCCCGGCGTAAGCGCGCGTATAACTGCCTTGCGTCGCGTCGGTGGCGCCGCTACGCTAACAGTAGCGCACGGGAGGGCGACGCGCGCGGAGAGGGTGATTGGTAAGAAGAACTACTAAGGGGGCCCGCGTTACAGTAAGGAATTTCTTATATTTTATAGAAACAAGTATAAGCACACCTTCATAAGAATGATAGGCAGTTTTAAAATGTTGTGGATCCTCTTCGACTTTCGCGGAAAGTAACTAGCAATATGTATGTGAAAAGATCGATTTATGTATTTGCTACAACGTTAGCGTTAAGCGAGGACTAATAATGTCTGTAATTTTCTTGATCTATTTACATATTTTCAATCTGTAATCATTATCCTTAGTCTATGGTACTAATGTTAAGCTATATTCATTTCTAAACTCGCTCTATGATGTAAGAGGCTCTATGATTCTATATAATAAAAGGAACATAGACTCTCTTACCCCTTACTTGTATACTCTTTGGTCTCTCTAATCTGTGAAAGCAATTAATTGTCATATAGTGTCGTGGAATATTTAAAATTATATAATATTATAATTACAGTAATTTCCATTGTAATTCATATTACAAAATCAAATTTTGGTCTATAAATTTGATGTGACGGTAATAGCTTACTCTTTATTTTTTAATGAAAGAATATAATAAAATTACTAAAAATATAGATATCTTTCATTTTTAAATATATAAATTATTATTAAGATATTGACTAAAAATATCCACTAACCTTATAATACATTTTTGTTTATAGATATCTACTTTTCAAGATAAAAATGTCAAACTCACAAAAAATCTTCGACTATAGTGATGAATCTCAAGCAGATAGATTAGCCAGGAAATCCAAGGACTCGCCGTTTATGATAATAGGTATGACAATATAGTAAAGATCTATTTAAATGATAATACATCTTGATTACAAGTTCAAGGTTACTATGGTTGTGAATGACATAACCTTCAAACCACTGTCAATTATATCACTTAAATTATTTTAAAAATAAACAAATATTTTTCAGTATGTAACTAGGTTTGATTTGGAATTTTATAGGTGATGACAAAATGTTATCGTTTTTTAGGAATATTGGGATTAATAGGAGTTTGTGGTTATGGTTTTTACCAATATAAACACAAAGGAAAAATGAGTACCAGCGTCTTCCTAATGCAACTACGTGTCGCCGCTCAAGGAACTGTTGTTACAGCTCTAACTGTTGGTTTAGCTTACAACTTAGCAAAAGAACACTTATTCAAGGAGAAAAAAGAATAAAGGGAAAGTACCTATAGTTCAATTATTTAAGGAAACTATAAAACAGTAAAAAAGTGCAAATAATCCTATGTGAACACAAAATCTCAATAGTAATCTCTCACACACTTATATATAATCAATATTGGTAATGCCTGATACATACAATAATGCCTCCACATCTGTAGATATGTTGTTACACCATCTCCCACCATTAATTTTATAAGAAGTTAATAAATTTAAATTTACCTAATGTAAAATTTAAGCAACAACTGTAACAGATAGAGACATTAGTGTATTAAAGTTTCCTTAATTTATATGTTAGTATAGCTTAGGAACTAATTTATGTTCTGTGATTTAGCTGCTACTACATGTATAACATGTGTGTACATATGTGATCATGTTTTATTTATTTCATTATTAGACCTAAGTAATAATATCACTGAAACAAAATTCACATATTGTATGAATATGTATAGGCAAACTGTAATAAGCTCTACTCCGAGTACCTATTATAAATGTATCAAGGTCATTTGTACAATGAAGTATTACAAACAAATATACAGTGTAACTCATGGTGTTGTAAATGTTTATGTGTATGTTTGTAATAAAAATAGTTGCATTAAAATTTTATTGTTAAATAATTGAAGTGTTCACTAATTTTTGTGGCTAATTGTACTTCTATTTCTTTTACATTCAATGATATTCAATGTAAAATACCATTTATGATATACCTTATCAAAAATGGTAATTTAGTGTACATAATTATTTACATTACTTTTCATATTGAATTCTACAATAGAGAATGGAGAGATAACAACAATACCTATTTTTATTTTTTGACCTGTAAACAGGACTAGAAGAAATTTTAATATTTTAAAATGTGATATATTCATATTCCGTTTGAAAATATAAATAAAGAGCTATTGTCTAAATCTAGTTTTGACTTTACCCACCCATAGTGTAATTTGCCAAGTCAGGTTATCATAATCTCATATTATAAAGTATATAAGTATGTTATACTAAGTCTATATGACTAAAATGTTGTGTGAAAAATTTAATATATAATATAATAATACCTAGTACTCGAGCACATGAGTACTCAATATATTGAACTTAGATACCTGGTATATAATTACATGTTCTGAGTACTTACAGTACTCAAATACTACTCATGTGTTTATTATAAGTTGTTTCTGTTTCAGCATTTTATTAAAGGAAAGTTATTAAATTATTGAACATTTAATGTCTTTAATAAAAGTAGACACAAGAAAAAATTAAAAGCTCTCAAGTTCAAAGTACTTGAATACCTGTATAAGTATTAGATTCAGATTTATCAGAGGGAGACTTGTACATAAGTCGTTTGCGTTCGTGTTTCTATTATAAAGCAGTTGTTTGCATGCCTGTTTCCGTCTACATATATTACACCTTGTCCTCAGGAATAGCAATGCATAGTGTCATGAGTAAAACAATATACTCTGTTGTCTATAGTACTATTCATGTTTATAGGTGACGATTATCACTTTCCACTAGGTGAACCTCAGATTGTTTACCATTCTATGTTGCATAAAAAAAAACTGATTCTTTTTTTAATGAGTATATGATGTTTTTGTGTTCGCATATAAATATGTTATACTATATTTATAGTTCTCATTATTCTACTATCCCCTGCTTACATCAGTTTATTTTCACAATCAGATAGATATGTAATTATCTGAATAAGTGGTATCATTATTGAAATTATTAAATACTAGCTATATCCTGCGGCTTCACCTGTATAAATCGGTACTTACATGTATCCTATATGCTAAATTAGAATATGATCTACTCATCTACCAAATTTTATTCAAATCCACTAAGTAATTTTTGCGTGAAAGAGAAACAGACGTCCATCCATTTATCGTAATAAAATTTCGCACTTATTATAGGTATTAATAGGATGTTCACGTTAGTCATCACTAATAGGCTAGTTAGAGGCGTTTGTCAACTACTGTCGTTCTAGAGCTAATTTACGTTTTACTCGATATGCATTTCGTTAAGTATATTAGAATAAAACGTGACAAAGAGCGAGCTTATCGTCACTTGATATGATTGGTTTGTTAACAGTGTTTCCCATCACCAAAGAATTTAAATTCATACCTACTAACTAACTAGATCTACTAACCTTTGAATAAGCTCTGTAACTATTTAGTTGGTTCGATAGTCATATTTGACCTTAAATTCAAATGCTGCTATTTTGTAGAAATAAATAAATAATACTATTTAAGGCACATTGATTTATTTATCATAATACAAACCTAATAAAAGCTCTAACAATATAAATCGTCAATTATCTTTCGTAATAATTTGTTTAAGGCCTGAATATATAAAGTCTAAATAAATTAACATATAAAATATGCATAATTTTAAACCCATTTTTAATGAATTTATAATTAATTAGTCGCTTTTACTAGCATCAGATAAATCTTTTTTTGTCCTAAGACTACAATTAGGAATGGTCAGATCATCTTTTTCAGAAGTGGAAGGGTTTCGTATCGAGTTAGATGTTACCTTCACAGACGATAAATCATCAACATTGCTAAATAAACCATTAGACAAGTTAGAACTGGAGCTTGAGTGGTATGTCATTGATTTAAAAATTTGGACGGGAGTTGACGTACGAGCTCTATTCCCGTTATGTTCGCTGTCTACTGAATGTTCTTCATGAACCATATGTGATGAATGTTTTAACTCTTCTGGCATTTTTGTCTCAAACAACGAAACAAACTCTTCTGTTTCATTTCTAATAGATTTATTTGTGAATGTTATTTTATTAGCCAATTCGTTTGCTAAAAATTCTTTTACAGTCATTGATTGCGTTAATGACGTTTGTTGTCCAGCATTTTTATTCTTCTCTTTAGCTAGCTGACCTTGTAATGGTTTCTTTGATACATTCAATATTGATGAAACTGAATCTGTTACTAAAGCTGGAATGTCTTGGTGGGTAAAACTTTTCAATTTAAATTGAGATAAGCTCGAACTAGACGTGTTGGATGAAGAAGAGAGTGCCAATCGTTCTTTTGTTTTTTTTAAAGTAGATGACGCCCAACCCATACCAAGCTTTTTAAATGCATTTTCCAAATCGGGATTGGACGAAAAACTCAATGTATCGGAGGTCTCCACTACGTTTTCTTTGTCTTGAATTACTACTTTCGATTTCTTTTTTTCCTTCCGCATTTTAGACAATGCAAAAACTGATGTTGATTCTGATGACACAGTAGAAGAATTTACATTAGATCCAGAATCAAACCTAAATGGTTCTGAAATAATTTTCCTTTTTAATAATTCTGCAATTACATCTGGCAGACTACCATCTGAGTGCATTGAACTTAACTCGTCATTTAAACCTTCATCTTTCGGAATATCATCAATATTAGAAGCATCATCCAATGATCCAATATTGTATTGTTTCGCATATTCGTGTATACTGATAAACGGTTTCAACATTATGTCGTTGAATTGTTTCAGATCCATCATTTTAATTTTATAGTCATCGGATGTATCAGTAAATGATAGTTTATGTGCACATTTGAATGCATTTTCATCTGTTTGAAGTAATACATCTGGGTTAGAAGTTTTTTCATTAGCCTGCATGTCATCATCATCATTCTTCAATGCTTCTTTATTACTTTCTACAATTTCGACATCACACTTCGTATTATTACGTGACGATAAGTTCTTGAATTTAACACTCATAGGTGAGTCTACTTCTACAACTGTCGAAAGTTCATGGGGTGTAATATATTCTTGCCCGTGTTTCAAATTAATACGGGTCAAAGCGGGTGGCGGACGACCCCTGGTTTTTATGTTTTGTTCTTCAATAATTGGTAAGTCTAAATTTGTCACAGGTGGTGTAATAGTATACTTCGATGCTGCAGGCTTTGGAATATCTATTAGAAACGGAATAAATTTTGTCGAATCAGATACTGCAACCGATCCCTCATTACTTGACAAATTCCGAGTGGGAGTATCATTCTCCAAATCATTTTGAATTTCGACAATTGGCTCATAAGTTTGCATATGAAATGGTTCACTGTCCATATTACACTTTTTATTTAATTTCTGGTCTGAATCTGATGCAGAGTCTGATGATGATACTTGACTATAAGCTGTTGATTTATTTTTTCTAACTTCCTCCAATACTTTGGCTAAATTTGACAAACGTTGAGTGCATTTTTCTGTCAAATCGGCAATTTTTTCAATATTATGAAGTTTATTTTCAGCTAACTTCATAAAATTTGTTTCGGTATCAACATCTCGATTTGCTTGAGTTGAAATATTCATTGGAGGTTGTGTTTGACTTTGATATGGTGTCTCAATAATTTCTGAATTTGCAGGATACGTAACAGTTTTCGGAGACGGAATAGGAAAAGAATCTATAAATAGATTATTTTCACCTTTCTGACTAATCTTATTATCCTTCTGTACATTATCTTTGTCTCTTACTTTAGATAAATTAATGAAACCGATGTCAGTTTTTTCTGAAATAACATTTCTCTGTTCTGCTTTACTTGTATTTTTAAGTTGTTTAGATGACGGTGTACTTTGGCTATCAATGTGTGTTTTAATTGAATTAGTATCTTTTGATTCTTTATGTAAATGTGTTTTTCGGTTGGGTATAGATTGTGAACCTAGTATATATAATTTATCAGAAGCTTCTGGTTGATTTTTGTTATTTCTTAACAAATTTCTTGATATATTTAATGATTTCACTTTATGCACTGATCTTTTCTTACTAATTCGAGAACATGCCTTCTTTTTGTATTTCATATTATGGTTTATTGTATTGATCGAAGTTTTATTTTTTGATTCAATTTGAGAACCATGTTCATTTAAAATTTGTTGTATTAGACTACTTTTTATTTGTTCCAATGATATTTTGTTTTCCATCAACGGTTTACGTCCATCTACATTATGAGGCATATCAATAATAGAGCTTCCAGGCGTAGTAACAGCACTGCACTCTTGATTTACTACTTCAATTGCTTTCATGCCTTCTTTATTAAGAGTCAATAGTTTATTGACATAGTTTTTAATGATAGGATTCAAATTTGATCTGCTGTCTCTTTTTAAAGCATGGTTAGATATTATATTTTTGTATGAAGATGCTGTTGAACTAACATGCATCACAAGATTTTGAGATGATTGCAGATTGGGGGCAATATGTTTTAAATTTTTACGATTAGCAGACTTAGCACATGTTTTAGATTGGGTCTGAGTTTTACACTTGTAACAATTGTGTTTTTTAATATGTGAGTGTTTATCGTCAGATATATCATCTTTATTTTCACTGAGAGAACAGCTGCGGAAAGTATTTGGTGGTGTGTGTAATTTATTTTTAAAACATTTTCTTTTTGCCGCACAGTGAAAATGATCTTTCATTCGCATATGTTTTCTAGAATGAGTGCAATGTTTACAACAACTCTTACTTTCATCATTATAAACCTGTTCTTTTCTTATGTTGGGCTCATCAGGGGACTCAGAATCATACATGTTATCTTTATGATGTCCGAAAAATTTAGGTAAAACCATTTCTGGAGGACTCATGTATGCTGTAGATGTAGACGAACTCATATGAATAAACACTGGTCTTGGATTCGGAGAGCTAAAAGTAGTTTGTGTACAGGCTGAAGTCGCAGGTTTCGGATCAGAATCTAATTTAGAAACATGACTGGGTGCAGTATAAGACATTTGAAAAGATGTATACACACCTTTATCACAATATTTGTTTGAATAGTAATTTTTTTCAGTATGTGGGTCACTAGACACTTGAGATATAATATGTTCTTCACTACTGTCTTCAATCTGTGTTTGTGATTCTTTTTTATTTACTTCTTCATTTTTAGGATCATTCTCTGGTACTTTCTTTAGTTTTACATTTGACGTAGTAGTTGCATTTACGTCAATTAAATTGTCTGAACATTTATCATTGACAATTTTTTGTTTATCACCTATTATATCACTTGTAGTAGTTCTCAGATTTTCATCATTTTGTTGAATGTCTTGTGTAGGAAGTAACGTTTTCTCACCAGTTAATTTTGCACCAGATTTTATGTTATCTTCTTTCATTGATTCTTTTTTTCTAAGCTGAATGATCACTTCATACGCATCATCTTTAAGGAAACCAGTAGCACCAATATAAAATTTTCCAGTTTCTTGACCATCATCGTCAACTAATTTAATAAATCCACCATCTGGCAGAGCAGCTGTTGTTTTATCAACAGCGGCCGTTTTAAAAGAGGAGCTTGATGTAGCGGCTGACGGCTGTATTGTTGATTGATTATCAACACATTTCGTACTCGTAACAGACCCACATTTACAGTCTGCACAAATATTTGAAGATCTGTAAAACATAATATTATTCATGAAGTACGAACATGTATATTATTTATACATTTGTTATATATGGAATACTTACTTAGAAGAAAACTGTTGTTGAACGCCAACTTCTTGGAGACCAGATTCTGAAGATATAAAATATATATAAATTACTTGTACTTTAACTAAACTAATGGGCGCTTATTAGATTTACAAATTTACTATTTTATTTTTATAGTAATTATACAAAAATTATTAATTCATTCTTTCATGTTCAAACAGAACATTCTTTGAAAAGGAAAAATAAACGAATGAAAAAAGTAAAGAGTATTTTAGTGAACTTATTTAATAAATCAAAAGCCTTGTTCTAGTTCTGTTTACTATAGTTTATGAAAGTGAATCTAAAAATAATGTATTTATATTATGACATCAATTAAAAGTAATTAGCATCTTAGAAATGGAAAGCAGCAATTTAAAATTTTACTTCAATTACTTTTTTAATTTTACTTACTTTGTACATAATTAACAGCAATCTTAAGTTGTGTTAAATTACCTTGATCTCGATGCTCATCTGTGGTGAGTTGTTTCCCACAGCGGCACGGTCGCCCTTTTCTGACTCCATCTTCTGTCAGAGTTGTTCCTTGAGCGTTGTCCGTAAAATATAACGACGTCATATTATCCCTGAAAATTTGTTGTCTTTAAAAATTATATATGTACATTTACACTTACATACATTTGTGAGTTATACAAATTCTGGACTATTCATAAACTTAATAGTGATATTACCAACTTTTACCATTTTTTAATAATAAAATTAATATAAATAAATTAATAATAAAACGTAGACAATCCATAAACATTACATACTACAGACTGTATTTGACTCTTTAAATTTATTATAAATCTACTTTACCAGATTTTTTTATCAGCTTATAATACAAAGTGTCCTACAAGCATATCAGCATTTAATCTACGTATACAATATATATTAATATTGATGACTGTTGCACTTCCTTGAATATTTATTTTTTTATATTTTATCGTATACACTAATCTTATATATAAAAAAATATGACAGAGGTAAACATATATACAAGCTTAACTCTACAAGTATTCTCTTCTAGCAAAACAAAGTGGAGTACAATACTGTGACAGTTTATAAACAAAAATATCAACACAAACTTATTATTATGCACAAAAATACTTGTATTACCTTCTGTCCTTGCGTTATCTTTATATAATTGACATCACAAAAATAAACTAAATGTAATTAATCTTTAATAATGGCTCCCACTGCTACTCGTGTGAAATGTAATATTCTGGTGCCAAATTTCTATGCCGCCTTTGTTAAACATGAAGGCCTCTAGCTTACTGGATGATTATTCTACGAGCTCTCCAAAGACAGAAGTATGTAACAATCATTTATATACGATCCAAATGCAAATTTGAAAGGGTTTGAGGTTTAAACTGATATGTGATAATGGGATATTGAAATTGCAGACAAGTGTTGTCCAACTAAGAAATTACCATATTTCTACTGTAAGGACAACCGGATTGACTTCGTGTATTTTTATTAAAAATGTTCGACTAGATAAGAGTTATTGTTAAATTTACGCTCGTGGTATATACCCATGTAACAAACCTCAATAATTTGTAGAAAAATAAATAGTGACTAACAGAGCACATGCGAGGTTTGATATTGTCATTCATTGAAATACATAGACGTTTTAACAATTTGTTGTATATTTCAAGTGCTCATTTCTCACATGCTCATGAGTAAAAGTTCCAGATGATACGAAATCTACTTGAGTATTCTCAACAAGAATACATCAAGTTAATCCGATTGATCTTATAATGAACTATCACCGCTATTGATACATTAAGATGGCGAAACTAATCAAGAATTCATTACAATTTGTAAAACAATATGTTTTATGTATGATATCAGTCTCTATTTATATTAAAATGCAAAAATACAAAACTAGAATGATTACCACCAGGGCTTCCTCTCTGTTGTTGTTTGCCACATCTCTACATTAGCAGTGTAACAACTGGTTACATTGTATGATATCCTGAGGACGGTAGGATGCGGATTAAGGGTTGACAGGATACAGGTGAAAATGGTCTGGATGCAGGTTAAATGTAGGACTCTAGGAATATTTATATAAATGACAAAGTCAAGCATGATTCATATTTAAGGTAATGGCAGTGTATAAGGTAGGTTAGCCTAACTAACAATGACGATTTTAGCGCCCAATTTATCAAGGAGGACCGGTGCCTCTGATTATTCCATTTAGGATTATAGTCGTGAATATTTTGTTATACTTTAAAAGAAATAAAAAAAGCCAGTGTATCCCTCAATAAATAATAAATTTAATAATTAATTTAAATTCCGTTTCATCAATAAATACTACTACTATTATAATTTTTTTTGCGAAGGTTTGTGAGAATGTTTAGACGGACGTTTGTTACACTTCTACACAAAAACGACTGAAAAAATTTCAATGAAATCTTATACATGGATAAGTTATATTCACTTTAACGTATGGGATACTTTACATACTAATTAACATGATAAAGCCACGGCATTTATTTATTTATTCTTTATTGCACAATAAAACTTTGTACAAGTGGCGAGCTTAATGCCATACGGCATTCTCTACCAGCTAACCATTAGGTAAAAACAGAAGGCGTATGAAGGGCAGATGTGGTGAAAAATACGTGACATAATTATAGGAACATACTGTAATAAATAAATTCAGCTAGTCTTTATTTAATCTATAAGCGTATAATCCCAATTTTTGTAGATTTTCCTATATATTATTCTAAGATGATAATGTGTAAATATCCAATACTTAATATCCTTGTAGAAGGTACGTCATTATATTTCTAGTGACTGTTACGACTCTATGTATTAGTAATTTTGTCCTTGTAATGATATATAAAGTGTTATGTATGTATATGTTATATATGTATTTAAAAAACGAACAGAGTTTCATGCCTTCACTCAAATTATTTATATTTACTCTTCTCCATCCAAAGGTTGCCTGGAAGAAATCGCTCTCAGCGATAAGGCCGCACATTGTTTCCTTAGTGTAATATTTTTATATAATTGTTTGTATTCATAATAAGTTTACTATTGTAATCTTATGGAGGAAACAGTAAGGAGTATCTATCTATAAAGAACTCACCCTTTCTCACTTGTTGTTTTGTAGACGCCTGCAACAATTTTAAAATGAGTGTAATTTATATTATGTATAATTTTTTTCAAATATTGTTTTTTGATAAACTATGCAACAAGAATTTAAATGCTTATTTATTTATTAAACTTTAATACACCTAGATAGCGTAAATGGCGGACTTAACACCATGTGGCGTCATCTACCACGCGACCATAGACAGGAATAACAGAAAATATAATTGACGGTGCAACGTGATGAACAATATTAAAACAGTAATTTAAAAATAATAGACATATAATACTCATATCATCTACAAGACCTATATTAAAACTTATATGTTATAACCCAAATTTAGTTTATTCTAAGTAAAACTGAATAAAAAAAATAAAAGTACTCATAATTAGTTAGTGCAATAATTGCATAATATTATGTGCTCATTTTAGTGTTAGCGTCATGAACTATTCGAGTTCACGACACTCTACTTATAATAGACAATGTCGCAATTAGTTGTCAATTTTAAAATACAGTTAACATTTTATGTTTCTAATTAATAATTTAAAGTGATCTATTAAAAGCCTAGAATGTTAATGATGGAATAATACTCTTATTAAGCTGTCACTAAAAATTTCGATTTTGATAAAAATATATTTAAGAATTTCCAAGGCATATTGTAGGAGTAAAATTTTAACAGTAGATTTATATGAAATAGATTATATGATTAATGTTTTAGTTTACTAGCACTTTTGAATAATCAGTTAGAAAAGTTAAAAATGTTAAATTGTTTTTGAAAGTTTACAGAGAATTGTAACATTGCCACACTTCGGTAAAAAAAATGAACACTTAAAAATTTTGTAAATAAAATAAAATTCTAAATAAACACCATTAACAAACCAAACTAACCGTTGGCAAATCTATCGCCAATGCTTAGCTATAAATATATGCTATATAATTATAGCTAAGCGTTTAATTCTAATATGCTTACCAAAATGTGGCATATGTCAAATATAATGTTCACTGCAACAGGTAATAATCAATCTATCAGAAATTAACTGCAATTTTTGATGGATTAATTTAAACATCCTTTGTTTTAATATTTTAAATAATATACATACCTTCTTGCAAGTGGTCCAATGAATTTTCTTTTTCAGGTTCTTTACTTGTTAATGTAGTTTTTTCTTTACTGTCATCATCTTTATCTTCCTTTGTTGCCTTAAGATTCATATTCTTATTAAGTGAACTCAAAGATTTGGCAATGTCAGTTATTAATTTTTCTTTCTTTTTTGCCCTTTCCTTTTTCTTCGATTTTAAAATCTTATATATAACAATTCTCTCCGTGTCTGTCAAAGTTGGATCAGTGTCATTTTTATTTTTTGAGTCAGTTGTGTTCAGCCGCAAGTTCTGAATTGAACTGGTGTCAGAAGATATTGATGAGCAGTCAGTTGAATCACTGTTATTCTCAATAAAGACAGTTTCCAGAACCTTCTTTTGTTTTTCTTGTCCAACAGTGTCCTTAGTAGGGGGGGTATGTTTATGTCGTGACCTATACTCATGATAGCTGTCGACTTTACTAAATTTAACAGTATTCCCAGGCTTTCCCTCTTTCACTGATGTAGGTATGGTGTGAATGACTAGGTTTCCGTCACTTTCTGGCACCGGCATCCAAGAGTATTGGAAATCTCTATCTTCAAAACTATCACCTCTCCCAGATGGAGATTTTGATGTGATTTTTTCTCTTTCAGGTGGTTGTGAACTGGAATCCTGAAATATTTTTTTGTGGTTATTTTAAAAAGGTCGAAAGACACAAGTAAGATATTTGATTTCTGTGATATATCTGTTAGTCAAAATTTTTAACATGGCATAACGCTACTTACTACGCACGCCAGCATTTGATTACGATGTTTACATGGTATCGATACTATAGTGGCAGGTGGCGAGTAGCTTAATTGCCAAGTCAGTGTTAACGAGACAGTGTTGCACTAAAATCAATTTACATGATAGCAGTAGCAGATGACCACCTACTTGTAGAATCTGCTTTTCCAGCGTAGTAATTATAGGGGTGACGTAGGTTTCTTACAATAAGAGGATAACTTCATCTTATCCAAACCCACATCCAACAGTAGGGTACTAGTTATGACGTTATGATTAGCAAGAACCATCAAGAAACTAAACACTTATTAATTACAAAATTTAAAATTTGATTACAATTGGAAAAAGTCTTAAAAAAACCTACACAATCTTCGCGTGGATAAATAGAAGTTTTCTAATTTTAAAATTGGAAAGCAATTTTATTTATTCGCTGATTATATAGCTTTCTATATAAATTACTTTATATGTAAAATTTTTTTATAATATATCAAGTAAGTATTTTTTGAGTTTATACAATATATACAAAAAATCTAAATTTTCGTCTTTATAACATTCGTTTAGATAGAGAAGTAACTAGTATTTATTACCATGTTACTTTGTTTCCTGCATTCCTTTTCAATTTTCTTAAACTCATGTTGTAACTTCTGTTGCTTACACTTGTTTAACATTTGTTGTCTACGTCCATCCATATAAGCGACTTTCTGTAAGGAAATATTAACATAAACTTATTTATATTCCAATTTAAGAGTGTTTATATAAAAGTTCGGCAACATTTGCACTATTTATTAAAATATTTCTAAATTCATTTAAGAAATGCTTTATAAGTGAACTTAAATAATAATCAGGCAATAAATTATATTACACTAGATGAAAACTTTAATTGGATAGAACATGTAGACAATGCATGCAAAAAAAATTCATGTTTGCACCCTATAGCAAGTGTCATCAATTAAGACTCCACTTAATGTATATTATGGTTTTGTATAATCAGTGCTGCGCTACGACTTGATAATCTGAGATAACTGCATAGAAATAGGAAGAGCCTTTAAAGCTCATAAAATGTATTAAAAATATATTAAACATTCTTTCTTCACCTAGTTTGTACATCCTTGAGATATTTATTTGTTAAACAGACTATAGACATGTTTATTACAAACTCACAACTAAAGGAAACAACAAGAAAAAAATAGTGTTGTCCAGAACAAACTACAATTGTACCAAAAAAAATTATTTATGTGCACACAAAATACATAATAAACTACTCTACTACTAGCATAACAGACTTGCAAGGATATCAATTCGAGAGTAAATTGACAGAGTGGTTATTAAAGCAAAGTTTCTATTTAATAAAGGATTATTTAACTTTTAAAAATGACATTTAGTGTTTTGCTATGTAAACATTTTAAATACAACCATTTATAAAATCCAAACATAACTAATATAATTAAAGTTACTTGAGTATTACTTATTCATAAGACTTTTATTTTTATGATTATAATTATATCAAATTAATTTAAATGTATTGGACTGTAAATATAATATAATATGTAATAATAATACCACAATACATCCTGTATTGATGATATTATTATTTCATGTTATGTTTTCTTATATTAATTTTAATTTTTTAAATATTATTTGCATGCCTATATATGTATGTATAAGGCAATTAAACTGCCAAACATAAGTCCACATGGCTATATTATTAAAATCCATCACAGTGCTTAAATACAAATAAATTAATTTCATTTATTTTTTAATAATTATTTAACTTAATTAAGGAAAGCAAAATATAAAGTACAAAATTTATTAATCATATACATTTATGTGCAATTTATCTAAGATTAAGTTATAACAGCATTAAGAGCATTTTTGTAATTTAGAAATATTGAATATTATCCTAGCTAAGGAAATACAATCCCTGAAATTAATGGGATCAGAGGTAGACAAAGATGAAGAAAATATAACTATAATTAAAAATACGTACATTGGGCTGACTGGCTTTGTCCTTTGGCAAAGAGTTCAAAAATGATATTGTATCATTATATTCCTTTTCTACATTTTGTTTCGTCATAGCAATTTTAGATCTCATATCCTGTAGTCTCTTTTGATGCTCCTTAACTTTATCATCTTCATTGGAAGTTTCCTTCACTGCTTGCGAATAAGCATCCTCTCCTGTCTGATAGGTAGGGACCACTAACTCATCATCACCACGTGGTATGTCTCGCATATCTCGAGTTGAATGATTATACACTGTCACAGAGTTCTTTTTTGCTAGTGTACTTGGTATGCTACTTGTAGTTGCTGTTTTTTCAGTAATTTTACCTTTTGCTGAAATAGGATTATTATGTAAATAAAATTTTACTTGAATTTCATACAAATGAATTTACATATTCTAAGATCAACATATTCATTACTGGTTTCTATAATGAGTCATAATAATTGTTTCTAAGTAAAAATCAGACTGACTCCATTATTCAAATAATCAAACTAATCTAAAAACTTTTCAACTATCATTTATAAATACAGAACTGGTAATATCTGAAATAAATACTACTAAATAATTGCAATAGTACAGTAACACAAAAATATGATATGAATTCAGTTTAATTCAAAACTAATTGAACTATTACAAATAAAAGCATAAGCTTTATTAACATTATTTAAATATACATACATTTACATAATTTTACACAAATTATATATATTATATAATTTGTGTAAAATTATGTAAATATATATTTTACACAATGCTACATATAAAGTAAAAAATCAATAGATGACAATAAAATGTCTTGTCACCTGCACACTTATAAGTTCTATATAAAACTCTATTTCTCCTAAATGGACTTGATCCTCTTAAGACTGGATTGGGAAACAATTCCCTGGCAGCAGGTTTAACTGAATTAAAAATCTTATTTGTTTGGGAATTAGTAACATTAAACTGGCAATTATATCTTTGTTGATCAAGAAAAATACTATGAGAACAAAATTCACACTTTGTCTCAGCCTGCCAAGATGGCACTGGGATAATTTGCTCATCAAGAACATGACATACATTATTGAATATGTTACCTCCTGTATTAGAAGCCCTGGTCCGTATTATAGTTTGTTTTATACTATTTAGGTCACTAGATGGTTTTTTCAAAGGTCCTGAATCTGTGTCTCTTAAATTAAGCCCCCTGTTTTTTAAATACTCAGATACTAGAGTCAATGAGGGTTTAACTGATACTCTTTCCTCTGGTATATTTGCAAGACCACCACGTAAGCTCAATGGCATTTCCTCACTAAGAGCAAATAGGTCCAGTCTCTTGCTTTTATCTGATTTATTTTCCATATTATTATTTACTGAATCCTTTGTGCTATCTCTGTCATCCCTAGGAAGAGACAATGTAGGTATATTTGGTTCCCACTCATTTGGAACTACATCAAAGTCCCATTGAGTTCCCATGTCAATTCGAGTTAAATCCTCTTTTGAGGCTTTAACAGTGTCATTTCCTATAGTAGGCTCAGCAGTAACAGAGGGATTAGTTTCTTTATTAGTCTCATCAGTATTTATGGATGGTTTTGTTAAAAGCTTATTAACTACAGCATTCGACTTCTCTCTACTGATCTCATTGGCAATTTCTCTGAAATGTAACCATATAAATATATAAAAAATAATAAATAATTACTACTATATTAAAATTTTATTTAGAGACAGCACAAACCTTGCGTGTACTTTCCTACTTAGTAATTTCTGTTGTTCATCCAATTTCTCTTGTTTTTTTCTTCTCAACTCGGCTACTGCCTCTCGTCCTCGTTGTTTTGACAAGTCTATTTTTTCTGGTGATTCTACAGTGTACAACAAAATATCCAGTAAGTATCTATTCTGTGATAAAATAAAATCTAAAAAGTGCTAAAACTAAATAATTACCTAATAATGTAACTTCAGTAGCATTTTTATGACTAGTCCCAACACTCTTAATTCCTTTTGCATACAAGTGTTCCAATTTTTTAACCAATTTGTCTTGACGCTGAAAGTATTCTTTTTGTCGTTTCCTGTCTATATCTGTTATATTCTGCAATTTTTCGGTTTTAGTACGTTGTCTAATCTTTTTGGCGATATCTTTTGATTGTTCCCTAACCTAAAATAAAATTTATAAATGGAAACCAACAATGATATTAGAATTTAACAAAATTTTGTAAAAGGACTGGAAAATTATACAAGTTAATATTATTTAAAGACAACAAACCTGTTGAAGTCTTAACTTTCGTCGTCGTAAAAATTCATTTGTTTTCAAACCTTCAACGTCGGTAGTCATCATGACATCTATTTCAAACAAATGAGTACCTACGTATTTACAATTTGTACAATATAGTTATTCTTATCAGTTCTAAATATAAGGATTATTTACAAATCATTTAACTAAATTAAGTAGTAAAACAAAGCATAATTCATTTTGAATATTACAAACAACAAAAAACTTTTAAAATGACAACGTATTTGTTGACTGTCACCGTCTGACAGTTAGTTGACATTTGACACACATACCCACCATTCTTACTTGAATTGTCCTCAGTCTATGAACCAAAGTCATACTTATAATTTCATTATTTTCTCATTATGTCTGTTTGTTCTATGAACACGGAGCATTGAAATTAAAAATTAAAGTTGGAAACAGGCTAAGTACAGGAAATAAAGCCACATTACCAACTCCTTCCATTAGACTACATTCAAAGTCGGGCAGTTCGAATTATTGACGATCGGCGTCTTACTGTCCGACTCGACCCACTGAAACTGCATAGAAATGTTGCATCTCTGTGCATCTTCTACCGAATTTATCATGGGGAGTGCTCTGAGGAATTGTTCGGCTTGATACCTACTGCTGATTTTCACCATCGTACAACCCGCCATAAACAAAAATTTCATCCCAACCATCTGGATGAGTGGCGGTCCTCCATTATGCGTTTTTCAAGGCTCTTTCTTCCACGCACAACCACTCTTTGGAATCAACTTCCAGCAGCAGTATTTCCGAACCGATACGACAACATAACCTTCAAGAAAAGACCATATTCTTTTTTAAAAGGCCGGCAGCACACCTGCAATACCGCTGGTGTTGTGAGTGACCATGGGCGGCGGTAGTCACTTACCATCAGGTGCGCCGCATGCTCGTTTGCCTCCTGTATTGTAAAAAAATAAAATAAAATAAAACACTGCGCGAATGATTGTTAATTGTAAAAAATAGCTTTACATAGCGCGATTGCTTCTTAACCAGTAGATTAATAATATATTATTTTCTCAAACAGTCCTTTACCTTACCTTAAAATAGATAGCTACGCTTATTTACTCCTACTATCTATCAATGGGAAAGGGATTGTTACTAATAGGATTTGTTTCAAACTCCATCATTTTTTAATTATTTTATTTTTATATATTTGTGTTCTCACATCTTAGATTTACATATGAGGCGTAAAATCAAACACAGCTAAATTCAAATCTGTCAAATGTTCAGGAACCTACAAAAAAAATATATTTTGTCAAGGATATGGAACAATATCCTATATCTTAAACCAGATTAAAAAAAATTAGAATATTAGTTATAATTTGAATTTTAATTAGTAGAACTCCCTCTATATTTGAGTATAGAGTGAAAATGAAATCGATTTTATGGTGTTTATTGCCTTTGATTTTATAGGCCTCATATTTTGTTTTTTATCTCAATTTCCTTTTCGCTGCCTTTTTATTTCTATACTTTCTTCATTACAGTTAGTTTCCCTTTTAATGCGATATTTCATCATATTAAATACAACATACAGTTTACAATATCACCCACAGGGTTGGTTTCCATGGCTAGTAATGTACTCTATCAACCATCGTGGTTAATAAATTGTTGATTTCGTCACTTTGGACTAACTGACCTGCTTTTATCCTTACTGATTATCTCACACTGATGATGCTCTGCCAGCATATACCGAAAACTCTGGATGAGGTACCATTCCAATATCACCAATTAGGGAGAAAAGGGATTGTTAATAAAGGGGATTAGCAACCCTAATACGAGCATATACCCTATCAGGTCGATATCCTCGCGGTTCCTCCTGGAAACCGTCTTGATTGATTCAATAGTGAGTTTGTCACGATGGGCTAACTGACCTGCTTCATCTTCACTTATCATCTCTCACTGGTGCCCCGCCAGTGCATACCGATAGCACAGGCGAGGTTACCATTCCATTATCATCTATCAAAAAAGTTGTTACCCATTATAAAAAAACCTAAATTAATTTATAACTCAAGACGATTTACTATGACAAATGATTTTTTACGATTTATTATCGGTGATTTATTAACAAGTAAATACCACAACCCACAACCTATATGCATTAAAATCTCTCAAGAAATAATATGATGGGCCAATTGACCTGCTTCATCTTCACATATCATCTTTCACTGGTGGCCCACCAGCTTATACCGATAGCGCAGGCAGGGTTAACATTGCATTTTCATCCCTTAAAAAAATTACTCTCAATTCATACCCCGCCAAAATTTAGCGGTAGTACCAATAGAGAACAAACTCATAAATGCGAATGTTTGTACCGGGCATAAATCGAACCCACATCGGAAGACGAACCGAAGGGTTTAATCGCTACACCACCAAGGTCCTTGTAATAATAAATCTTTGCTTATAATATAACAAAGATATAGCTGACCACAAAAATATTTTTTATACAACTTAGAATGGCAAACAAGCTGACGGTCCACCTGATGGAAAGTGGTAACAGTCGCCTATAGACATGAGCAGTACCATGGCCATAACAGAGTATACTGTTTCGCCCATGATACCTCCCATGCGTTGCCATTCCTGAGGACTCAGGTATTATTCCTCTGTACCCTGTAAATTCACGCTATATCCCACCCTTCAAACCGAAACACAGCCATGCAAACACAACTGCTTTACGGTTGAAACACGAATGGGACAGAGGTACCCAAGCAATCGACTTTTGTACAAAGTCTTCCTCTGGTTTTTTGTTTTTAATGAAGATCAGAAATGTATAAATGGATAAATGTGTTTATTAGCAATGCTAGTTATTTTAGATACACATGACTAACTTTAAATTATTACAAAATAGAATGGTATCCAGGCAACCAAACAAAGTTATTTGTAATCGATTGTTTTCTTTGTTTTCTTTTTTATTCTATTCTTATGCGTCTAAGTTTTGTTTTATTTGTTTGGGATGTAAGATTGAATTGCACAAATAAACCGACTTCAATTGTGACGAAACCAATTATTTTCATTTAAAAACTAAACTCCTGAATCGATTATGATAAAATTTCTATGGGATTATATAATAAAATTACTAGTATTCTATAATAAAAAAAATCCAAATCAGTTTACAAGTGACGGACTTATTAGGTAACAAAAATTAAAAAAAACAGAGTTCAAACCTCCTTCTTTTTTAAGTCGGTTAAATATATATATATATTCTTTATTGCATTTGTAAGTTACATATAAAATAATCTATTTATAAATGTTGTGAGCAAGGGTGGACTTATCTCTGACAGAGATCTCTTCCAGTCAACCCAGTACAGTAAGAAAGCATTTCGTTAGCGGACAGCTGAAGTGCTACAACTATTAATACATAAACAAATATACAGTTAAATAAAATATTAAAATATATAATAAAATATTACATAAATACATACTATAAATATATACAATACCTACCTACTTATATAGTATATGTTAAAATAAATTAATATACTACATACATTAGAAATTTCGTTTAATGATTTTAAGATTTGAGAGTTCAATTAGAAAAATACAAAAAAAAAAAAAAAAAAATATATTACTCAAGGGAAAGAAAATGTGATTTTAACCTCTTCTTGAAAGAGGTAATAGAGGGACTCTCTTGTATTTGGGAAGGGAGTTTGTTCCATAACTGGACAGCTCGATACGAGAAAGAGTTGCCCATAAAGTGTGTCCTACACACAGGAAGTTCAAGCATCCTGGATTGCAGTTGACAGGAGCGTTTAGGACGGACTGGTGGTGGTAATAATTTAAACCGGGAGCGGAGGTACGATGGAGAATTGGGGTTATTGAGTATGTTATAAAGGAAAGAAAGGATGTGCATATCACGTCGAAGTCGGATAGGGAGCCACTTTAACTGGTTGCGAAATAATATAAAAATAAGTAAAAGCAAACAATACCAATACATAAAAAAATTCAGTTGAACGATTTCGAAGATTAGCGTGAACAAAGACACGGGACTTTTGTATTGATAGATAGACAGATATACATATGTACTTTATTATTTTTTAAGATCGCACTGAGTGCTTTTGAAAACAATTGAATGTCCTGTTTCCTCGAGAGCAATTGTCATGAAATCTGGTACATATGCATATATTATTTGGGACATTTTACGATCAAACAACGCGGATGAAGTCGAGGGTTAAAGCTAGTAGATACATTATTTTAAAACAGCTACTAGAGTCATTACGATCAAAGTCGTTATTTGTTTAATTTTAAACTATTTTCTCTTCAACTTGTTGTCTTGTTTTGTATTTGTATATATTATATACATATATTGTAGCTCTTAAACATGTTTATTTTCACTGTGACCCTCTACATAATGTTCACTCCAGGTTTAAATTTCATATAAATAATAGACACTTTATACTCTACAGGTATATTAAATGATTTAATTTAAATCTATACATATAAATAAAATTGGAGTGTCTGTTTGTAATATTGAAATAACCGTTTTTTACTACATGTATATGAATATATATACGGTACATATACCAAAATAACATTTTTTACAATTTTTGTCTCTCTGTCCGTTTGTTCCGGCTAATCTCTTAAATGGCTAGACCGATTTTGACGGGACTTTTATTGACAGGTAGCTGATGTAATAAGGAGTAACTTAGGCTACGTTTATTTTAGAAAAATTCTTTTATTTTAGAAAAATAAAGTAATGGTGCAATATCCAAGTATTGTCCAGTACCGCGCGCAGTTAGGCAGAACGAAGTTCGTTGGGTCAGCTAGTCACCAAAGAATCTGGTCGGTTGTTCGTTAAAATATAATATACACGAAGAAATAGGCAGGCAAGCAACCTGTTTATTTGTATATTATAGTAATTATGTTTATGTATATAATCGAAGTTATGTAAACAATTTTTACATTTATACAAAATGATAAAATAATATGATAACATTAGGGGCACCAGCGCTATATTCAAACCTAATCTTCGAAAACTATATAATATCTTATTTTGGTGAGTAAGGAATCGCTGTATTTGTTTATTAACCACAGAGCTTCAATTCAATTCAATCGATTATGTTATTTATGAGTTACAGCAAAGAATCTACTACGCCCTCGACTCCATCAAGAAGCCCACTGACTGTACCACCAAGGGCACCTCCCGAATTACTACCTGAACTACCATCACTTCCGGAGTTATCTTTACCACCAGACCCTCCAACCCCATTAAGAAGCCCACCAACTGTGCCTCCAAGGCCACCCCCGGATTGACTACCTTTACTGTTATCAGGACCTACGCCCAAACGCAAAATATCCTGACCAGCTAACATTAGTTTGAGTAAATCATTGTGGTCTAATAAACTTAAATCTATAAGCCCTTCGTCCTTAGTCTTGCTACCTGTACTACCAGATCCACCATTTCTTCCAGAACCATCACTACCGGACTTATCTTTACTACCAGACCCTCCAACCCCATTAAGAAGCCCTCCGACTATGCCTCCAAGGCCACCCCCGGATTGGCCACCTTTACTGTTATCAGGACCTACGCCCAAACGCAAAATATCCTGACCAGCTAACATTAGTTTAAGTAAATCATTGTGGTCTAATAAACTTAAATCTATAAGCCCTTCGTCCTTAGTTTTTCTACCTGTACTACCAGATCCACCATTCCTTCCAGAACCATCATTCTCTCCAGACGAACCATGCCTGCCAGAACCCCCATGCCATTTGAATCCACCATGACCTCCAAAACTGCCGTCTTCTCCCGGCCAACCGTGCTCGCTATTCCCACTATGCCCTCCAAACCAAGGTGGATATTCTCCAGATCCAGATCCACTATGCCCACCAGACCAGTGATGCCCTCCAGGTCCACTATGTCCTCCAGGTCCGCTATGTCCTCCAGGTGCTCTATGTCCTCCAGATCCGCTATGTCCTCCAGGTCCGCTATATCCTCCAGGCCAACTGTGCTCTCCAGAACCACAATGTCCGCCATAACCACCGTGCCCTCCAGACACACCGTGTCCTCCAGACCCACCGTGTCCTCCAGACCCAGTGTATCCTCCAGCCCCACCGTGCCCTCCAGTCACATCACTACCTCTCTGCTGAGCTACGACAGTCACTAACGCATTGATTAACTTTTCGATGATCACTGTATTATTAATATCGTTATGATTATTTTTACTTGATGTGCTCTCACAACTACAGTCATTTTCCAAAAGTTTGGTAAATAATAAAAGCGTATTTAGATCGTCTCCAGAATTGTAACATGGGGCTGGTTCCACTGGACGTGGTAGTTGATGAGTGCAGTAAGTGCGGCCGAAATATTGTGCTTGAGTAAACTGTGGATTAAAGATAATCTAATTAAAAAATCATTCAGTAAAAGTAATTGTTTTTTTTTATTCAGGCGAAGGAATGAGAAAATATATGTCATCCTTAATATGCATATTTCACTCCACTCTACAAATATTTTAAGGTGACTCCTCACTAACTTTAACAAAATTTGCAATAAATCAAAAATTTCTTTAAAAATTTAAAAATCAATATTCTTGTTGATGGATTGTTGTTATAAGTTTATAGATAAGTATATATATTTTCCAAATTATAAATATAAATAATATTTCTAATAAACGCTAAAATAAATGTAAGATACTATTTATTTATTTTTTATTTCTTTATTTATTCTATGCTTATTTATTTACCCACCATATATATAATATATTTATATCCGAACACAAAAATTATATCAATTACCTAATAAAATTTAGTTACGTTACGATACTTGACACAGGATTTCTTATAAAATGAAATAAAAGAAGCAATAAAAAACTCACGCCACATAGAACAGTAATACAAGTCAAAGAGAGAAGTGTAAAGGATGCCATAATTAAATAATGAATTGTGAAATATATTTACACGTGTCCTTTAAATAGAATTTGTATGTTGCAACAATAAATTAGTACAGTCAATAACAAAATGCAAAATATATTCTGCGGATTACATCAAAATTTTATATTTTATTTTTTATAAAATTTAGCGAACAAACTGGTGGTTGGTGGTATTTAACTAAATAATATTGGTTTACCCGACTACCGCTAAAATGAAGGCAATATTCTTCTAGTGTGCACTCATATAACGTACTTATGTATGTCTTTACTTAAGGAATAGAATAGAAGCTATTAAATTTGTAATAATAAATAAATACGATATAATTTAATTGTTAACACATTTGTACTTTGCTGTACTCCTTAGAGTTACCTTTCGTAATACCAATGTTATTTGTAATATCACTGTGATTCAGAAGGGTTTGTCACGTTTATAGGAGATTAGGTACAGGTGCCAAGAATGGTCATATCAGTGCTTCTTTTATTACTCTTGTCCATTATGATATTTTACTATGTAGGATTAACTAAATAAGTTACTTAGACATTTACTTATTTTTATTAACTTTATTTTGCATCCGGCGACCAATCTACGTCAATACATAAAATACCTACTTAGGTATTTATAGACTGTATATACATAGCAATCTCGATTAATTATTTTAAAAAGAAAGAAACGTAATTTCATGACCTAATCGTTTTTATGAATATAACATAAACAAACCGACACTATAAAATACTGAAATATAAAATGGATACGGGTCCAAAACAAAAAAGACAAGTAAATCCACGTTGCAGAGCAAATTGGTTTTCTATTTTAACGTTTGGGTACGTTATGTATCAATAGTTTGTGAATAATTAGATCCTACTTATGTGGACACAAAGGGATAGAAGTCCCTGGCGCTGCTTATAAGCATAATACTTCTATTTCTATATAGAAATCAGCAGCTATAGGTGCTGATTACTATTGTCCATATGGTGGAGCCTCAGCTTGTTTGTCATTTTAAGTAGACATCATAAAAAAATCTATATTGGAATTTTTCTTTTGAGTCTATATATTTATAACATTCTAGGATATTCAAATAGATAATTAGGTATTACAGATAGAAGAATAATCACTATTGAAAGGGTCGGTGAATTGTGGGTGGTAGGTAGGACCTTCGCTAACAGTGGTGGGTGCTCTTCACAAGTAATATTATAATTTATGATGGATCTAAACAAAATAACACTAATGTAATAACTATTACTGTACAAAATAACGTTTTATTCAATTAAATACAATTTTATTAGATGGACATTAGAAACATTTAAACTTGGCTACAATCGCGACATAAAGGAAAGTGATCTGTATGGACCTCTACCAGAACATCGCTCAGATGTTTTAGGTGAGCCACAATTTTATACATCAGGCTCCAAATTATTATACTGATCCAGATTACGTAATTAATTTACATTAATATACATAAGGTGATGCCCTCCAAAGAACTTGGGATAAAGAAGTTGATCAGAATAGAAAACTGGCAGATGGGTCTAAACCTAGCTTATGGAAGGTCCTTTTCAAAGTATTCGGCCCTGAGCTAATGTTGTATGGTTTAATACTTGCAGCGATGGAGTTTTTGATCAGGTTTTTTATTATGTTCATTACTGAGTAGGTATAAAACAAGAAAATACGTTCATACCTGTTATGTATTTATTGTTTGTCTCGTAAATATACAGAAAACGGAATCCTATAATTATTGTATTTATACACTACTAGCTCGCTTGAGTCTGGCACGTTTGTACAATATTATGAAAGTATGCAATAATAATTATCACATTTGCTAATAGTATGTTTACGGTTTTGTAATAGATTACAGCAACCACTGTTTCTTGGATTATTATTACGTTACTATAGCCCTGCTCAAGAATTGAAAAATGGCACGTAAGTTTTTACACAAAATATATCTAAATCTAACAATTTTCGAATTTCTGATACGTTATTATAATGTTTGCTTCCTTACTCCAGAAGTACTTCAATGTATATGTCCCGTCTATTCAACTATTATCAGAGGGAAGACAGTGTGACATGGGGAGAGGCTGTGTTCTTTTCGTTTGGCGTTGTGTTCTGTAGTACCGTGAACGTGATGGTACAGCATCCATTTATGATGGGCGTAATGCATATAGGCATGAAAATGAGAGTCGGCATGTGCAGCCTTATTTATAGAAAAGTATGTTCTTATGCATATTTTCTGACTTTTTAGCCTTGTTCACTTTTGTGGTATAGCAATTTAACATACTGCTCACATTCCAAAGAGATATATCTAAAAAAATATAAAATAAGAGCATGAATAAGTAGGTGAAGTTGGTGAAAAAAGCTATTGGTGTTATTGTATGGCATGCCAATTATAAGGTATATAGTACAATTTTCAGGCTTTAAAAGTAAGCATACAAGCTATATCTGAGAATAGTGCAGGATTAGTAGTGAACCTAATGGCGAATGATGTTAACCGCTTTGATACGGGCCCACTATTCGTTCACTACCTTTGGATCGGACCGTGTGAAACTCTGGTGTGTATAATGTATTTACCTATCTAGATTCCTGTAGGTACTACATATTTATTTAAATTAAAAATTATTAAAAATGATTTTCAGCTGATGACAGTATATTTGTACAGAGACATGGGAATGGCTGCAGTTTGTGGAGCAATGGTTATTTTCGCCATGGTACCCTTTCAAAGTGTGTGACGAATATTTTAATATTACTTCGTAATAGATACCAGTTTCCTCGACCCGTTACATACATATACAAATTATACTTTCCAGTATATCTGGGAACTAGAACAGCTTATTATAGAAAAGGGACTGCTTTAAAATCTGACGAAAGAGTAAGACTAATGAAAGAAATCCTAATGGGAATGGAAGTTATAAAAATGTACACATGGGAACGACCATTTCGAAAGATTATTGATAATGTTCGCAGGTGAGTTTGTATTATCTATGATTTATTAATATGACATAGGAAATATATGTCTTAATACAAATCCATGCAAAAGACATATTATTTGTTTATAATAAAAAATGAATTTAATACAATTTAATGTACCATTTTTTTTAATTTCAGTATATATTAATTACTAGTTGTATCACGCGACTTCATATAAAGTGTTCTATAAACTATATAACCTACTCGTATGCTAAATTTCATTTAAATCTGTTCAAACATTTTTGCATGAATTAGTAACATCTTTCCATGCATCGTTACAAACATTTGCATTTATACTATTAATAGATAATGCGTTTTTTTTTTAAATCCTGTTCTATTTGTATTTATTAATTCCCGGGAGAACAACTTTAGATCTCTAGTATTCTCATATCACGATTGCGGTATTTAAATATTTAATCAAATATTATTATAATCAATTTCAGAGGTGAAATATACTACATCAAGATGACATCATACATTCGGGGCGTAATAATGTCATTCATCATGTTCACGTCCCGTTTTGGTATCTTCCTCACTGTGTTGTTGTATGTTAAGTATATCAACAGGATCACAGTTGAAAATGTCTTCTTTCTTACTTGCTTCTACAATATTATGAAGCAGACTATGACATTATACTTTCCTCAAGCCGTTGGTCAGGTATTGATCATTATACATTCCAATTATTGTTTTAAATAATTTTAAATAGATAATAATAAGTGTTCAATAGATTGCAGAAATGAATGTAGCAGTTCAAAGAATTCGCGATTATTTATTGAGCGAAGAATGCTATCTTCCAGCTAGAACATTAGAACTCGATGTAAGAACAGTTAAAAGTTTTAAGAAGGTCACAATAGGTAATTTGATATTCCAAATTTGAATACAATGACAGGAGAAGAAACATTTTAAAAAATAAATATTCACATTATAGTTGATCCTCTGAAGTCACCGCTTCATACCAGTCATGAAGTACCGGGCACTTCACATAAAACGAAAGACAGAAAAGGTTTGAAATTTTGACATACATATAAAAATCATCATCACATTAGCCGTTAACTGTCCATTGCTGAACACAAGACTCCACCTTGGAGGGTTTTGCCAATAGTTGCTAAGCGTGGCAGGCAGGCTGACAACCGCAATAAGGCCTTGGTGATGTTTTAAGAGAGACCCTGCTCCCCATCTATCGATCATTTATCCTTTAGTTTCTTTACGATTCTCACGGTAAAGAAAGTAGTGGCCCATTCTATGCTTGGCCATGCCGTATAAAATCATAATTTGATAAAGTTAGAATTTCTAAAGCCAAAACTGTAGTCCATCATGAACAAAACTGTTGCTAGTTAACGCATTTTTATGTTTTTCATTAAAAATGAGTAATGGAAAAATAGGATCTTTAATACCAATTTATAGAGAAACCATATAAAGAACAAAAAGGTGAAGCGATTATCATATTCAACAAAGCCAATAGCCGTTGGGTAAAATCCTCCGAAAAAGATGACGTCAACAATATTAATTTAAAGGTAACGATTATTGATATTATTAAAAGCACAAATATAAGATAATAGATATATTATCAGAAGAAAATATATTTCCAGATATTATCTGGATCTACAACGACAATAATAGGAGCAGTTGGTTCAGGTAAATCTACATTACTCCACATGATACTTAAAGAGTTACCATGTTCCCATGGAAGTGTGGAAGCCATTGGATCTATTAGTTACGCTAACCAAGATCCTTGGCTTTTCGTTGGTAAGTGACAATATGATAAAATTATTGGCCTTGATGTTATATAAGCAGTTTAATCGATATTATACTTATAGGTTCTGTACGTCAGAACATTTTGTTTGGGCAACCTTTTAAAAGAGCTCGCTATATGGAAGTTTGTAAAGTATGTGCCCTGGAAAGAGACATTTCATTATTTCCACATGGTGATAAAACTGTTGTTGGGGAACGTGGTGTATCATTAAGTGGAGGGCAACGTGCCAGGATCAATCTTGCAAGAGCTATATACAAGGAAGTAAGATATCACACTCTATGTTCATATAAATAAATAAAATGCCTGCGTTACTCTATAACTTTTAATAGGTAGAAGAATTTTTTTAATCGGTTGAATAGCATTTAATAATAATAATATTTTATTTGCTTGAAATATGGTCTGTACAAGTTATTTTAAGTAGTAGTAGTGCTAACACATTTCATTTTATATAAAGGGATGCTTTTATCATTGTACATATTACTTAGTATTTTTTAATGATTTGTGGTTTAAGTTCAAACAAAAAACATATATTTATATCTAATAAACGTGAAAATGAATTTGTTTATTTGTTACCTCTTAACGCCTCAACGGTTTAACTAAGCACTTTAAAATTTGATGTATACCAAATTTCAAAGTGCGTATATTTTAACAATATAATTTAAATATAATATAAATAAATAAACTATTATAATAGGATAAAGTTACGAGTAAAAAGTACCTAGTATAGATTTGCAAATACTTATATTTATTATAAGTTCAAAACTTGACATTTTGACCTTGTTAATAATAGATACTTAAACCTTATTTTCATCGATTAGTTAATTTCAGTTCACTTTTTATATTATTTCAGGCTGATATTTACTTATTAGATGACCCTTTATCAGCTGTAGATACCCAAGTGGCAAAACATATATTTGAAAGATGTTTAAAATGGTAATGAAATTTTGTAAACCCACAGCATAAAATGAATATATATATATGTATGTATGTATGTATATAATAATAATAATTTCATGTCATTACAATTTTTATGTTACATTTATATATTTAGTTTACGTGTACATTAACTATTCCAATAAGTACCGCGTTCGTGATTCACTGTTTATCCCAAAAGATCTCTTGTAGAGAACACTATTAGCATTACATCTGCTTTATGTACCATATTTTTATTTGGTCAATAAAGTTATTTAAATGAATTAATTACACATATACCTCTTTCAGGTACCTAGCTGACAAAACGGTAATATTAGTGACACATCAGCTGCAATTTATAAAATCAGTAGATCAAATTGTTATAATGGACAAAGGAAAAATTATCGCCGATGGTAGTTTTGAAGATTTGAATGTAAATTAAATACAATTTTATAATATTATATTATTCTGTTAACAAACCATGTTATAAAGATGAAATGTTTAAATTATTTAAGGAAAGAGATTTAAAAATAATAGAATTAATGGTGGATAAAGCTCAAGAAGTGCGCGAAGAGGATGGTTCATCGACAATTCAAAGCACATCGACGTTACAGCCTAGCACACTCAGTTTACATAAACGCCATTGGTCCCTATTATTCGATAACAGCATCTCAGTAAGCATTCAGCGTTGACTTGTAACTATGTATAAATTATTAATGTAATTAGTTTTAAAGAATATTCATAATATTATAGGAGCAAACGCAAGAGGCAGAATTACAAACCACAGGTCGAGTGCAAAGCTCTGTTTACCGAGAATATTTTTTGACTGCCGCTTCTTGTCCATATGTTTCTCTTGTGTGCTTTATGTTTATTCTGGCACAAGTTTGTGGAAGCACTTGTGACTATTGGATAAGTCGATGGTAATAAAATCATAGTAATTCTGAATTGTAAAATAATCCTAGTAGATTGTCAGGCTTTAGTAGATAGTAGATGGTAGACATATGATGAATCTTGTAATATGATAAGTAGAATACCAATTATTCGTGTTTCATATATTTTTCGAGTCTTAATTAATCTTAATCTTTTATTCCAGGAGCAAAGTTGAAGATCAATTAACCGGCGATTCCACTTTAGATAATATCTTATGGTCTGAACAAGGATTAAGACGCAGTGACTTTGTTCTCATTTTTGGCATAATCACATCAGCAACGATTATGGTGGCTTTAATTAGAGCGTTACTTTTCTTTTCTCTATGTATGAAGTCGTCTATAAAGTAAGCGTTTTTTCTCTTCATCCGATTTAAAAAAGAAAACGGTTTTCAACGAGGTTTTTTTTTTATGTGTGTTACCTCAACTGCCTGCCAGAGTTACGTCATATAACTAACATTACTCCGTCAGGCAGTTGAAGCACAGATAATATAATACTATACTAGTAGTTGAAGTAATCGATTTGGAAAATTATTTTTTGTTTTAAAAGACATGCTTAGAGATTAGTCCTATAGATATTTTATCAAAATCGGTTCAGTAGTTTAGTTTTAAAATTAAAGCAACTGGTTTTGCTACATTTGAAGTCGGTTATTTTCTGTAGAACACAATTAGTTGACCTCATTTACAATAATATATATTTTTTATTCTGGGTTAATTAAATTTTTAGTTGCATTAAAAATTGTATTTTCTAGGTTTCATGATAAAATGTTTGAATGCATATCGCATTCGCCTATGAGTTTCTTTCACTTAAATCCATCAGGAAGAATTCTGAACAGATTCAGCAAAGATATGGGTGCTATCGACGAGTTGTTACCGCAAGCAATGATTGACTGCTTTCAAGTTTGTATGATTATTGATAAAAACAAATTAGATATAATAAATACAATGGATTTTATGGAAATTATTTATTTTCAGATTATTTTGAATTTGGTGGGCGTTATAGTGGTGATTTTAATGACCGATATTACATTGTTAATACCAATTGTAACTGCTTTACTAATATTTTACATTTTTCGTATAATTTACATACGAACTACTGGTGCAGTGAAACGTTTAGAAGGAATCAGTAAATATGAATTAAATACTTTTTATACGCGAAATGAATTAACTGTAAATTAAAATAGATTTTAAAGCATAATTTTTGTTGTTCATTAAAATTACATTAAGTGTAATTAATTTTACATACACAATTAGTAGCCTAATGAGTAATGAAAAACAATGTTAATAAACAGTTATTCCTAAATATTTTACACTTGCCGCCACATTCAGTTAAAATTAATATGCCCAAAATAAGGCTATGTTCACAATAATTACAACAATACGATAAATGTCTCCGACAATCTCATCAGTATTCAGTCACACGTGAGTTTAAAACAAATATGCATCTAGGCATAATCTCCGAAACTAGTGATAAAGTTCACTAACACAAAATAAATAAAATAATAAATAATATAATATCTGGCAAAGAATTTCTTCGGAAATTATATCAGAAATGAAAGGTTCTAGAAACTTTTCTAAGCTTCTCCTCATGCCTAGACCTAGATAAATTATCAAGTGTATTAACCTAATTAATATGGACTTACCGATATATTTTCTTCAGCTCGCAGCCCAGTATTTAGCCACGTAAACGCCACAGTCCTCGGGTTGGCTACAATCCGTTCCTTCGGTGCGGAATTGCTGCTGGCCAAGGAGTTCGACCGGCATCAGGACTTGCACAGCGCAGCGTGGTACCTGTTCATATCGTGCAGCCGCGCATTCGGATACTTCCTCGATGTCATCTGTTTATTGTTTATTATATGCGTCACTTTTAGCTATTTGATGAAGACTGGTTTGTATCTGGTGATATTTTAAACATTCTTATTTTAATTATTTGTCTATAACTAAATTTTTGAGAATGTCACAATAATTACTATATCTACCTATTCATTAAAACTATAACTCTTCTTAAAATACCTTAAGCAATAGAATTGGTAATAATAAAAGTTTTGCAGATATATTTTTACTACATTAAAACCGCCACAAATAAATTCACTTCCAAACAAAAGTTACGAACTCATCTCAACTCTCTCCAAATCTAATTATGTACTTACTTATTGCCCATTAAGTCACTTCTTCCTTATACTGTTTAAACTATTGATAATGTTTCTTCTACTTTATATGTATAATTATTCGAATATAAATATAATAAAATATAATGGCGTGGCAAAAGGCATGGAGTAAAATTTCAGCGATGTAGAAGTCTTCGAACTCCTACCAATATTTTTAATGCTTTAACTCCCCAAAGTATTAGAAATTGTATTATAAAATCTTTATTAAAAAGAATGGAAGGGGAAAACATATTACGCCGACCCCAAATGATAGTTGGAATAAGAGTAGGAAGATGACGATTATAAAATATTTATTGTGCTTTACATTGAACGAATTATGTTTTAACAATATTTAAAAATATTGATAATCTCCATTCGTGTTCATATATTCATTAACTATATCCAAATTTTCTCAACATGACAGATATCGAGGGTAGTCGCATTGGTCTAGCAATCACTCAGTCAATATCATTGACGGGTATATTCCAATGGGGCATGCGACAATCGGCAGAAATGGAAAATCAAATGACGAGCGTTGAAAGAGTTCTGGAATACACCAAGTTACCTCTAGAATCTGCTTTAAGAAGTGTAAGACAATCATATTCATCTTAATTTACCTTTCAGCTACCGTCTGATAAACGAGTTACCTACATACACAAATCTCTTTCTACTATACCTACCACTAGCTTTTTCTTATACCACAAAGGTAGCATCCGGAGATTGTTAGTAATGGGGAGGTTAGTCCCCATTGCTATCAATATACCCTATCAGGTCGACCTCCACACGGTTCTCCCTGACTAATTTATCGTTGAATTCGTCACAATGGGCTAACTGACCTGCCTTTTCAACATCACCTATCACCTCTCATTGTGCCCCGCCAGTGTATACCGATAGCGCAGGCGGGGTAATCATGCCATTTTCACCTATTAAAAAAACCACAAAGGTGGCAAACAAGCATATAGCCCGTCTGATGGTAAACGGTCATGGTCACGGTCAGCTTCCTTACTGTGCGCAAAATTTTCTATTTATAAATTTTAATAAAGTTAATAATAATCCCAAATGATTTCAATCTTTATTACTATAAAATTTCAAATGAAGAGCGACTGAAACTGTGTCATTTTAGTAATCAATTTATACCTGAGAGAAGTAAATATAAATTTCGTTACAGGCTCCAGATAAAAAACCTCCTAGTGACTGGCCGTCGGAGGGGGCCATACATTTTAATAATCTTAGTTTAAAATACTCGCCAGGTGGGAATTATGTATTAAACAAATTAACACTAAATATTCAGCCTCAGGAAAAGGTAATTTAATGTTAAAATTCTTACCAAACAAATTGATAATAAAATTTATAGTTACTCATTTGCATAGATTCTAATTACAACCTAGGTATTTCATTTTATTAATGAAATCTATACATATAATAAAACTGTAGCGGTCGAATGTCTGCACATAGAAAAAAAAAAACGCTAAAATCTGAGTCAGGAGAATGTTAGAAATGAAATAAAACATCCAGATTTTTTAATTTTTTTTGTATTTGTCTGTTTTTACGTATTAATCTACCAAGCTATTAAACCGATTTAAAAAAAAAATTGCATGGCGGATTGTATATACCTGGTCAATATTTTAGATACTTTTAATCACGGAAAATTAAAAAGTTCCCGTGAAATAGCTAAAAAAACTATAGTAATTTATAAAGCTTAGTATACAACCTACTTAAGTCATTTTGACCTAAGGCAAAGAGTGAGAACGACACATCATTTGTTAATTTTGGTCCAGTATTTCCAGACATAATAAACAAGTAAGTACATAGATACACACTAAACAGGAATAACAAATACCACGCGGATAAAGTCGCGGGCATCAGCTAATACGTAATATATGAAAATACGTAAATAGTGCTTTTTATTTCCACTTCACAGATTGGAATAGTAGGCCGAACTGGTGCTGGCAAGTCATCCGTAATACAGGCTTTATTCAGACTAGCCTATTTGGAGGGCTCCATTATTATAGATGGCGTGGATATCTCGATGATTGGTCTCCATGACCTCAGGGAAAAGATTTCAATTATTCCTCAAGTACTTAAATTTAAACTATTATTGTACCTAAATGAAAACACTGCAATGTTTTATGAGGATAGTCGAAAATAACTCTTAATGAAATAAATTAAGATTTTTTTATCGCTATACTAGTGGTCAGTGAGTGAGCTCATGTGATATAGCAGCGTAGTAAATTTAATAAATTTTTATATAAGAGTACTTATTAAGAAATATAATTTTCTTTTTCAGTACATTGATGCATGTGTAAAAAAATTAAGAGTGATTTACAATTCTGTTATTTATATCGAGTCTGTTCCAGGGTTTTCTTTAGATGATTGAAGTCATTTCATAAAAACCTTTATATACGAACTGAGTTTTGAGTAATATAACACTCTATAATGGCCCAAATTTATGTATATCGTAGGAACCAGTCCTGTTCAGTGGTACAATAAGGAAGAATTTGGATCCATTTGACGAATATATAGATGAAGTACTATTAAAAGCTTTAAATAATGTGGAACTCCAATCTGAATATGAAGGGACAAGTAATGTTTATATGACAATTTACTTTTTAGATAATTTGTATAAATGTGTCTTCTTTTATATAATACTTATGTAAAAACATGAATTTTCTCGTAGTCGTCACTTACGACATTATTGGAATAAAAAGGAGTGATAACATATTTTTCTTCAAATTTCTTATCATTTTTTGATATAAGAAAATTAAAGAGTAACCCCACCTGCGTTATCAGTACACGCTAGCTATTTTTTTTTTCTTTTTTTTTATACAATTTAGAATGGCAAACAAGCTGAGGGCCCACCTGATGGAAAGTGGCAACCGTCGCCTATAGACATCCTCTGTACCCAGTAAATTCACGCCATATCCCACCCTTCAAACCGAAACACAGCCATGCAAACACAACTGTTTCACGGTTGGAACACGAATGGGACAGAGGTACCCAAGCAATCGACTTTTGTACAAAGTCTCCGTCTGGTAAGCTTTGGTAGCTAACATGAATATACCAGTATACCATAATGATAGGTGAACATGAATACGGGTCAATCAGGAATTAATCACAATGGTTTACAGGAGGAATAATGTAGAGGTTGATATCTGAGAGGGTACATAATTATCTAAATAGAGGACTAACCTCCTCATTACTAATAACTTTTTCCCCAACAATTTTAAATCACAGAGGTACTATACAAACAAGTGTCGGAAGGTGGCTCCAACTTCAGCGTGGGGGAACGTCAATTGGTGTGCCTGGCGCGAGCGATAGTACACAAGGATAGGATCTTAGTGCTGGACGAGGCGACCGCTAATGTGGACGCGCAGACCGACGCGCTCATACAGACCGCTATAAGGCAGCACTTCAGAGAATGCACCGTCCTCACAATTGCACATAGGCTAAACACCGTTATTGATTCAGATAAGGTGATTCTAATATATCTTATTTTCCAACAGTTTATATATCTTGGGTAGTAAATTTAGTACATATTTGTTTGTTTCATCATCTTCCTATCCATATCCAATTTATTATTTGGGATCAGCGTTTTCCTTCCATTTTTTTCTATTCGCAGTCATTACCGCATTCATCCTCATTCTGGCCATATCATCTTTCACACTGTCTTTTTATGTCTTCCTCTGCCCTTACAGCCATCTATATTCATACTATCTACATTTATAATACCTTTCATAGAACATGCTTCTCATCCCTGCGCATTACGTGTCCATATAGGACAGACTGTTTACTCCTTAACTTTTCTATCACTGGCGCTACTTTCATACTTCCTCTGATATACTCATTCTTAATTCTATCCATTTTTTCACATCACATACCTCAACATATTTGTCAAATTCTTAAATTTTTACGTTTTAACTAAATACTCTAAATAAAAGTGGCAGACACCGCGAAGTATTACATGATATTGTCAACTATAAATATAACATAATAACTTTTCTATTTTACTCTCGTCTGTGCTCTATCATTTAATTGACATGATAGATGAATACTTACTTCCAATTTCTTATTAAGGCATTTAGATGTTTAAAAAAGAGAAGTCTTATACTTTATGAGTACATATTGAAAATAAATTTTTACATACGAGTAACAAACTTAAAATATATCTGTAAAAATTAATGTTAATATCAGATTAAAACAAAAAGATTCATTTTTTTAGATCCTAGTGCTAGACGCTGGCCGGCTGATGGAGTTCGATCATCCGCATATTTTGCTTCAGAACAAGAAGGGATACTTCCGGAGGATGGTGGCCGAGACCGGGCCCGCTATGGCACCATTACTACACAAAGTTGCCGCACAAGTAATCGAAAACTATTTAATTTCAACTACCATGGCTTTAATTTAGAGGTTCGGATATTCCACGATCGAATCTCTGCATGTCTCAAGTTTTGAAATCCATGTTTGTGTTATTTAAAATTATTGTCTATCGCTTCGTAATACAGACGATAAAACGATATACTAGTCTCGATAGTCTAGTCAGTCTTAATACCAGTGGGCGCTACCCTCATATGAGACAACGTAAAAGAAAATTTTTAAAGTTATTCGTATTTCAATATTTGCAATATAATTGCAAATATACAAAATTATGTAATACCAAGTATTTTTTTTAATCCATCATATTTTTAGTTTCCTACACTCATTCACGTTTTCATTGTTTCAGAATTATAAAAAGGGGCATTCGACCTAAAGACGACAAACAAACTAAAATATTAATATTTTATATGAAATATAATAATTTAATATACTCAGATATTATAGTAACATTAATGTTGTATATTACTTCATATTTAAATGCATAATTTAAGACTATGTATCATTTATATAAAATTAGGAGGAAAAATAATACTATATAATATAATAATTGCCACATTAAAAAAAGAACATATCACCTATTTAAAGCTTAAAAACAATGAGGTAACTAACTAAACTATAGTATATTTATCATACAGTCTCCATATTGCAGTTAAGGCTCGCCAATTGAAGTTCCATTCGTTTCTTAAATTTTTCTACAATGCTGTCCATTCGTCTGAAAAATAAAACAAATATTTGTAAACACTTTAGATGATGTTCATTCATAAATACATTTGTTAGGTTAATCTACTTACTTCTTATCATCCTCGCTTTCTAATGGCGGTATACCCGCTAATGCTTCCATTAGATAATTTCTGTAACAAATCAGTTTTTTTTATAAAGGTTATTTTCACAATATTGTTATGTTGTATTTTTTGTTTAAGTATGATAAAACATAAATATCTTTTATAATGACAGTTTGATTTACCAGGATAGAAAGTCTATGTCCTTCTCTATCCCATATTATGCATGTATACAAAATTTCATAATGATTGGTTACGCTGTAATAGCTTAGACGCCAAAAAGTAACAAGAAACAAACTCACTTTCTAAAAGTTTTCACTTTTTTTAAAAGTAGGCTACAGAAGCCAGCTGAAAAATTACTTTATTCTAATATCTTTATCTAACTCAAGTACTTGTCCGGGCACTCAAATTATAGTGAGGATTCGATATTTTTTTCAAAAACTACTAAAATAGTAGAATACTAAAAAAGACCGACAAGGCACATTACTACATTATACCGAAAGATACACAGAAAAGCGCATAACTAAGGCCAGATCCGCATTATAATATCGGTATCGGTTCGCTTTCGGTCTATTAAAATACTACAACGTAAGAAACAGTCCGGTGGCGTTCTGTCGCAGTCGCGATCTGACTCGAACCGTTTCTACGACACCGAGACCGGCATTAGGGTGCGGAGGTGGTCCGGGGCCGTACTCAGCCTTGGGCGTGAGGTGCGCGGCGCAGGCGAGGCGCAGCAGCGAGCACTCGAGGCGCGCCAGGAAGGCGGCGGCGCGCGACGCGCTCGGTGCGCACGCGCCCAGCCGCGCCACCTCCTCGCACACCGTCTCGCAGATGTCGCGCACGTACCGCGCCGACGCCGCGCCGCACACGCTGTCCACCTGCCACGCAATCATGGGGGAAATGGGATTGTTAGTAATGGGCTAACCAGAGGGAGACCACTTTTACCACACTTTTACTACTTGGAGAGACTTTTACCAGATGGAGACTTTGTACAAAAGTCGATTGCTTGGGTACCTCTGTCTCATTCGTGTTTCAACCGTGAAGCAGTTATGTTTGCATGGCTGTGTTTCAGTTTGAAGGGTGGGATATGGCGAGAATTTACTGGGTACAGAGGAATAACACCTGAGTCCTCAAGAATGCAACGCATGGGGGGTATCATGGGCAAAACAGTATACTCTGTTATGTCCATGGTACTGCTCACGTCTATAGGCGACGGTTACCACTTTCCATCAGGTGGGCCGTCAGCTTGTTTGCCATTCTAAGTTTTATAAAAAAAAAAGGGCTCTAATTTCCCTATTACTAGCACCTGGGTTTTCTTTGGTAAATATATAATTAGTGATTATGAAAAGGGTAGTTGCCACCATGAAGTCTTAATAAATTTTTATTTTGGGGCGAATGATAGATGTTTAAAATATCAAGAAAATAATTCAAAACACATAAATATATAGGATTAATTAATATTTTCTCAAAATAAATTGGTGAAATTTCACACAGAAATCACGTGATATCGAACACTAATCAGAGACGCGTTTCGTCACGGCCTGACAAACATTCCTGTCAGTCTGTAGTCGTTGTTGGTTATAATTGTGGGTGTTTTTATTTTCATATTTTCCGTTCTTGAGTTTGTTTTAATTAAAAAGGTTTAAGCATTATTCTAGAAGATGAAAGAGGGATTTTCAAAAGCAAATGGCAACAATTTGCCAATAGTTGACGTTGTGATGCTCGGAATGTTTTTTGCATCGAATACTAATTTCAACTCCGCAGAATCATAAACATACAATTTATGACTGGTGTATGTAGTGCGGTCCCGTCTTGCAAGTTGCAGCCACTTTTTCCGTATATTTTATTTAATATTTGGCGATATTTAAATATGTTGCATTTATATTTATAACAACGGCGATAGTCGTCAAGTGCCTCTAACAACATTAGAGATTATAGTCATAAGCATAATTTTTTTTCTGCTATTATCGCTCATAGACCGTTATGATTTAAAACAACACCTACCTCTGCGTGAACAGCGATGAGGTTGTTTATAATCTCGTAGAGATACGGCCTCGCGTCATCGGCCAACGCGTCCGTATCGGTACGCTGGCGACCCATGTACATGCTGGGCTCGATGGTGCCCACAAGCGGGTCACCCTTGTGCTCCAGGTAGGTCTCCGCGATGGTGCCCTCTAAACTGCTCAGGGATTCCTTGCAGGCCTGCAGCGCTTGGGTAGGCTTCGGCAATTCGAAACTGAACACAATATAGATATATTTTTTTTTACAACGTTCAATGTATAGCCATTTAACACACTGCCCCTTCTTACGATTGCAGATTCAATTTCAATACATTTTTTTACACACAATACGTAAGTAGCTCGCAGTGTAAGTCATGGCACAGAATATGTCACACCTTCCTTTCTCGTAGATGTCATGAGAAGCAACTAAGGGAGCTTATGGTGGTGGGCTGGAAACCAGCGTCTCTCTTAAAGCATCAATAAAAGCCAAACTGCAGTTACTAACTCGCCTGCCAAGCATGTCAACTATCGGCAAAACCCCCCCTTATGGAAAATGCTATAGCAGTAGACAGTTAACGGCTGCTACAAAAAGTAAAGCTACTTATTTAAGACTAGAAGAAGCTGTGTAATATGATAAGGAAAAAACTGGTCTCAGCATGTTTACACTAAATAAAATTTGATGATGTAGATAAAGAAAGATTTGTTCACTTGATCTAACTTCAATTTACGTCGCAATTTCACCAAACATTATGTATACAAGATTACATGTTTAATACAACACTTAAGGGAATGTATTACAATAAATATTATACACTATTCTTACATGAATTTTATACATAAACATGATTTTTATGTATGATCTATATTAATATGAATGACACTAAATAAGTAGGTGGTGCTCACGAGTCGAACGCTTCAGCGATGTTGTGCAGCGTGACATGGCGCGTGTACTGAGCGTTGGCGGCGGCCACCAGCAGGCGGCGCTGCCAACCGTGGCCCGCGCCGCCATCGCTGCCACCCCCGCTCTCGTCCAGCGGCTGGTCCAGCGCCACAGACAGGCTCGTGTTGTTGAACTCCTGCTTACACGGATAATACATATTATGTCACCTGCTGTGTATATATATATATATATATATATATATATATATATATATATATATATATATATATTGTACTTAAACATATAGTAACGACAAGTTAATAACAATGTTAGCAAAGGCGAACTTATCTCTAAAAGAGATCTCTACTAGTCAACCTAACGCAGTGGCATAGGAAATAGTGAGTGAACAGTAGTAGTGCTTATATTACTGACATCAAATCTTAATAATAGTATTATTTCGTACTTTACGGCTATATGAATATCTCCCAACGAGAGTAGTAAATGCGGACCGTCCACATATCGTACAAGACCGTGCATAGATTCCGCGGCGTTACGTAAACTTATCATAACGTTATAGTTACGATAAGCCACCTGAGCTGACTTAATTCTCACTTCATCACGCATCTTCAGCATCACATGTGCAGACGGAATCATCATCGTATTTTATTTCATAGAAAACTCGCTACTCCAGTGGGAATGTTATTAGTAATCGAGACTAACAGTTCCATTGCTAAGATTATAAAGAGTAGGAATTTAATTTTTGTTTGTAATGGATAGATTCAAACACACATAGCTGTTTTAAAAAATTCTTTCATCTTGCATTCAATGCTACATTATAAAGGCGAGACATAGGCTGTATTTTCAAAAAAAAGAACACGCGAAGCCAGGACGCTTCGAGTTTAGTAGATATTGCTAACAATGGGACTGCTATTTTAATTTCATTTGTCATCTTTCAATTTAAATAATCGCTGCTGGCAACCCTACGGCACCTGATCGGCGTGATGCAGCGCGAGGCGGTCGAGCACGGTGACGTAGGCGAGCAGCATCTGCTGCGTGTGCTGCTGCAGCGCGGCCGCCGGCTCGCCACCCGCCACCAGCAGCGCCCCCTCGCGCCGCCCGCTCACCAACACGCACTTGTGGATCGACGACAGCGCGTCCCGCGTGTACGTCTCCAGCAGGTGCGGCTACCGACCGCGCGCGGGTGTTAATTAGCCAATTAGATTATATAGATAGTGTCTCCATAGAAATGCTTCGAGCAAAACGGGTTAACTTTTTCATATAATACGTGATAAATAGTTATGAATGTTTTCCTTATAACTTCTATATTTATTTTGTCTTATAATTTCTGCATATTTTTAATACGTAAACACTCATTTTATTTATTAAATAATATGTCAAGATGCATTTTACGCGTCAGTATGTAGAACACTGATAAAAAACGAGTCTGTTAATTTGACAATTAGCTAAAAAAGTTGACCCATTTTTGAAGCTCGATGCTCTATCTATATAATCTAAGGTTAGGCCATTAGTACACTATCATTTTTTGTAATTAGCTGCTATGATCAACATTGTTTTGTCCTCTATCCCCACCTACCGGATCGTTTTTTCAATCGGGATAAAAGTCCTTATCTCTCAAGTTGGAGTAATCAATATCTACCTACACACAAAGATATTTCATTTAAATAAATTCCATTAAATTCTGATGAGCGGTTTCGGAGATTAGCATGTGTGATCATTCCGACACAAGATTGTTATATTTAATTTATTAATTTAATCACTACATAGTATAAAACAAAGTCGCTGTCGCTGTCTGTCCGTTCCTATGTATGCTTAAATCTTTAAAACTACGCAACGGATTTTGAAGCGGTTTTTTTTTAATAGATCGAGTGATTTAAGAGGAAGATTTATATGTATAATACATGCATAATATAGTAGAGAAACATTAGTAATTTTATAGGTTTCTAATGTGAGGTTGTAATGTAATCTAATGTGCACCCGTGCGAAGCCGGGGCGGGTCGCTAGTTTCAAATAAATTAGAATACCATAATTGTTTACTTCCATTTAGCTGTTTCAGCAATTGGCAAACACTATTATATCCAAACATGTTTGCAAACTTTCGTGTTTACAGTATTAATAGGATAAGTGCTAGATAATAGTCAAATAGCACTAATTAGCTAGCCTTTAATTTAAGATGGAATGTATTATGAAAAACTAAACAATGAACATATTTGTCTCCTAATTAGCTCAAACTTGGGGAATTATTTATTCAAAGAAACATGATCATGATGATGATCTACTACATGATGAGTCATCAAATAAATACCTTAACCTCCATAACAATAATAAATTATTTATATTTCCACAGATTTATTATTGTATAGCTAAATAAATTATCATAAAAATGTACTCACGAGTTTTGTGATGGCCCCGTAGTCAGTGAACTCCTCGATCTTCCACGTTTCCTTTTCGGCGAGCGCCTTCACGCGTTTGTGTGCGCGTTGCAGGAAACATGTCATCCCGTACACACGGTAGTCGAATATCACCTTCTCCACCACGCTTAGTGGCTACGATTTAAACAATATCATTATATTATTGTGATATTATTATTCAAGTTAACCAAAAAAAGCTATAACTTTATATTATTTCTTACATACACTACTTTAATTCTGGTGACAATACAATATGCAATACTGAATATAGTGTAATTTTCAAAATGGCCACCACTACGAAATGGCAGATGGTGTAGATTTTTTTAACTCTATTAATTTAGACATCAATGAAAGAGCTTGAGAGTAGGTGATACTAAATGACAACATTTTAAAATTGTCGTAGCTATAAGGCGGATTATATTATACAAATTTGTTTCTAAATCAGACTTGTAATGATTTTCGTTCATTTTACCTGTGAGGGTAAGTCGAGTTTCAGTAGCGAGTCGTAGGCCTCCCGCAAACTACGCAAATTGGCGACAAGTCGCAGACGCAGCGTGTCGGCCGACACATTGCCAGCGCCCGACATCAGACATGCGCGCATGTGCGTAGAGAATTGCTCCACCGCCGCTATTATCATTTCCTGTTCGCAAATTTATGTAGAATAAACAACTAAATACTCGTTCTCAGACATTGCAACCTTAAAATAGATTAGTAAGAATATTCTCAAAATTACAATGATTCCATTCGGGCAAACTAAAGCATTAATCACAGAATACATTACATCTAAATCTACCATTAGAAATTTTGCACTACTTCTATGAAGTAGATACAAAAATTCAAAATACATTTTTGTTATTAAAATCCTATTTTTCTGTGACAGCATAATAAGAAAATTATTGTATGATTAACATTTTAGGTTACTAGCAGAACACTTTTTAAATAATTAATAGGGAATACTAAAAAATATGCATTCGGTTTTTGAAAATTGACAGATAAATGCGACGTTGCCATACCTAGTTATGAACGCTCTTAAATCAATGAATCGAGCGCGTAGCGGGGCGCGCGTGTGCGCGGTATGTGTTGCGTGCGTGTATGTGTGAGTGCGTACCTTGAGCTGGTCGTGGCGGTCGGGCGCGGCGGGCTGGCCGGCGAGTTCGCGCGCGAAGTAGCGGCGCGCGAGCGGCCACAGCGCGTGCAGCTCGGCGGCCAGCGCGCCGCACGCGGCCGCGCACCACGCCGCACGCGCCCCGCCCCACCCCTCCGCGCCGCCCTCCTCGCACTCGCGCCATTTCCGTTTACCTGCACGCCGGCCACGTCACGTAAGTACGCATACCACTACACGTGTGGGGGGAATGGCATTGTTAGTAATGGGGTCTAACTGACCCACTACAGCAATACACTCTATCAGGTCGACCTCCACGCAGTTCCCCCTGGAAATCATCGTGATTAATTCTAGCGGAATTCGTCACGACGAGCTAACTGATCTACTTGCATCATCACCTATCATCCCTCACTGGTGCTCCGCCAGCGCATACCGACAGCGCAGGCGGGGTTACTATTCCATTATCACCCATTAAAAAAAACACTACACGTGTTAGGCTAGATTCACATTATAATACCGATCCCAATTCCTCGCAGTAGGATCCTCCTTCACCACGACAATGCTTCGTCGCACGCCGCCAGGCAAACGATCGATTATTTGACGACCTCAGACGTAGAACTACTGAGTCAGCCGCCTTATAGCCCCGACCTCGCACCTTGCGATTTTTATTTATTCCGAAAACTAAAAGAAAAACTTCGAAGAAAACGTTTTATGGACGCCGGGGAAGCTGTAGCTACGTTTCAGAAGGCCATCGAAGAGATCCCTAAGGACGAGTGGGCAAAGTGCTTTTCTCAGTGGTTCTATCGAATGCAGCGATGTATTGACGTGAATGGACACTATTTTGAAAAGATAAAATAAAGGTAAAAACTTGGTAATTTAATCAGTTTTTGATTTTCATAAATTTTTATAGGGGCTTTCAGTTTGACCCTCGTACTTAATTCTAAATGAAGTACTTTAACCAGACTATACTCGTATATTCAATCGACTTGAAAAAGGTTCTCAATTCGGTTGTACCTCATAACTCAGTTGTTCTAATAAAGTTGGGATTTTTTTTTCTGAAAGGATATACTTACAGATTGGTCCCATAGAAATTTTATCAAAATTGGTTCAGCAATTTAGTTTTTTGATCAAAATTACTGATTTTGTCCCAATTGAAGTAGGTTTTTTTCGGAGCATAATCTTTAATTAAATTTAATATAATAAAGCGAAATAACTTGTAAGTTTAATCACCGAAAGTCCTGTCAAATTAAAAAAAAATATGCATTTGATAGCTTATTCCTAAATTTATAAACTTTTTAAATATCACGATATGGTAAAAACTAATCACAACAAGTATTTAATAATTTTGATCATACCATTTCAATATAGTAAGAGAACTTCACATTAGAAAGGTGCATAAAAAAATGTGTATAGTTCGGTTTGTTTCAAATCACGCTCAATCTTAAAGTACTTCTAGTTGATAATTTATTTATAACATCAACTGAATAAGCTTCACAGTCTCCCAATACGCTCACCCAGGAAAGCATCAGTACAATAACATAGATAAAAAAGGAATAATACACATAATTAAAAGAAATAATATTAAAAAGATTTCACTAGAAATAACATTACAGCCTAAATCTCTGAACAACACAAACACTCTGTGGTTATCCAACGAAACTCCAGCAAGTTGGAAGCAAATATTTAACTAGATAAGATACAGTAGAATGAAAACAAACTGTGATCGATATTATAGTTTGAAATAAACCTATGAGTCACCGTTGTTGGATCCACAACATGGAAAACCCCCACACACCTACATAAAATATTACCTTTCTCACTAGATTCTTGTTCTTCCTTTTGTTTGAAGTGATCTTTGACTTTGTTCATGAGGTTCATTAGATATTCTTTGCGACTTATAATGGCGACCCACGCTGCATCGCCTTCCCAGTTCAAACTCACCAACAACCTAAAAACATCACAATTTTAATTATAAATCATTCATAAATCTTCAATGTAGTAATGTGCTTCATGTTAGTAACCTAATATATTGTTTATGTAAAAAATCTTTACAAATACACGCCTAGATATTCTGTAAATTCCATCACGGCTTTTCTGGTTTATACAGCTTTTCATCAATCGCCTTGTTTGTTTCTCAGATTAGTTTAAAAAATACAACATGGGTATATTTTAAAAATATAACATTAAATACATACTTTATATATTTTATCTGTTCTTGTACATTTATAGGCATCGTCTTCATTCTTGTGTGTAACTTTTCTTTCAAGTCTTCTATTTTTTTGTCTATTTCAGCTAGAATTTTTTGAAAAAGCTGTAAAATGAAAAACGTTGTCATTATTACGGCTGTTTCTAAAGTGTAATAAATATACTTGATTTTCTAAAATAACTGTTTTTACCCAATGGTTAGCTGGTAGAGAATGCCATATGGCATTAAGCTCGCCATTTGTACAAAATTGTATTGTGCAATAAATAATAAATAAATCAACTTCAATAAAATAACTAAATAACTAAAATAAAAAGGATTTTAATTTATCATAATTTCGAAATAAGAGAATTGTCTAAAAATACCGAATATAAAATAGTACATTATTGCAGCGGCCAGCAACTGAGGCACTGATGGACAAACGTGCAAATGTGGGCCGAGGTGTAGCCGAGGCACACATACGTGAATCCATCAATGCCTAGTTGTGGCCAAGACTTGTATAGTACTTTTCTCAAACAATGCGCGGAAATCAAAAACACAAGTTTTACTTTATAAGTTCAATGACGAATGACGAACAATAATATTTTTTTACGCGCCATAATGTTCCTTTGTTTTTTTTTTTTCAATAAATAGCTTTCTATTTGCAAGCCAGTCGAAATTTAAATAAAACCTTTTATTCGTTATCTCCTTGATAGCCATGTTTCGAAGTAAAAAGTCATTCCATTTTTAAATTACAGGACAGATATGAATTTACATAGTAATTTATCTGGCCGCAAAACACGACAGATATGGATTTTCATACAACATTTGCCGGCCGCTGCCCGCATGTTTCTGGCGTATTCCAGTACAGCAATTTTGATTTATCTCGAAGAAGTTTGTCAAAATAATGCTCACATTTCCAAGCATGTTTGAGAAAAACTTATTATTCTAACTGAAGAAAACAAGTTTACCTTAACATCTGTATTTCCAAAAAGGTTTTTCACTCTAGTATAATCGTTAACAACTAAATCATACTCCTTCTTCTTTATGTTGTTGTCGATAGATGCGGGCAGTTGGAAGAGAAATTTATTTCGCATGAGCAGCGACAGAGCTTCTCGTGTCTTGTCCGCATGTTCTTTGCGCGACAGTATTTCAGAAAAAAGAGAATCAGCCAACGTAATCGATTCTAGAACGACAATATTAAAAAAAATTAAAAAGGTCACAAAAAGATTAAATGGTATTGGTATTTGACATAGAGCTAAAATTGCTAAATGGATATTATTAATTCATCCGGGTGAAACTGCTGTGGCTTTGCATTCGTTTTTGTTTACATCCAATAAATACATATATATGTTAACAGAGATTTAAAAAAGTAACTGTTAAATTTCTTGTGAGCTCTTCTCAACAGATAACAAATTCAAAAACCCGGCAGTAGTTCAAAAAAATTACAATTTAAAAGTGCTTATAAACAAGTCTATTTGAATAAAGATAATTTGAATAACAAATCGTCATCATCTCAGCCATTATCTGTCCATTGCTAAATAACAAATATTACAAATTAATCCTACATACCTTCAATAGCGGCCTGTAAGCTGTGTAATGGCTCCTTGCCATTTTTTCTTTGATCTTCTTCAAACATATTTTTAAGCAAAACAAGACGATCTAGTTGGTCCATCACAGCTCCAGTGTTTGCTTTTAAAAAGCTAAGCTGGCCTTCCTTCTGACTTTCAACCTGATTAATTGAATCATACATATTTTTACACAAATTATCTAGTAAGTAATATTAAGTGAGGAGATTTCTAGTAATGAGGTCTAGCAATTAATGTTTCTTTCTTAATAAATATAAAGCCCTAAAAATCTAAAATTTTTCTACTTTAAAATTAGATTTTCCACAAATTTGATATTAATAACTTGATGATAGTAATATGCAGAATATATATTTTAATATCACCTTTCTTTGTAAGAAAACCATCCCAGCCTTCAAATCTTCATATGAAGTATTGCTGTGGTGTTCTAATAAATACCACCCAGGTTGGAAGTTTTCATCAGTCAATTTTCCTGACCTAAAATTAAAAATAAAATGACACTATATTTTTATATAGGATATACTTTATTTATATTTTGGGTATTGATGGAGTAAAAGTACAATATACCGCCACTATTTTTTATCCTTAGAATGTCATAAGAGGAGAACAAAGTAAAAGAAAAAATTTCTAAATAAAACCCTGTATTTTTTAAATAGTGTTAGGTGTTGTCTATGCTATATACTAAACTGTAGGGTTAAAAAATGTAATCATATTGTATCTATCTATCCTATTTAAGAGCTGCGCTCTTGTCTGTGGAGCTCTTGCCACTCACTACGATTTTCAGCGAGTCTCTTCACCTCTTAATATGACACGACACCAACTCCTTCCTTGATTTGGCTGATGTAACTATGCCTTGGTCTCCCTCTTCCCCTCCTTCCTTCTACCTTACCCTCTATTATAATGTTTATAAGTTCGTCATGTCGTATCAAGTGTCTCAACATTTTTTCCTTTAAACATATTATTGACCACAAAATATATGAATAATTTTGATCTTGTTTTACTTATGTATATTATAAATATTTTATTTAGGTAATTTAGGAAAGAAAGGAAAAAATATTTTCAATATTATCACTTATGATAATGGTAATTCATAAAAGCAAAGCTATACAATATAAATATATGTCAACAGTAGAAAACAATTAGTATTTTTGTAAACCTAATTACTTAAAAATATTGCTTCAAGTGTTTACACTTTAGATTCCTGAAGTGTGGCAACTTCACATTTAACACAATTTTCAAAAACAATTTAACAATCTTTAATGTTTTTGATTGCTTATTCAAAAAATGCTCTAGCATATTAAAATGTAAATCTGTGACAAAAACTTTGCACATAGTTCCTGGTTATGCTTTGGAGTTTTCAAACATGTTCTTAACAAATAAATCCAAATTTTCAGTGATGGTTTATAAGGATATTATTGCATGATCAACATTTTAGTTCACTAGCAGAGAATTTTTTAAATAATCAATCAGATAATTGTTAAATTTTTTTAGTAAGCTGACATATAAACATGACATTATCACACTTCAGTAAGCTAAAGTATGAATTCTTTTAATTATTATATGAACAGATATCAATGCTCACAACTTACAATTTAATAAAAATAATCTTACCCATCTGGGAATAGTTCATGCAACTCTTCCTCTGGGAATTTACAATCATCACCCTCTGTAGATAGTCCTAACGGATCAGGTGGGGTGTATGTTGTAGGTGACATTGGGCGCCGACCCCATGGTAAGGAAGGTGGAGCAGCCTCCTCTACCCATACTGCACTCTCTTTAACTGGTCCTATGGATTCATGATATCCTACAAAAAGAAAATAAAAATATGGAAAATTTGTAAATGTAAACAGGCACTGATTTTTCAAATTTTTTTGAAAGACAACAGTCTATGGGAGTGGGAGCACAACTCTCATAACTTGTAATATATAAAAATCTCTTATCACAATATTTGTTCACACTAATGCTAAAACTCTTTACTAATTTTATAATATATGCATAGGATTATGTGCAAATATTGTTAATGATATAAAAGCAACAATCTAGGTACAAAAGTCGTCACCTCTGAACTGTACAGTAGATGTACCCTCTCCTCCAGATTTGGTAGTTACTATAATGTCTCCACGGCCCTTACACGGACCTGAACGAGCTACTATTTTGTTTTTACTCTTCCATTCAGCAGACAGTAAACAGTCACACCCACATATTTTTAAACCTGTAACAACAATTAATTTCAGAATTAATTTTATTATTATACAGTGAATATATTAAAACTAAAGGAAAAAAAGACATTCTTATTCCTACTACTCTATGTATGCTGACTGAACAATAAAAAAGTAAAGAAACTTATTTTATTTGAAATTAAATTAAAACAAATATTCTTACCAATTAAATCGATGGCAGAAGTTCCTAAAAATTCTCCACGTATTGTTACTCGTGTTCCCGGAGGACCTTCTTTTGGAGAAATACCAGTAACTACAGGTGGTGGACCCATGATTTAGTATAATATAGATAACTAAATAAAAATCACGGATAAGAATAAATTACTATAGGGAGGCGAGAACTGAAAATTTCATATTATATTTAGGTTCTCAAAGTATTAATATTATATTGAAAATTTTTATAACAATAAAACAACAAAAATTTAGTAAAGAGTCTTAATTCTTAAGCATATTTTATGCATAAAAATTAATAACAAAAATTTAAAATAAAACATATATAGCTACGATATTGACTGTCAATGTCAACATTGACTTTTTTCTTTAATAAATTATTCTTCCGCATAGACTAAGGAAACTGTTATTATAATTACGTAAACGGTTTCACATTGAGTAATGTACTTAATCTATGTACTAGTTTTAAAAATAACATAATTTCTATTCTATATCTTTCATCGCGATATAAAGATAGTGATTAAAGATAGTAAGTAACAGTTGATCTGTAAAGTCATAACTAATTGTCATTTGTCATTGCTAGTAGGGAAACGAAGTTATGGTATCAGGAGTTTATTTTGGGGGCGTAGTGAAATTATCTAGGTGATTCATTTAAATTCAGACATGAATTCAATATAAAAGATAGTACAATCTATTACTCAAAATGGCACAATCAAATTTTAGGTGAGTTTTTGTGAGAAATTCAATCGCTTACATTAATTTATTAAGCTGTGCTTAATTTATTATTGTTTCCAGCGGTGTGGACGAATATGGGTTTGAGAGGCATGAAGACTTTGACTATGATAGTTATGAACACTTCATGTCTGTATATTTGAAAGTTTTAGCCACAAGAGCCCAAAAATGGGCTGTGCTACTTGGTGAAGGAAAGTCGGTCAAACGCACCGATACTGTCAAACGATACGTTCGCAAGGGTATTCCTAGTAAGCACTGTTTACTATTTATTATTAACTGCATCTTACCATTTCGTTTGTTCAGTCGAATAGGCCTTTTTTTAATTTTAATTTTATGCTATCGCTGTTAAGAAAAGTATTAGTGTTCTTATAGATCTATACGCAATGTTTACTTACACTTATTACCTTTGTTGATTCGATAATTATTTAAAATAACAGACTCACCATTTTAAAAACAAGTAAGCAAAGAAATTAGAACCTTATGAAGATGAAATAAATTTTAAATACTGCATGTATACTTTTACTACTTTATTACTGCTTTGCGTAATAATGGCTGGAGAAATAATTAATATTTCATGACATTTTTCTTTACATCTAATATGTTTTAGGCGAACATCGCCCATCAGTATGGATGGCTATATCAGAGGCAGATAAAATGAAAGAGCAATGCCCTGATTTATATCAAAAAATATTAGATAGTCCATTTGAGAAGGAACTGGTTGATCTTGTGAAGACTGACCTGCCACGCACTTTCCCAGACAATATATATTTCACAAAGGAGGCCAATCACCAAGCACATTTGTTTAACATCCTCATAGCATATGCCCATAGCAATAGGGTAGTGGGCTATTGTCAAGGTCTTAATTATATAGCTGGTCAGTATGTATTATTTTTTTGTATATAATAATATGTATTGTTAATTCAACTATATTTTACTTTGTATATGTTTTTTTACTACAGTATCTTCATCAATTATGACAATCCTAAAATAATGTAATGTGATAGAAAACCATATAGAAATTAATAGATAACTTGGTAGTAATGATCAATTTCAATATAAAGGTGTCTTTAACAATGAACGAATTTAAAAGAAAAATATATTTATTGCACTATTATTTAATGTTATCCTTAACACATTGACTTAAAAAAAAAATTGAAATAAACATATCCCATGTAACTGATGTAGTTACACCTACCTTCTGTTTTTTGTATTTTTAGGACTGCTCCTTTTGGCTACAAAAAATGAGGAAACTTCATTTTGGTTACTCAAAGTCCTGGTAGAAAAGATTCTGCCAGATTACTACACTAAAACAATGGATGGACTCATTGTAGACATTGAAGTGTTATCAGAACTAGTCAAATCTAAAGTGCCCGATGTGCATCAACATGTGATAAATCTAGGCAAGTATCAATTTATTGATAACCAATCTCCTACATATTAAAACACACCTCAGTGCTATTATGCATAAATTTAATCTAGATTTTTTTTATGCAACTTAGAATGGCAAACAAGCTGACGGCCCACCTGATGGAAAGTGGTAACTATCACCTATAGACATGAGCAGTACCATGGGCATATTAGAGTATACTGTTTCACCCATGATACCTCCCATGCATTGCCATTCCTGAGGACTCTGGTGTTATTCCTCTATACGCTGTAAATTCACTGCCATAAGCACAACTGCTTCACAGTAGAAACACAAATGGGACAAAGGTGTCCAAGCAAACAACTTTTGTACAAAGTCTCCCTCTGGTAATCATAATAGTGTAGAACAATCAATTATTCTTTTAGCCTAGTCGCACTATTCTTATTAATATTATAATTGGGTAAACGAGTTTGTTACCTTTTGACATCTTAACACATGATTGTTTGAATCATCGTTGGGGGGATAGAGATTATTAGTTAAGGAGCCTAACAGTCCCATTGCTAGTAATATATCCTATCAAGCCAAACTTCACAAAGATTCTCCTAGAAACCATTCTGGTTAATTTTTGAGTTCATCACAATGGGCTTACTGACCTGCTTTCATCTTCACCTATCTCATCACTCACTAGTGCCCCGCCAGTCTATACTGTCACAATCATCATTAAACTTGGTATAATATTTGAGATTGTGAAGAATATCTACTTTTCAACTAACTTCAAAAAGAAGGAGGTTTTAAATTCATTTGCATTTTTTATGATTGTTACTTCATAACTCTGTCAGGTCTTTTTATCTGAAAGGGCATACATACAAATTGGTCCCATAGAAATTGTATTAAAATTTTTTCAATAGTTTAGGTAAATAAAAAAATCTGGATTTGCCACAATTGAATTCATTTTGTTTTGTATAACACAATCTTAATTATTATTCTTATCAATTTGCATGCCCACGTGCAAGCATTACCACCCATAGTTGTCTTTCCATATTTTCGAAGCATCTCTATGACGATTTATATTATTTTGATTTCAATGGGATAATATTGAAAAAATATCCTTTATAAACTTTATTAAAAAACACATCATTTTCTTTGAATTTTTTTGTTTGATTAATTTTATAGTTATTGATTAAAATTACAACTTTTATTAAATAATATAGTATATCATGTTTATAAAGCTGCAAGCAAATATACTAATCAATGTCAATGTTTACTTACAGGTCTCCCTTGGGCTGTTATAACCACTAAATGGTTTGTATGCTTGTTTGCAGAAGTCTTGCCTATTGAGACTGTACTACGGATATGGGACTGTCTTTTTTATGAAGGCTCCAAAATTCTGTTTAGAGTTTGTTTGACACTTATAAAATCGAACAGAGCAACTATATTAGCATGCAATGACTTCACAGCACTGGCAGAATGTTTTAAGGCTATTGTGAAAAATGCCAGCGCATTACATTGTCATGAGTTTATGCAGGTAGGTTAGTTTTGTTCAAATACAAAAACTTCTTTACAATAATTCCATGTTATTAATATTAAATAAATAGCTACCTACAGTCATGATTTTATAGACGTGGCAATCGAAATTATTTTTGTTTTACAAATTAGATATATTAATTTACAATATCTAAATATCTGTAATTGGTAAAATATTATTCTTCAATGATATAATATCACATAGAGGATTATATCATAAAAGAAAATGCATATTTTTTTATTATTAATTTCTACAACTAGCAGACTAAATCATAGGCACAGCTAGTCTACCTTATTAATTTAATGAATTCCTCTAATAAATATAAATAATTGCAACTTAACTAACATTTAAAGTGGAGCAGTCAGTTTATTCAGTTATTATGGTAGATACGGCATATAGTGTTAAATCCTCCATTTACACTATTTAGGTATATTAAACTTTAATAATTAAATAAATATGGTGATATATATACAAAGATGAGCAAAATTTTTTATGGATGATAATATAATTATAACCCACATTTATGTGGTTCCACATTTAGGTGAGATTGAAGTCTGATCAGCTGACCCATCATGACATAGTTTTTTTTAATGGGTAATAATGGAGTGGTAACCCCACCCGCGCTGTCGGTTTACACCAGCGGGGCACCAGTGACGGACGACAGGTGAGGATGAAGTCGATAAGTTAGCCCATCGTAACGAATTCAACAAGAATTGTTCACGATGGATGTTTCCAGGGGGAATCACGTGGAGGTCGACCTAATAGGGCATATTGCTAGCAATGGGGCTGTCAAACGCCATTGCTAACAATCCCTTTTCCCCATCATGACATAGTTAGCAAGTATAAACCACACTAGTTTCCAGCAGAGACTATGTGAAAATCATCCTGACAGAATAGATAATGAAGCCACTCTCATTTATTACAATCCCCTCCCACTCCGCCTAACTTGGATTTTTTTTAATAATATAGTGATCCATGCGATCGGCATACACTAGCGGGGCACTAACACGGGAATGATAGGGGAGAATGAAATATGCTACTTGGTCTACAACGACGAATTCAACTACACGCGTAGAGGTTGTAACAATCCCTTTTCCCACCTAACCTAGATATTGGGGGGAGGAAGCAATACATCCTTTCAGGTCGACCTTAATGTGGTTCCCGTTAGAAACCATCGTAGTTACTTATAGTGGAATTTGTTACGATGAGCTAACTGACCTGCTTTCATCCTCACCTATCAACCCTGGTACCCTGCCAACGTATACCGATAACGCAGGCAGGTTTACCATTTCGTTATCACCCATTAAGAGAACCTAGATATTAGTTACCCTTTCCTATTTGAAAAATATCAGATTTAGTAATTGTTTAAAATAAGTCTATTTTGTATAGAACATACCGGAGTCAAAGCCCCTTTAATGCCATAATAAGAATTCTATAAGGAGATTTTGTTTTTCAGTCAATTTTTAAAGTACCTGGAACTCTCTCCAACTCAAAAATTGTCAAACTAAGAGCACGCTTCGCTAAACAACGCCGGGAACAACAGCAGAAAGAACCGCGGTGAATGAACTTTAGCAATGTCATGGAAGATTTGATCTCATTCTTGTTAGAAGAACAAGAAAATTGATATAAACACCAAACAACCAAATTGTTATTTTACTATCAATATATAAGCTGTTTGCATCTGTTGAAATATTAAGGTGACTTTATTAATACAACTTTTTTAATACACGTGTAGTAATGTGTTATAACATCCCTTGCCACTGTTAGTGGTCAAGTAATAAATTGAGGCCAGTTTCTGATAGATCGACACTACAGCAGTACAACATCCGTTCAATACCTAGGCGATGTCATGCCTTAATATACAATTTTGATTTATATTATTTGTACATTACGGGTCAGTCACACTATTTATACTTCTGATTCAGATAGCTCTGCTCTTAACGTCGTTCGCGTAATAAATCTTTATATCCTCTCATGTGAATGAGATATTTTACTGTAGTAAGAAGTATCCTAAATATTATACAAAATCTTATTAAAATCCGTCCAGTAGTTCTTGCGTAAAGCATGTCAGACAAGATCTGATTCTGAATTCCAGGTATATTCATCACATGGACTAACTGACGGACCTTTTCATTCTCTGCCGCGGCAGTGTGTACCATTAGCGCGGGCGAGGTTGCCATTTCATTATCATTTATTAAAAATTGCTAACCATAACTGCCATCCCAGATTACTAATTATATATTATAATTATAATATAGCTATTAGTCGCTCCGTCTTGAGAAATAACATAGTTTTTATCCCGATAAGATAAAATGATCTCGGTAGGACACTTAACGTTTGCCGGTCAGCTATTAGTTTTATAAAATAGGCAATCATGTAGTTGCGCAACATTGCATGGCTGATGATACACCATGAATCATAAGCGGTGTATTTATTAAACTCGCATAAGACTCGTTTTTCGCTGTCGTGTCGACTTATTAGGAACTAGACTAATAGTGTACCTAATCTGTCTGAAGTTACGTACAAAATTATTTTATGAATGATATTTCGTGATGCAATAATGTTCATAAAAGTCCCTGTAATTATGAATTCGGTTGTAATTTAAGAAGCAGTTAGAATTAATTATTAATTTAACTATTTGAGAAATATGGCAATTTTTAATATGATTATTTTCCTCTACTTTTCAATAAACTATTTTTTAAGGAACCCCCCGATTGATTTTGATTGAGCCATGCATATCTAAACCAGTATAATACTATATACATTTAAGAAAATAAATTAAGTTCTCTCTGGTTAATCTAATAATAGAATATTTATTAGAAGATAACCAACCATCTTTCTTCTTTTTTTCAGCCTCATAATTTTTTTTAAGGTGATGCATGAAATTTTTAATATTCTGTCTAGCTGAATTTCTATATCTATATTTGAATATACAAATAATTTATTGTCTACAAAGAACAGGACTAGTTAACAATCTATTATGATGAAGAATATTAAGAAACCAATATTTTGCTACAATCTATGCTCAATAATTTTCATTGCAACATTACATATCATTGTTTCATTATTATGATAGATTGAGAGCATAGACAAAGTAAATAAAAGTGCATTTTCATTGTCATATTAAGATAAAACATTAATTAAGTACCTATAAGTACATTACATAAAAGAATATGATTTATAAATGGAGATTTTAATTTTCTTTCCTAGAACTATTAGGTAACATAGGTATACCGAAATTGAATGTGTAAAATAATTGTTATACATAGTTTTACAATCAAGAACTTGGTGGTAGTGTGATACAATTGCATGACAATGGATGCTGTGTATTTTTTTTTTTAGAATTTAATTTGTATATTTGTAAGTAGGTTAACATATTATTTCTATAAGTTTTGCATACATTATAAGTATGTTACGTTGTTTGTTATTTTACGTAATCATTAGATATTTTTTATTATAATGTAAGTACTATACTTACAGCTACCTAAACGAACAAATCTTTTTTCTGTTATTTTTCGTCCCTAGCCTGTTCTTGTATTTTTTTACAAAACCATCTGACAATAAAACTGCACTCCTGTCTGTGAAGATAATTATTTTTTATGATTATGCTCAATTTAATGTTGTGAAAATAGCACATTAGTAATAAAATCGATACTATCTCGATATCGAATATTGATATTATAATTTATCAATTACAACACAAAATGTGTCAAATTGTTTGTCATTATGCCTATATAGTTTTTGTAACAGTTTGTAAGTAGCCTCTATACATTTACAAAGCCAGAAGCTTTAAAGATTATACTACTAAAAAATATTACTAAAATCTATTTAAATACTAAACACATCAATTAATGTATAAAAATTAAACAAAAGATTTCTGAAAGACAAATTAAATACAGATTTTTGTATAATAATTTTAAATTGATTTTCTATCCCGTAGTATAAATGTGCTGTGATTGATGGTCTAGGTTGTTGCTATCTAAATCCCCATAGTGTGTTAGATTTTTGCCATAATACAAATTTGGATGTTCATTGCAATTAAATAGATTATCAAGATGTTAACAAGTATTTTATTTATTCCATTTAAACAATTTTCTTCTATATTAATTCATTTACATATAATACTTGACCTTAGGTTACTTCAAAATTTAATTTTGTACATTATTCATAGTTATTTTTTACGCCATTTATTGCACAGTAGAGACAACACTTTACAATTTTTGAAAAAACTAATAAAAATAATTTTCTAAAACGTCCCTAGCCTTCATGTTGCTCCATATTTAGCATTGTGATGGAATTTTCAATATGTGAAAATATGTATACTGTGCAAATTTCACCACAATATATTCAGCCATTTTTCTATGAAACATGAAAGCAAATAAAAAAAAAAGACATTGGTTCAATATGACATGTACTATATGATCATAAGATAAATTTCCAACTTATAATGGTCAGTATAATTGAAATAAGACTTATTATAACAGAAAACTGTAGACTATACTACGATTTTTTTTTTAATCTGATTAATGTCGTATAGGGAGATAAAGGATAGAGGAGCTGGCTGGAGGATGCAAAAAAATAACAACAATATAAAACTATTAAATTAAAATCCATACTTCAAGTACAGTTTTTATTTTAACATATTTTACATGTATTTATAAAATCTTATTACTACAAAGTTTCTATTCTAGTCTAGGTTTGAACATAAAAAGTAATAACAATAATAAAAAAGTCTTTGATTTTGCTATTACAGTGTACAATTTAAACTATCCACAAACTGCAACTTCACATAATGTTTTAAATGTTTTGTATTACATTTTATTGTGATTTACCACTTTCAAGAACATCTTTAGCTTCGTTTATTTTTGCAGCAATAAGAGGAGACCCTCCTCTATCTGGGTGGTTCAGTAACATAACTCGTCTATGTGCATCCCTTATCTAAAAACATATTTTATATTGTAATTATCAAATTGTATATAATAGAAACACAGCATAATTTTCTAAAACTTAAATTTCAAGATCAACTTTGACAAGAATAAATAAATATAAATAAGAATAAATAAGACAAATTATCTAGTTTTTAAATCAGGAGCATTAGGTAAAAATGATTAAATTTTTTTATTAATATTTAACTAAAAATGATAAAAAACTGTCATGTGATTTTATTTATATAAAAATATTATGATCTTATATTTCTTCATTTATATAAAAATGTGACTTCTAAACTACATGTTTATACTGCTAAGAAGCTATGTATTATTTTATGCATATAAATGCAAATTATAAATTTTCTAAGATCTAAAATATTTTATGTATTTTTATAAATACGATTTGCACTTCCATTTCAAAGATGTGTGTAATTAACATTACATTTGCTTATCCTTATCCACGTCCATTTACATTTTAATGTATTTTTTGTTTTTTAATTAAAATAGGAATATATTTTTTATAGTTGCTATTACAATAATAATGAGTAAATATTTATCAAAATTTTTATTAAAAGCAACATAGCATTTTTGAGGTTTTTTTTAATCTAAAATTCTTAAAACTCAACAAGTTTGCAAGATAACAATGTAATTCTTTCAATATTTGTGTAAATTTGAAAAAATATGTTTATGAGTAACACTGTTTAAACGTTCAATAGAATAATAATATATAGTTGTTTGTTGTTTTAACTAAAGAGCTCTTGAAATCTACAATAATTTATGAAAAAGGCTATAAAAATTATATCAATTTATAATTCTCATAATAGAATAAAATTACCTTTGCTTTACTAGCAGTGGGGCTGACACCTAATATTAATGCAGCTTCTCTTTTTGTCATTTTAGGTTCAAATCCACCTTTGTAGTATTTAGAATTAGCCAGTGTTTCACTATCAAATCTAGGCAAATTCTTCATGGCTTCAGAAAATTTCATAGAAGCATTGGGCATTTGTCTAAGGATATAGCGACCTGCAAATCCAACTGCAGCCATCCCTAAGCCTGCTAAAATAATGGAACTGGCCTGTTAACAAGAAAACGTAATTTAATAATAGGTGATAAAATAATACAATGTATTACAAAATTTGAGGTTATTTTAAATACCATAGTTTTTTTTCAGTAATTTACTACGAACAAATACAAAATTAATTCATTACAAATTATTTTCAATTCATTTTATAATTTTCTTGTTTTGCTAGGTAATAATTAGATAACAAATTCTATTATAATGAATGGATATTGCAAAATTTATTTTGAAGTTGAACCACAGATTACATTTCTAAAGGTATAAACGTCAAAGTCTTTATTTTTTATTTGTCTTCCTACCAAAAACCTTAAGAACATAGAAGGAATCATAAAATAAAAACTGTAAATCAATGGTTGCCTCTTTTCTTCTTATACAAATATAATTAGTAAAAAGAGGACGAAAGGTTAGTGTCTAAGAACAAAAAATTATATAGGAGTGATAAAATTGCCAATTCATAGCAGGCTAGGGTATAAAAAAATGTTAAACGACCGTATAACCCTATAAAATTCAGATACAACCTACTTGCATACTTTCTACATAAACCGTGTCAAATAATATATAATCTAGTAATATAAAATTTATCATAGACAAATAATTGATATATCAAAAATTTTCTATACACTAGCCTGCTATGAATTGAGAAAAATGACAACTGATGTGTATCTTTGATCTTCTTTTTACTAATTATATTTGCTAAGAAGAAAGAAGGCAACATTGTTTTATCATTCCTTCTACATAATTCCTTGTTCTTAGGTTAGTATGTAGAAATGTTTGATATGTCAATTATTTGTCAATAACAAATCGTACATTACTAGATTATATAAAACATTTATTTCTGTACCATCGTATATTAAATAAAATTTTATGACATCTTCAAAATAAAAGAAAAACAACATTTGTCTCCTTTTTTATAAAGAATTCGACTTATGAAATCAATCTAAACGGGGTTGATACTGAGACACCATTTCCCTAAATCTATTTTTTTATTTAATATTTTAATTAGATAGTTTCACGAAATTACCATTTTATGGTCTATTTTAAACAAAATATACAGGAACAATATGGTATATGAATATAATCCAAAGATTTCAGAATTGAATATAAGTAAACAAAAATAGAATTAAGTATTTATTTTCAACGGTTGACTGCACTATGCCATAATATATAATGATTTGACTAAAATATAATAGAAATTCAGTTTATATTGGTCTTCTGAATGAAGCTTTCGCTGTGATACCAGAAGCTTTCGCTGTGATATCAAATTTAAATTTTATAGCAACGATCCTAAAGTGATATTATAGATAGATAGATAAATTTATTTGCATTACTTATACATACAAATTATAACATATATAGATATACATAAAAAGCAAGATAACATAAATGATTAAAAAAATACATAAAACCAAGTAAATTTTTTTTTATTTGTGCGTGTGCCATAACAATACAAAATGGTTACAACTCAGTTTATTGCTTTGCCCTCAAAAGAGCAAAGCAAATATATTCTGTTGCGGCCAAAGGGAATTGGGTAACAATAAAATAATACTACTAGATTATTTATACAGTAAACAGACATATACAGTATTATCTGCTCCCTGTATTACCTACCTACATGTATTTCATCTCACATAATAGCATAAACTGTGCAAACAGTTCAATCATCTAAATGAAGATTGCTAATAGTCAAAAAATAATATTACGAAGTATTATTGCTTCCTAATTACTAAATAATTAAAATGTATTTATCCACTGGTATTCCTAATCTATGCTATTTTGCTATTAAATACTGGCAACACGAGGAACAGAAATGACCAACCATATAAAAATTTAAGAAAAAAAAATATATCTTTTCGAAGAAGTTCAACATGGCAGGAGATCAGGCGCAATTTTATCAATTATTAAATACCATATTATCCCCGGAAAATGACATCAGATCCCAAGCAGAAGTAAGTGCTGATAATATGTTTTCTAACGAATACATTTTTACGGCTTCACATTTTGGCGTAATTAGTATGAGTAACATCTAACACTAGCCTCGTGTTGAAACGTGGTCATGGTGGATCCAATTTGTAAGCTCCCAATAAATACTTATTGTTCATGTCTTAATATATAATTAGTTTTTAATTTATTGTAAAAATTACGTATCTTTACTTGTAGTACTCTAATCTGTTTACAATTATTTGTATGTAAAAAAATATTTCTATTACCGTTACAAGGGCTGCGCCGAACGCGCGTTTGCCGGGAATTGTTTTTTTTTTTATCAATTATGAACTGTTTTCTGTTTAAAATAATTTTATTTCATTGAAAACACCTGAAAATTATATTAAATAATTTAGCGAAATTCAATGCTATCACAGTAACGCCCATTGTTAAACACCATAGGTGTTACTGTGATGTGAAATGCACGTTACTTTTCATGTTTATTAGCATTGATTAGCCATTTCAACTATATTGTCCATCAGCTTGTGCATCATGCTATAGCATATAAAGAGGTACTTTATTTTTCTACTAAATTTTAGTTTCAGAACACCATGTTTGTTACAAAAAGAGAGAAAGACTGATCGTGTTGTTGCTTATAAAAAAATTATTACCTACTAAACAAATAATTTTTGTTTTAAGTAAATTAAAATGTAGTGATAAATAGATATATTACATTATTGACCTTAGATACACAAATTGGTAGGTACTTCATTTGCTTTAGGTTGCTATTGTCATCTTTAGAATTTAGTTGGCTCCAGGTACTTACTGAATATATATAAATATATCCCTTAAAATTCTTAAGGTAATCTGGCAATGTTTAATAATAATTAAATGTTTAAAAATTAATGTTTAAAAATAATTGTCTCTTGCTCTGTTTTGTAACTTCTAGAATTTAACCTCCATGATGCAGTGGTAAGCATGTCTCTTTGCATAGATCAAATCCCAAGTTTGATTCTTGGTCAAGCTAATTTAGAGAATCTTTAACCTTTCCAAATTACCTCTGGTTTGGGTTTTTTGGTACGTGCCTTCCAGGTGTTTATTTTCTAATATCTCAACACAGAGTATTCTAGCTCTAGAACCAAGCAATTGGTGTGATTGTGTAGTACCTGCTTATTATTATACATGTAATGAACCATGCTATGGCCATGAAATAGAAAATATCCTTAGACACAATACTTACTGCCATCTAGTCACAAACTAAGCAAACTTTTTACTGTAGATACTACACAAAAGAAAAAATACTTAAATACGTTTTGTTTTTCTTGTAAGTGCACATTATACAAAAAAATAAAAAAATAAACAATCATAAAGTCTGTCTTAGATTAAAGTGCGCCTACATGAAATTGGATATATTCTATTTATAAAGTTCGATTGGAAACCCTACGCAATTCTAATGCGAAATAAAAGCATTTGCGTTGTATTTTTTCGGGAACTCGCATACATTTGTGCGATCCCGACCGTTAGTGTCTTCATTTATTTGACGGTGTTCTTCTATGCCAAGCATTTTTAATCGACCTGCAAAAGGAGGTGAGGTGGTCCTAATTATTGTTCTGCGATTACGTCACCGACTCTGAACCATACTAATTAGTTTTGCATTTGTTACACTCGTGTTATTATGTACCATATTAACTTTATAACCATTGAAGCAACCATTTTTCTTTAAAAATCTGTTTATTGCGAAGCTAAATTTTACTTATTAATACGTAATTCCGCGTTCTAAATTCGCTTGCCATTATATTATATTATACCTATTTTATGAAAAAAAAAACCAAGAAAATGAGCTAAAAATCAATAAATTGCTAAGTCAATCAATGAATAATGATGTAATGTAACAACCAAACCAAAAACAAAAGAATCTAATCAATCTAATGAAAAATTAGAACAAAAGTATCATAACTAATTTCTACGAATCAACAGCGTAACGAATACGATTACTAATTTTTAAATATCCCTCTCGCACCCGCTTGTATGTACTCGTATACTTTCAAATTGATCCCATACAAAGTTTATATCGGGCTTAAAATAACAATTTGATTTAATCACATTATATTATTAAAAACTCTAATTATGCACTACGCATATTTATCAAAAAGAATTAAAAAGAAAAACAAAAATTATTTTATTTCTTGAATTTAAATTAATTAAAAAACAGGACGAGATAAATCGTAATTGGTGTCCTAGAAAAGAACGCAAATCTACGAGTTATTTCAGTTGGCAGTCAACGTGTTAAAATTTATTCTGTAATTTAGTTTTCTGCACTAACGATTGTACTATGATTGCGAAGTCGATGTTTTTGTAGAACCAGGGGGTCTACCATGAAATGAAATTCCGAATTTTCGGTCTCAATTTCGTGTTTTTGTTCGTACCGAAATCGACCCTGTAAATGGAGTTTAACAATTCGTTTGTCATAAATCCTACCATAAAAGTTCAAAGGAATGATATTTTAGCATTTTTAATATTTTTAAACGATACGTATCATGTAATTTTAGCATCAAATTTTTGTTTCGTTCGGATCCGAAATTTCGTAAAACATTTTATGGTAGGCCCTCAGATTTATCGTTTCGGAAACATTTAACCTAGTAAACGTGCCTTCTCCGCTATACGTGACCTCTTAGAATGGAGAAAACTTGATTCGTTAGATCGATTCTGATAAAAATAAACTACTCATAAAAATTCATTGAAATCTGTTCACTCATTTTCATGTAATGCTGAAACACATGGCTAGGCTAAAGCATAAAATAGCTAATTTAATTATTGTTGTTTTCTTTATACTACACTACTATAGTAGCAAACAAGCATATAGCCTACCTGATGGTAATACTTATTTTCAATACAATAAAACTTCGCGAAAAGTAACTCAGAAAATTAACTTGGAACTTTGCGTTACATTTTTATTAGGTACTTTACTATCTAGCTGCATTTGCAAATTCGCCCGCGTCATGTATGTTGCTGTACTTTGTAACGACCTTGGTGTAGCTGTTTAACACGTCGCCTTATTTTTCAATGATCGCAGTTTCGATTCCCGTACAATATAAACATTTGTATTCATAAATATGTTTATTATTATTTTTTTATATCACTGAGGTGGCAAACAAGCTTATAGTCCATCTGATGATGAACGGTTACTGCAGCCTATGAACGCCTGTTATTCCAGAGGCATTACCGCGTTTCCGACATTGAAGAAACATCTCTTTTTTTTTTTTAAAAAAAAAACCCATGTTGTAGTCTCTTGGAAAAAACTGGATAGAGAACTTATTCCATAACCTGAACGTTCGTGGGAGAATCATTTCCGAAACCGCACTGTACGCGACCATGCAGCCTCTAAGATGTGAGAGTGAACTTCCTGTCGATATCGAAATGTACAATGGTAAAATGGTGACTGTGGCCATTATATTGAACAATTCCTCTGAGAACAGTCCATTGTACAAGCAGTAGAACACGTAGACTAAGGCAAAATCTCTCCTGAGACTTGAAGGTTCTATACCGCTTAAAAACCTGGGATCGTCAACAATTCTCGAAGCTCGTCGTTGCATTAAGTCGAAGGGTTCAAGCAGGTATGTAGGTGCTCCCGGTTATAAGTGACAGATATATTCTATGTGGAGCTGGATTTATAGAACAATCAAACAAGTCGTTGATCCGGCGTCAAGTTTTGCCTCGCTCTGTTAAGCACACCCGTTTTTGGATGCCAGCTTCACCTTATCTACGAGGTGGCCATGAAAGTGTACGTCACTAGAGATGTCGATATCAAGGATCCCAATGTTCTTAGAATGTTAAAGGACATGCCTTGGAACTATATAACTACAACTAATGATTTCTTATTAGTATTTAAATAGAACAAGGCTGTGCTTAGAGAAATAAATGGCACCATGTAATAATCCAGACCATTGGTTTTAATTATATATTTAATTTAAACTTATGTTTTTTATGTAAATTAGATTTTGTTAGTAAAAGTTTATTGTCAATGCAAACCCCTAACTTTCTCTTTGTATACGTAATTTGCACTCAATTAAATTAATAATTATTTTATCATTATAGGAAGCATACAATAATATTCCAACTGAGACAAAAGTGGTCCATTTGGTGGGGGCTATCCAAAATGCAGATCTCGGTGAGGACATCAGACAAACAGCGGCAGTATTCCTGCGGCGACTTTTTAGCACAGATTTCTTTGAGTTTTTCCCGAAATTACCGTTTGAACAGCAGTCAATGCTTAGAGAACAGCTGCTCCTCACCCTACAAATGGAAGTTACTCAACAACTGCGACGCAAGGTTGGTCATATTTTGTTCTTACAGCTTGCATAAATGTAAAATAAATAAAATCAAAAACTACTTAACCGATTTTAAAAATTCTTCACCTATAGAAAGCTACATTATCCGTAATATAGGCTATATGTATATAAAATAGAAATACTAAAATAAAATTACAATAATGATTCTATGTTAAGGTATTAATTTATCTATCTATCCACCATACGAAGCTGGGACAGATCACTAGTATATAATAACTAGCTGACCCAGCGAACCTTGTTTTGTCACCTACTACCTGGGTAGTAGGTGACAAAACAAGGTTACTGGGTTCATTTTTTTATTAGTATAAACTGTTCTATTGTAGGTTTCTCCCTGATGCCCTTACCACTATACTATTTAGACTGGTAAGAAGACCCATTCGTCGTCGTAACTGTCCTATTTCTCAACTTAAAGCAAAGCAGTTAGTTCTTTTAACGTTATACATTTAAACTTGTTGAAGGTAGGATTATAAAATGTGTATTTGTTATTATAAATTGATCTTTGGCACAAGGAATTCTAATTGATGCTGTCTTCACCATGAGAGGTAATTTGAAATGAATCGTAGGTATGATGAAATTGAAAATTGGACATGTATTGTGCAGAACAATATTGATCAGTGTATTATAATATGACCTTGTTACCGTTATGGAATTTTATTATTCTACATTAGATAGACGATTTTAATATTGCTGATTTTACATCAATATCAAAAGAATTGCGTGTCTATTCTTAAACACAAATTATCCATAAAACCTAAGGAAGGGAATAAATATAGGCTATTGAAAGAGGATTTTAAATTACTTAACTAATGAGTAGAATATTAAATTCCCCTGTATTTCTTTTATATTACATGATATCTTTACTAAAGTTTATTTTTGTAGTTTTTTTTTTTTATGAATTCTCATCACAAAGTCACTGTTTTCTTTTTGCAAAAGCATAGCAAAATATTATTTTTACATTTACACATTTATAAATATAAATGTGTATTATTTACTCCAACTCGAGTTATAGCTTAGTTTCATCCCGCTAAGAAAATGGACCAGGTAGGGGCGAAATAAGTTTGTCGAGTCAAGTAATGGATAATAAATAAGTCAGCGGTATTTTCGGTTGTGACCTAATAGTAGGCACTGGACTTATTACCACATGGATCACAATAATTTTCTTATCTTGTGTTTAACGTATTGCATGTATTGTGTAGCATCAATGGACCAAAATTTTATCAATATTGGCAAGTATAATCCCTATTATATTAAATTTTAGTAGATACCTTTTGTGGTTTGATTTTTTGTTTTCATTTAGATATGTTCTGTCTTGACAAAAGGTAACTTTTTATCCTGATGTTACATTACATTAATAACAATTAAGATCCAACAATGGTCTTGATTAATAAATGGATACGTCTCAACCCAATAATCCAAATATATAATAATTTACATCCACACTCCTACAATTCTTTCTCTTTATTAAAATTTTTTTTTGTATTACAGATTTGTGATGTAGTATCTGAGCTCGCGAGAAATCATATTGACGATGATGGCGTCAACCAATGGCCAGAATTTCTTCAATTTATGTTTAACTGTGCTAACTCTCAAGATCCCAATATTAAAGAGGCTGGCATTCGGATGTTCACGTAAGGAAATATTAAACTTACATGTTTATAAATTTATATTATTTTTCTATTGATTACAACTCTATTCTAATATCTAATATAATATGATATGATATATCTAAATTGTTTTATCCCTTAACCAAATAGTTGCTCCTCTTTTTTAGGTCAGTACCAGGAGTTTTTGGAAATCTACAAAATGAAAACTTGGATCTTATAAAGAGAATGCTCCTGTCTTCCCTGGAGCCCACAGAAGCTGAAGCGCTCCGCATTCAGGCTGTTAAGGCAGTGGGAGCATTTATATTACTACATGAAAAAGAACCTGCTATTCAAAAACATTTCAGTGATTTACTTCTACCTTTAATGCAGGCAAGTACATAAAATTATCCTGACATTGTCATTTTAAATGCCATTTATAGTTTAAAACAAATGTAGATATTCTTAATATATTTATTTTGCACACAAACTCCTACATGCACATGTTATAATTATGTGTGCTATTGCCATAGTGTGCAACAGCAAATAGAGAATTTCGCTAACACCAACCTTTTAAATAGGTTGGAGTTTGATAGTACCTCTCAATACATACATACATATATATAATGTCTACTGTACATTTAGATAAAAACTATTTCATTTATTAATATTTAATTTAATTTAAATAGGTAGTAGCCCGAACAATTGAACAGGGAGAAGATGATTCTGCATTGAAAGTACTCATCGAACTTGCAGAGTCTGCTCCAAAATTCTTACGAACACAGCTGGAGACCATCTTCCAAATCTGTATTAAGGTAAATATTTATTTATACCTATTTCCCTTTAAGAAATTCGGTAATTTTATTTTGTATGAATATAGAATAATTTTTGATGTGAACCTCTATTATTGAATAATTTTATCAATGAACATACATGATAATAGCCTTGAATCACTACCATTTATTTTAGGCAGTGAAACAGAAATAATTGCACAAACTAAATCACTGATCTAATCTATTTATAGTTATTTGTACAGTAAATAATTAATAATGATTTAAAACGGAAATGTCGATTGCTATGCATACTTTGTCGCCGTTATGATACTGAAATTTTAAAGACAAATTTGTTTTAATTTTTGGTATAACTCCCTATCTGTATGTCCATACAATACGACACCAGAAGTGTTACAGCAATAGTATATAATTTCTTAGATCTGATACTATCCACTAATCCTAGAAAGCAATGGAGAATTCTTTCACTAAACTTATCAGTATCTAACATAGATGATATTTTTAACTCTTGAAATACAGCTATAATTATAATTTTTGTGTCCTTCACAATTCAAAACATCTTTCTTTAAGAAGACTTGTTTGCAAGCTCTTTTTAATTGTTGTTTTTTATAAATTTACTGGAGAGTTTGGAATATCGTTATCCGCTAAGAACCCGCAAGAATCTCAACGGCTCTATTAACGAAGATGTCAATTGTAATTATTTTTCCATTAGGGACTCAGGACTCTGGTGTTATTCCTCTGTACCCAGTAAATTCACGCCATATCCCACCCTTCAAATCGAAACACAGCCATGCAAACACAACTGCTTCACGGTTGAAACATGAATGGGACAGAGGTACCCAAGCAATCGACTTTTGTACAAAGTCCCTCTGGTTTTCATCACTGTCGTTGTTTTCTTTTTGCGCAGTATTTATCCTACATTATTATTATAACGTAGGTAGTAGGCGATACTAATGCTGACGATAATTGGCGACAACTGACATTGGAGGCTATGGTGACGCTATGCGAGACCGCGCCGGCGATGGTTCGCAAGCAGGTACCCGACGGGATTCGTATGCTGACACCCCTCGTTCTTGAAATGATGTGCGAATTAGAGGACGAAGACGATTGGGCACTGCAAGATGACGTCGCCGATGATGACAACGAGGAGTAAGTTATCTATCTATATACAAAACTATGTTCATAACATTATAATGATTGTAAAATATGGAACAAAAAATTTTATTTACATTTTTTTCCATATTTTTATGTCTTTTAATTTTGTTTGCTATCGATAGGGTTTATTAGCGACGATTGCCAATTTCCATCTGCGTAGGTTAACAGCCTGTTTGGCTTTCTTTGTAGTATAAAACTCCCACACATCTTGAAACATATTCTAATCTAAAAAGATGGAAGAGCCTTTCGCTATCTCTCCGGATTTAATTGGCCTGTTGTCATTATCACTATATTTATACGTGATATGACATTATCACTAGAATGGCTCGTTAATTATAAATGGGCAAACTCTTTTGTATTATCGATCGTTGATCCCTGGGATCAATCGCAATTAAAATTCTTTTCAGAATTGTCATCATCTATTATCATCATGTCATCCGCTGTTATCTGTTTACAGCTGAACACAGGCCTCCCCCATAGACAACCTTACAGTAGTCTGTAGATGGACCTGCATTTACTGACTCCCAACAATAATTTGAGGTTACTCCATCTATTAGAAGTCCATCCTACACTGTGTCTGTTTGGGATCGCTACTCAAGCAACTTTTCCTCCATCTGTTGTTATTTATTGGAGCTATTTGTCCAGCCCTATACCACTTTAGCTTATTTTACGAGCTATGTTGATAACTTTGGTTCTTCTGCGGATATCCTCATTTTAAATTCGGTTACACAAAGAAACTGAGCATAGCCCTCTCCATAACTTGCTGAGTAACTTGAAACTTTTGCACATGAACGACCGTGTAGGACCATGTTTCGATTCCGTCAGTCATCAATTTCGAGAATTGTTTCCATTATGTCCTACTTATTAATTCCATTTTTCAATTGATAACACAAAGAAAATGCATTGGAGCAATAACAACTAGTTCTGATAAAACCAAAAATGGGAAATATTGTTTAATTTTGTCCATTTGTCACAGTGACATATTAATGCTATCTATTATCTATTGTAAGTACTATCCTCCTAGCTTTATTTCAGCTGATTTCAAAGAGGAGGTTCTCAATTCGGTTCTTTTTTTTTAACTTTGTTACCTCATAACTCCATTAGTTTTAAATCGATTTGGAAAATTCTTTTATCTGAAAAGATATATTTAAAGACTGATTCCCATAGAAATTTTATCAAAACCAATTTAGTAGTTTAGTTTTTAAATCATAATAACTAGGTTTGTCGCAATTGAAGACTTTTTAGGATACTATCTTTAATTATCTTTCTGTAACTGTACTACAAATTTTGTCGTAAGATCCTATAATGTAGGCTGAATTTTATATAATGCAGCTGAAAGGAGTCTTACAAGATTAATTAACGAGATAATTAACATTATATGTTTTATACATATGGATGTCAGTCCCTCGGTAACATATATAACTACCAATATTTAGTAATGAAAATTAACTCTAATATCTTATGATATATCTACATGGAGATTTGGGTAGTTTGTTCAGTGATTAAAAATTAAGATATCTCTTATTTAGTATTATAATTTTTTATCATTTATTAAATCTTTGTTACAGTAACTATGTAGCTGCAGAATCTGCCCTTGATCGCATGTGTTGTGGGCTCAGTGGCAAGATAATGCTGAATTTGATTGTGGGTCAGGTACCTACTATGTTGAGTTCTGAAGACTGGAGGAGACGGCACGCAGCGCTTATGGCAGTCTCTTCTGCTGGCGAGGGTTGCCACAAGCAGATGGAACAATTATTGGACCAAGTTGTTTCTGCTGTACTCAATTATCTTACTGACCCTGTAAGTTGATAATAATAAATATATTATATATATTTATTATTATATTATGTGCGCTTTTGTTGATAAAATTAATATATACTTTTTTATTTTAGCATCCACGTGTACGTTATGCAGCTTGCAATGCTATTGGGCAAATGTCAACTGATTTTGCACCTGTATTTGAAAAGAAATTTCATGACAAAGTGGTGCCTGGGCTATTATTGGTACTTGATGACAACGCAAATCCGCGTGTGCAGGTACACTCAATTCAAATATTAATGAGGTTACATATTTAATTGTATTGAAATGTAACTTTATTAAAAAGCAGTTATCAGGACAATAGTGCTTTTATGCAAATATTGAGGCCATTTCTGAGACGCCATTTCTCTAAATTGAATATTTTTATGAACTAAAATTATAAGAATTTTGACTTCGAAAATTAGTTGATATTAATTATTTTACTAAAGATTCCTCTGTGATATCAAATTGAAATTTTAGAGATAGGCTCAGAGAAATGACCCTTTAGAATCAATTTCATTATCAAAAAACATGGTTATTAAATGTATTTTATAATATAGATCTGTCATTAAGTGGATTTTATTCCCCAAAAAAACTTTAATTTCAATTATTACAAAGTAAATATGGTACTAGTGATATAAATTGTTGCATGGCAATTGCAAATATTAAATTAAAAAAAAATCTATTTTATCTGTTATAATGTTTACTATACAAGAATTTTGTTTTCTTATTTTCTAACCTAATTAATAAACATTTTTTTTTTAATTGATGATGTATGTCCTAGTTCTGATTTGTACTCCCATTTTAGGCACATGCGGCCGCTGCTTTGGTAAACTTCAGTGAAGACTGTCCAAAACCTATATTGACACAGTATTTGGATGCCCTAATGAATAAACTTGAGGAAATTCTAACTGCTAAATTTAAAGAGGTAAGAAAAGCTTCCTATTATTTTTACATTACTCTTTATTGTTCCATACCCAATGTTCGTTAGTGATACAATCCTTATTTTTGAATGCATCACTTCCATAACATTGGAAGAATAAATGTGACGATTGCTCCCTTTCTCTCCATTCAATGGAAAGTCAGGGATCTCATGTCACATACAAATGTTTATAACTTGCTATATTAGATGTTAAAACTTAATTAAAATTAGTTCAACTCACACAATTTAAATCTAATTGTAAAATTCAATACCTCCTAATTACTACATGATTTTTCAGCTGGTTGAACGTGGCACTAAACTGGTGCTAGAACAAATAGTGACAACAATAGCATCAGTCGCTGATACAGTTGAGAAAGATTTCATTCAGTACTATGACAGACTGATGCCTTGTCTTAAGTACATTATAGCTAATGCAACAACACAAGAACTGAAAATGCTACGTGGCAAAACTATCGAATGTGTCAGTCTTATTGGTGAGAAAATTTATTAAATGCATGCTTTACACACTTAAATGTAAATTAGAAATACCACTTTATAATAAACACAAAATGTTTTCTCAGATTGTGATTGAAGTATATACATTTTACATTATTTAATATTACTTAAATATCAATTGATTTATGAAAATAATTTATAGCATGTTTTTGTAAAAAAAAAAAAAACCAATTTGAATTTTTAGGCCTTGCTGTTGGTGAAGAGAAGTTTATGCCAGATGCATCTGAAGTTATGGACTTACTACTAAAAACGCACACAGAGGGCGACCAGCTACCTGCTGATGATCCACAGACATCATATCTCATCTCTGCATGGTCACGCATTTGTAGAATCATGGGTAAGTTTATGGAAAATAATGACGCTATTATTTTACCTTTAATAATAATTGTAGTAAAATAATTATTTTACTACGGTTATTATATGCCTGAACACAAGGCAACTACAATACTTATTGTAGTTACCTTATCTTCAGGCTATACTTATTATTTTTATGGATATGACATACTGTAGCTAATTGGAACCTGTATATTTTTTTTAATTTCTCTGTATATGTATAGAAAGATGTAAGATTAAATTTCAAATCCTCAAATTTATTATGATGATTTTCATTGTCAAATTTTACTGAACAGGCAAAAAATTCGCTCAATATTTACCAATGGTCATGGAGCCAGTGATGCGTACAGCTGCGATGAAGCCCGAGGTGGCGTTGCTGGACAATGAGGACCTCGAGACTATTGAAGGAGATGTCGATTGGCATTTCGTCACTCTCGGCGAACAACAGAATTTCGGCATTAAAACTGCTGGTGTGTATTAATATATTAGTTGACCTGAACAACTTCGTTTGCAATGTTTTGCAATTTTTTTAAATTTATGCTCTACTCTTATTGGTCGTAGCGTGATGATATATCACTTTCCTTGATAAAAATACTATCCAATTCTAACATTATTTTTCTATTCGAATCAATAGTACCTGAGATTATCATATTCAACAAAACTTCAACTTTATAATATTAGTATAAAATATTAGTAGTTGTTATAATTTTAATTTTAAATGTACATACATATACTATATTAACACTGTTTATGCATGGAAACACATATATGATCTTGAGTTACAGTACTGTATCTACACTGCCAAAATTTAGTCTTTAAACTAAAAAATAGCAAGTACACAAGCTCATAAAATCTCTGACACAAATAGTATTGTATACAATATATTATATATTATTTATACAATATATTATATATTATTTATACAATATATTATATATTATTTATACAATATATTATATATTATTTATACAATATATTATATATATTATTTATTAAATATTGAACATAAAAGACGTACAATGTCTAATGTTGAAAATTACCAAATACATAAAAGTTCCTGAAATACATTCTGTCTTAAAAACTGTCTGCTATGATTATTGTACCTGATATGTATTATTTTTGTTACAAAATGTTTGTCTTTTTCTTGTAGGTTTGGAGGACAAAGCATCAGCATGTGACATGTTGGTTTGTTATGCCCGAGAATTGAAAGAAGCTTTCGCTGAGTATGCTGAGGATGTTGTTAAACTTATGGTACCAATGCTAAAATTCTACTTCCACGACAACGTGCGGACAGCGGCGGCAGAGTCGTTACCCTATTTACTCGAATGTGCGCGTATTCGTGGGCCACAATATATTCAGGGCATGTGGGCCTATATACTGCCCGAGTTGCTTAAAGCAATTGATTCTGAGCCTGAACTAGAAGTGCAAGTTGAATTATTGAATAGCCTTGCCCAGGTAAATTCGTTTTAGAATTATTGTAGTGTCAACTTTAGGACATTATTAAAATTTGCTTAGATTTATAAGATGATTGTAAATCAGTTATGATCCTTATTTTTGAAATAACAAAGACAATACTTACAATATTTGTTACAGTGCATTGAACTGCTAGGCACTGGATGTCTGTCAGATGAATCTATGGCAGAAGTGCTACGTATACTCAACAAACTGCTTACAGAACATTTCGAACGCGCCACTGAACGCAGACAAAAACGTTCCGACGAGGATTATGATGAGGTTAGTATCAAACACTGTTCCATGACAATAATAATTATGAAAATATGTTCACAGCACAGAAGTTGGCAAATTTTAAAATATTTCTAAATTTGAAATAATAAACTTGCACTTTTTTTTATTTCTATACAATTTCAGTTTCATTCATTACAATAATGTATAAAATGGTTCAAAGCAGTTTTAAATATATATTTATATATATTGTTAAATTAGGTTGTAGAAGAGCAGCTAGCTGACGAAGACAACGAGGACGTGTATGGTCTGTCCCGCGTGGCGGATGTCCTTCATGCACTAATGTCGGCTTATCGTGAACACTTCTTCCCACACCTCGACAGTTTACTCCCTCATCTTGTTCAGTTGCTGGCGCCTGGACGCCCATATGCAGATCGCCAATGGGCGTTATGCATTTTCGATGATGTTATTGAATTTGGAGGTGAGTCATAATAATGTATATATATTTTTTTTATTTTTATTGGTTTATAATATACTGATTTACTAGAGGAATATTTTGTACAAATTTATTTGCTTGTATCCTCCTCATATTTGTGCCGTGAAGTAGCTGTGGTTTCATAACTGTTTTGGTTTGAAGAGTGGAATATAAATATTGTATTAATATATGATATAACAGGTCCTGCCTGCATAAAATACCAGAGCATATTCCTGGAGCCAATGCTGGAGGGTTTGCGGTCGCGCGAGGCAGAAGTGCGACAGGCGGCGGCATATGGGTGCGGTGTGCTCGCACAATTCGGCGGCGTGCAGTTCGCGGCCGCGTGCGCTCGTGCCGTGCCGCTGTTGGCTGCGCTTATAGCCGAGCCAGATGCCCGCTCCGTAGAGAACCTCAACGCTACAGAGAACGCCATCTCGGCTGTCACCAAAATTATTAAATACAACCATTCTCAGATCAACAGGGACGAGACAATCAGGCATTGGTAAGTATATTGTGGATTCACTGCTCTAATATTTCATTTCATAGTTGGTCTTTTTTATGATTAAACCAGTAAGTCGCCAAGAGGTAACAAACAAACTTGCTTTCATAATTATAATTATTCAATATTTCAAACCAACTGTATCAAAATGAATTTAAACTATGTGAATAAAAATAAAAAAGTTACAAATTTGTTTATATCCTAATGTGAATATATGGCGTTAACCCATTTCATTAACAGTGCTGTGATACAATTAAAGTAATGCATTTTCAATTAAACTACAATCTTTATCCTGCAGGCTGACATGGCTTCCCGTAACGGAGGACACTGAAGAGGCGCCGCATGTGTATGGACTGTTGTGCGAACTAGTGGCGAATGGACATGAAACGCTGGCGACGCCAGACGCGCCGCAACGCGTTATTGCAACGCTCGCGGAAGCCTTCCTACGTGACGCTGTTCCGTCTGATAATCCGGTTTATGCACAAATGGTCGCACTCGTCAGGCAAATACAGGTAACTTTGCTTTTATGTCATTTTAAGAAAATAAATTTTATGGTAAATTTGCCTCCTATATAAAATGTCTCAACTTGTGGACTATGCTAACTATTTACTAGTAGATTGTATGCTTTTCGGTTTACGCTCGAAATATACAAATCTCAAAATAAACACACTAGGCTGAAAATGTCACATCAAAATGTCAAAATCTCAAAAAATGGAAGTCTCACATAATCATTACAATTTTTTGTATGAACAAAAGTAAACAGTATTATTTTATAGTAAAAAGATTTAATATCTACATAATTATTATTATCATATATTAATAAAAAAAATCGCAATGTGGTCCTGGTATAGAATGGGCCAACCCTTTCTTTGCCATGGGCGTGTTAACTGGCAACTAAGGAAATTTAATGGACGAGAATTGAGCAGTAGCGTCCCTCCTTAAACATCGCAAAAGCCTAATTGCGATTGCCAACCCCCATACTATACCTAGCAAATGTCCCTACTAGGAAGAGGCCTATATTTAGCAGTGGACAGATGGCCAATGATGTTTCTATCGTAAAAGTGCCTTCAGCTCTTGTCTTAAATAATAATATAAACAATATTTTTTTTCTTTTGACAGAGCAATGCGGAATTATTCAACTCGTGCCTAATGCAGCTAAGCGGCGAACACAAAGAGGCGCTGGAGATAGCACTGTCCACCTAGGACCGAGCACACATGCACTCCCCCGTTGCCAGTCACACTAACTTTACTGGGCCTCCGTCACTCCACTCTCGCATCGACCTCCTGTAGTTTGCTACTTTTCTCTCATGTTTATCTCGTACAATATTATAATGAAGTTTAATAATTTATATATGTTGTTTATTAATATTTTGTATGGTCCATAATATGACTGATATCAGTAAAATTGTAATTAACTGAAACTATAGACCATTTCTTTTCTGAGAACTGTGTTTCTTCGATCTCGTTCACTATTAAACTTGTTGGGCTTATAAAAATTTACTGTGATATATTTTTATTATATTTTTAATAATCGTCCCATGCTTCAGTTTTATTATTCCGCAGCAATTTCAGACCATGCCAGATTTTAAAATATTTTTATTTTTATAATAAATCGATAATGGTCCAATTTTTTTAAATAAATATTGTTATGTCAATCATGTTCACAAACATCACGCGTCATCACATCCATCACATGGCAGCCAGATAACATAACACATCTTCATATTGTACTAAAATTTACATATTTACCTTGGTTTTGTATGTTTTAAAGTTCGGCCATCCATATTAATTTTGATGTAAAAGTTTGCCACTTTCGGCTTCGATGGGAACTTAGTGGCTGTTCTCGCAATGGACGAGATGTCACATGTTTATAAGAAATAATTTTATTCAATGAGATATATATAATAACTAAAAAGTTATTGAACAATGTTTAACTAAAATAAAAGTTATTGAACATTTTCTAGTTTTTCCATTCATCAACATGATTGCTGTCAAGGTAAAAATTATTAGCTCAATTTGGCAATACAGATTAATAAACTTTGTTCAAAGAAATGACTTTAGTAACTCTCCATTACGAACAAATTGAATTACTTTTTTCATGTTTTTCTTGACATTTCACACTTCTTTTCGTTAATGGCAATTGCTCGTTATTTTTACGACCATTTCTGCCAGCGTCATGTATAAGAGGCTCTTACTGGAGATAGAAATTATATCTAAACCACTGGTCTATGAACTTTTTGGTATAAAACCTAAAAAAGACAACACAATATGAGTTAGTAATAAATATCAATACAAAAATCTTAAATATATATTTCCTATGAATATATAAAATAAATACATAATATAGAGTTTATAGTTTGATATTATTGTTTTTGATAAAATTTACTATAATCCATAAAATATTGGGGTTTTCAGTAAAAGAAATATTTAAAAGATCACTTAAGTTAGTAGACTGGGAATTTGTTCTTTGACAAGTTGTGGGTATAATGGGCTTGTACTAAGGCAAAAAAAAGTATGGTTTACATCACCATCTTCTTGACTACATTCACAAATAGAGTTATCTCTAATTCTAAATTTGTGCAAAAATATTGGTGAACTACAATGACCAACACGAAGTCTACATAAAATAGAAATGATAGACTTAGGTAGCCTTTTGTGTCTAAAAAATAAAGGTTTAATAAAATCGGTCAGTATTTTTAGACGAATCTCGCCAACTATTTGTCCACGCATCTCGGAGGTCTTTTAGTGGGCATGCTATAAGGTCATTGCAGACGATTTTATGGTGTTTCTGATCTCCACCATTATTGGCTGCAAATTTAGCAAGGGAATCCACGCACTCATTACCTAAGATCCCTACATGAGCAGGGATCCAAATTAAAACTATCTCCAGACCTTTATCTGAACACTTTCTTAATTTTGATTTAATATCTAAAATAACGGTACTCCGAAATCGATTTTTAAATTGGTTTCCGCTCAGTAATTGCAAACAACTTAAAGCATCTGAGAATACTTTTAGGGATGTTGTACGCTTCTATAAAGTTCACCAGTAAATACCGAACAAACCGAAGAACACTGACATTGCATAGATATTTTCGAATTTTCATAATATGATGACAATGAAATTTAATAAGTCCATCAGTTGTTGGGTTGTTGTCACTCCATCCAAGTCCTTTAAAACACGTCTATGGAGCATGTCCCATACATGCTCGATGGGGTTGAGATCGAGCGATTGTGCAGGCCAAGGCAATACAATGTTTTCCCTTGCCAAGTACTCCCATGTGTGCACTCTTATCCTTCTAGTATTAGGCTTGAACCCAAATCGAGACTCATCGCAAAATAAAATTTTATCCCATTGTTCCCGAGTCCATGTAATGATAACGTTAATGAAGACGGCTAATAACGCATCTGTTGACACCAAAATACCGATATATCTGAGATTGAGTTCTTCCCGCATGCAACATCCCTACAGCTCTTTGCATTTTATCTGCGTTGAAATGACGTCGCTCCATGATGTAAAAAATGACTCAAAATCCAAATTCGTTCAAAACTTTTTTCAAAGTATTGTTTAAATCATAAAATTGATACAGAATACTAAATTTTAATAAGCAAAGAAAACGCTATAAATTCTTTTTTTTTGAATTTGTAAATAAAAAACAAATGATACTCGATTTTTTTTACAACCAACCAGTATATCCTCTAGATCAAAAAAGTTTACATAGGTATTATCTACTTGGTAAGAAATGATATAATAATTAATTAATAATTCAAAATAGTATGTGTTGCTTAGACTTTTTTGATGTGTGTATCATTGTTTAGAAAAAAATCTAAAGGTTCATAACTATAATATTATATAATACAGATTATTAACACGTTAAGCGCCATGTCAGCCATCGGTGGCTGACACTAGACTTTCCGTTTAGGCCGCGTCAGCCATCGGTGTCTGACAGCGTGTAACATGAGAACTATAAAATTTTACACTATTTTACGGAATTACAGAAAATTTATTTAAAATTTACTTTAATTAAATTAAATTAAATTTATTTAAAATTTACAAAAGGAACACCGGTTACGGATACATTTCGATAAAATCTTGTCTAGCACGTCAAACGATAAAGAAAACAAAACAGACTTGTTGCGTAACGTGTTCAATGAATGCCTATAGGAATCACGTTCCAAACGTAAACTACCTTCTACTACGATAGGAAACACCACTTCCTGCAGAACCAGCGCTTCGAAGCGGCGCGCGTGGCCTGAACGGGATTGCTGTAAAAATACGCGTGGCGCTCAACGTGTTAAGAATAAATTAACATCTACGTGCTATAAATCTAAAGTTAATTCTAAGGCGCCATTTCTCTTAACCAAATATTTTAAATTGATAGTGTCTTTTTTTTTATACAACTTAGAATGGCAAACAAGCTGACGGCCCACCTGATGGAAAGTGGTAACCGTCGCCTATAGACACGAGCAGTAGTACCATGGACATAACAGAGTATACTGTCTCGCCCATGATACCCCCCATGTGTTGCTATTCCTGAGGACTCGGGTGTTATTCCTCTGTATCCAGTAAATTCACTGCCATATCCCACCCTTCAAACCGAAACACAGCCATGCAAGCACAATTGCTTCACAGTTGAAACACGAAATTACTGTTTCATGGGCCATTATAAATTAAATTTATAATAGTTTTAAATCTTTTAAAAAATTAGTTTATATTAATCCTTAGGATAAAGATTTCGCTGTGATAACAAATTTTTTTTTTAATTTAGATGCAGGTTAGGAATATAGGTATCATTTTCAGAATCGACCCCATTGAATGAATAAGTGCCACACCATCTCATAAATCGCGTGGTTGATGACCACGCCAACCAGTATATACTTTATTATGGTGAACCATGCAGCGAAAAGGGATGGAATTTTTAGTAATGGGGATATAGCAGCTACACCGATAGCAATATTTTTTTTATGGGTGATAATAATATAGTAGCCCCACCCGCGCTGTTGGTATACACCGGTGGGGCACCAGTGAAGGATGATAGATGAGGATGAAGCAGGTCAATTAGCCCATTGTGACGAATTCAACAAGAATTGTTCAGGATGGTTTCCAGGGGGAGGTCGACCTGATATTGCTAGCAATGCGGCTGTCAAACTCCATTGCTAACAATCCCTTTTCCCCGCTAGCAATATATTAGGTCGACCTCCACGCGGTTCACCTGGAAATCATCGTGGTTGATTCTTATTAAATTCGTCACGATGAGCTAATGGACTTGCTTTAATCTTTATACTTATCATCTCTCACTTCTATAGGTAAATATTCTGAAATACTAAAAAAAGTTTAAACTCCTACCGCAATGCGCGAAGTCAGCTGTGTAAGGTCACAACCACAAGCGTATGAAAACTACCTACAAAGAAGCGCCATTGACTCTACGGTATAGCCCCAGTCACATGGAGCACAGTACGTCGTAAAATTTCAAATACATTGCGCGACATTAGAACTAAGAATCGTTTATTATATGGCTATGGCACTCATTATGGTAGTGATAATCTGCCCTCTGATTCATTTGAATAAGCTGTTTTCATTTTAGGCAACCTGTTCTTCCATACTGTATATTAAACGCTATAACTTCAATCACTAAGCACGATACTAGAAGAATTTTGAAATATGGATTACTTTAAAATTTTGCTATTTATAGATTCAAGAATAATATTTTGAATTTATCGATGTTATACAAGCGATATCGAACCCTTAAGTCTTAGATTTTGCCTCACTTTGCGTGTTCTACTGCTTGTACAACGAATTCTGCTCAGAGGAACTGTTCAATATGATGCCCACGGCCACTTTCTACCATCGTACCGCTCACTATCGACAGGGAGTTCATCCTCATACCCTACAGCCTAAATAGTCGCGTACAATGCAGTTTCAGAGATATTTTATCCCACGACCACCTAAGTTATGGAATGATCTCACTGCCAAGATTTTCCCAAGAGACTATAGCATGCGGTTCTTCAAAAGGGGGGTAAAGAGGTTTCTTCAGTATCGGCAACTTGCGCGTAATACCCCTGGTATTGCAGGCATTCATAGATTCATACTTCTGCCAAATCAGCTTCGAACCTTTGTTGTGCAAATTATTATCTGTTTCCCTTTAACATACAGGTTATTATATTTTCTGTCGCGTGTCGTCATTACCAGTCTATATACTTTATAATCTAAGGTTTTGTCACTTTCAAATTGAGAATTGAGTATAAAAGGAATCAAATTTTATGAATAAGTAGGTAAGTTCATTTAAAGTACGACTTACAAATTAAAATAACTCGGCAATCACTATTATTTTACTATGAACAAAGAATTACTTAGAAGGAATAATAAAATATAAAATTGTAAATCATATGGTTGCCTCCTTTGTTCTTATACAAATATAATTAGTAAAAAGAAGATGAAAGATATACTATCAGTTGCTATTTTTGTCAATTCATAGCAGGCTAATGTATAAAAAATGTTATATGGCCGTATAACCCTACCAAATTCAGATACAACCTGCTTGCATACTTTCTACATAAACTGTGCCGAATGTATAATCTAGTATGTAAATTAACAAAAATTTTACATACACATTTTCTATATATTAGCCTGCTATGAATTGAGCAAAATAGAATCTGATGATGTATCTCTCGTCCTCTTTTTACTAATTATATTTGTATAAAAAGAAAGGAGAAACCATATAATTTACAGTTTTTATTTTATCATGCCTACTTTGTATTTAGCCGTACAGCCGTCAGTCAGTCAGTCCATATTTTTTGCAAATAAATAGTCATTCATTTCATTCATTCATTCATTGTAATTCCTTGTTTGTAGTTACTTTACGTCATTATTATAAATCACAATTCTCTACGGTCAGAAAAAGGCGGGAAAACTTGTAACGCGAGGGCGGAAATTTTAAATTCATTTTATTTGTTTAATATTTATTTGTTGCTTCTCCTAGTTTCTTTTACTTATTTCTCCAATTTAAGCCCTCGTGTGTTGTTAGAGGATTAGTGCGAGTCAAGCGGAGGCAAGTTAAAAAGAAGAAAAAAAAATACTTCCATATCTGATGAAGAGCCAGATGCTAAGATGAGTATTAAATTTACTCACTCAAAAAGAGGACTGTTTAAAGATCAAAATTACCTATATTCTGACACTACTAAAAATGAATATTTTATCCTGTTGTCTCCTATTGAGGGCAACGATGTAAACTTATTGCAAGTCAATTCTATTCTGAGGACTGTACCTGGTGTAGTCTATATTCGTACTATGGGTCCTACTGCATTCAAAATATGTTTTCGATCAATGAAACAGGCTAACGAATTTTTATTAAATAAAGATTTATTAGAGAAACATAAACTTCAGGCTAGGATACCCAATAATCAGCTGGAATCTCAGGGAGTTATAAGAGCTCCTACTGAAATATCTGAGGAAAATCTCTTAAATAACTTAAAATCTACTGTAGATATTATCGGTGTTAAACGTTTCAAAAAAAAGAAAGAAGATGGAAGTTTTCATCCTCTTCCTACAGTTTTAGTAACTTTTCTCTCTACGCAGCGACCTGATCACGTAACGTATGATCATATTTGGCTGGATGTGCGTGAATTCATTAGACCTCTACTCCAATGCTTCACTTGTTACAAATTTGGTCATGGAAGCAGTTCCTGCAGAAGTAAGCAAGTTTGTTTCATATGTGCCGGTGCCCATGATTATAGATCCTGTATCAACAAAGAGAATCTTAAATGTGTTAATTGTAATGGACAACATGTAGCAGTATCTAATAGCTGTCCCACTAAATCGATGAAATTGTCTCAAATCAAAGATAAAATTCTAGGCAAAACATCTTATGCATCAGTGACTTCAAAATCGGTTAACTCTGTACTTAATTCAAATACCCCTGTGTCTATTAACAGCTCAACGCAAAATAAATCTCCTCAAAAAAGGGCATTAGTTACTGACATCATTAACTCAGACATTGTACTCAATACAATTACTAAGACTGTTATTGAGCTAGTTAAGAAAGCTCAAACTAATTCTGATACAATTTCATCCAAATTAATTAAGGAAATACTCATATCTAATTTTTCAACATGACCATTACATCTTTAAAGGAAATTAATATTGTTCATTGGAACTCAAGAAGCTTTCTGCCTAAAATATTTCAATTTAAAAACTTTATTTACAACTTTACATCACATTTTGATATCATTTTACTAAATGAAACTTGGTTTGATTCTAACAAAATCTGTAAATTGTCTGGTTACAATATTGGTTTGAAAAATCTAATGTTTTTCTTGGTAGACAATATTATAGTACATTAAGTAGATTGCGGATAGGTCATTGTAAATTTCCTGCACATTTGCAACGTATTAATTTATTGGATAATTCTATCTGTAAATACTGCCAAAACATTTTTTCTGATTTGGATCATATTTTTTTTGTTTGTCCTAAATTCTCACTTCAACGGTTACTTTTTATTTGTCAATGTCAAGATTTATTAAAATATCAAAATATTCCTACTTCAGTGCAGGATCTACTAAAACATACCATTTTGTACCAAGAAATTTTTAATTATATTACTTCAACAATTGGTGAAATTTAAATATGTAATTGTAACTTATACTTTTCTACTTAACTTACTTTCTTAGTATATTATAATTAATTTATAACTATAATAATTTTTGTAATTTGTTATTATTTTATTATTATTATTATTTATTTAATTGTTACTTTTTGGCTGATGGCTTTCGCCAAAGTCACAATAAATGAAAAAAAAAAATCTCTATGGTCTATGGGTATCTTTGATAACTATTTCAATTTTCTGCAACGTGAATCTCTGTAGACATAGTCTCTCTAATCTGTGGCGAATCCCTCTCTTGTTTGTGGATTTGTTTCATGTTTAATTTTTTTTATATATACTATACTACAATAAATTTCATTTCTTTCGTGTTCTTTCTTTTTGAATGCTAAATAATCTATTAAATTAAAGTAATTTATTTAAAGTGTTTCAAATACGCACCTTGTTAATTGTATTTAATATTTGTAATGAAAACTAAAAAAATTGCATGATATATACACACGACCTGCGTGACCTAGGTTTCTTTGGCCATCCGTGGATGTAACTACAACAAACTAATTGTTGGGAACACCTTCCAAAATATTTAAGCAGTATATCTGCAGTTACGCAAGAAATACTGGTAAGAATTTCCGAGATCATCGACCTGAAACAAGTGAAAGGATTGAGAAACCTTATTTCACGTAGTGAGTTGAACCGGCGTGCAATGTGATTATGTCTCGAAAGAGAACTCGGTTAAGCAGCGAAGAGGAAATGAGTGGGAAGTTGTTAGAGATGGGCTCTGGAGAACAGAATGGAAGTGAAACCAGTTTCACAAGCAGCACCAATCTGCCCCCCACGGATTCTATTCAGGTTAGTAAATATTGATAATTTGATAACATATGTATAATTTTGTCCCCAGTAATATAGTAATAGTATATATATATATATATATTAGCTTTTGTAAAGAAGCTGTGGTCGAGGGGGATTCTTCCTATCTTTCAAGGAAGACTGTCAAATGTGAATAAATTAAATAATATTTTTTTGGAACTTAATTACAAATATATGTATGAATAGATATATTGTAATTTGAAAATTATTAAATTTTAATTTAAAACTTAGAAAATTATATTTGAAATTTTGGTGCTTTTAGTATCATGAAAATTTCAGCTCTAGCTAATTCTTGAGTATATCATCACCTAAAACTCTTAAAAAACTAAGATTGTCATTTCATGATGTATAGTATTTATGCTCTTATAACTAATAGTGCTACATTTATTAGTAAAAAATTAAGAATCTTAAGCACTATTCAATCCCAATGGTTCGAATAGTGGTTAAAATCCTCAATTTAATTATACTTATTTTTTAACAGTATCATTGTTTTTTTTTTTCATCTTAGGTTTATATAAATTCATATTGTCCATTTTTTCATTTTAAGTCTTACTTGTTGAAAAGTACTAGGTTACAGAGCATTATGTTGAAATACTTCAGGAATTCCATTATTATATACTCGGTAAAATGATGGTAAAAATTATACCATATCCTTGCCAGTTTAGAAATTTGTAAACAAATCTTAACACATCAGTGAAGAGTTTCTGGGGTATAATGCCACCAGGTTTTATATCTTTGAGCATTTGAATTCATTGATTTACTGTAGACTTTAATATTCCAATAATTATTGTAATAGTCAATCTGACATTGCTCTTATACTCATATTGTGTACATCTGTCTCAACTGAATAAAAGGCTTTCTCATAGGCTGCATGTTCTAGACTTAATGCTAGATTATACTCTGGTCTTCAGTATAATATGCCATGACATATGTATTTGATGTATAGAACTAAAGCCCTTGTCTGAACTCTGATTAGTCTAGAGCAGTGTTTCCCAATCTTTTTTGTGCCATGCCCCACTTAAACATTTTTAAAATTTTTATGCCCCCATGCATAATTTTTCCTGACAAAGTTTACTTGACAACTCTAATTGTCCATTTGATAGATAGATAGATAGATACTCTTTATTGTTTCCTCCAAAAGATTACAATAGTAAACTTATTATAAATATAAATAATTACAAGAAATAATCACAGTGAGAAAACAATGGGCGACTTTATCGCTAAGAGCGATCTCTTCCAGGCAACCTTTGGATGGAGAGGAGTAATTATAAACAATTTGGTGGGAGGCACGATGAAACATTTTGTTAGTTCTAAATATGGGAGATGTTATACATATAATAATATAAATAAAATAAAATAATATAAAATAATATAAATTTTCGTAACATCAAATAAAATTATACCTAATAAATATTTAAATTTGGCACGGATATGTACTTGTAGCATTGCATTTAAATGGCTCAGAGCAAGAGGGTTAAATTCCCTTGGAGTCCATTTTTAATTGCCCCCCATAACTATCAAATTGGCCACCTGTAGGGTGTAAGCCCCATGTTGGGAAACATTGGTCTAGAGGCTGGTAATTGTTAAGTATGCTTGTGAGGCAATATGTCCAATATGTAGTATGTCAAATAAGCTGATGGCCCCTTGTTGAAAGCAGTGATCCCTGTCTATAGACATGAGAAGCAATATGAGAATTACACCTATTAATAAACTTAGTTTTTTTCTATATTACAGACACATTTTACAAAACAGACAACTAGACTCATACAAACAGTCATAATTATAATGATTTATGTGCAGTAAATATGGCTTTGTGTACTTATAACTTGTATAATTGTATTTATTGTAAACTAGCGAATGTGAAAGGGACTCCATTTTCCGCACTTAGCCTCTCATTTGGGCCATTGTGCGTATATTGTAAACTAGCTTTTACACATAACTTCATCCTTTTAACTGGGATAAATTAGTTGGCTACTTAAATAAAGTTTATGTTAAATTTTAAATATATACAGAATATCTTGATCCATCAATTTATTAAATTTATGTTCACATTTATAATATTAAAAATTAATTGTATAACTAGAAGTTACCAGTGATAAATACTTCATATATACCTTTTATTGTGATTGGTTTAACAAAAAGGTAACAAAGTCACTTTCATTTTTAAAATATCGAGTGTATATTTATATACATTTGACAGTATTCATTTAATATGAGTATAGTCTAATATCAAATTGTACAATCACTAATATATAATGAAACTACATTATATTTTTTACATCTTTAGTTAGGGAATGGTAAATGACTATTATAAAATTTTGTGTACAATATTTTTTTTTTCACCAAGTAGTAACAGTTTTTCAAAAGCCACATCAACAAGATATTTAAATTGATTAATACCTAATGCTATAAGTTTTCTTTTTCTATACTCATAAGTACAAATATTTAGATAGTGCACAGAACAGGAATCAAACTGGCCATCATCGGAAGTTGAGTCAGCTTGTTAATTTTGTTTTATTTTAAAAAATTGATGTTCTCAATACTTGTACTTATCTAATTATGATTTAGACTTCTAGGTCAATCCATTAAATGTTTGTTTTGATGACAAGTCATTACATGTTATAAACCCATCTATGCGTGATGCGTTTTCCCAGAAGCAGTATGTATAATATGAAAATGAAATCAATAGTTTGGGCACGGTGCCAACAATGTGGCGTGATCACTGACCATGTGAGAAATGTGTTGCACAACACAAGCATGTCGGTCAGTACATTGCTATCGGACTGCCATAAATACGGTAATACACCCCCTCATTCAAACACGCTATGATATATAGTTGACACTATTACTCCTGTAATTCCTAAATGAACAGAACATAAGTGAGGAGGGCTTAGCTCGAGAGAGACAGACAGTGGTATATATATATCTATGGAATAGTACTATTAAGTGCTGTATGACCACTAATTAGGTGAGATGACGCGAGCGTTCATAGATAATTGGATATTTACAAATCCATCGAGTCTTAGATAATATGCAAACAATATTATGCTTCTACATACGTAAGGTATTTTATCTTTGTTTACAAGGATTTTCTATTTTTTGGTTACCACTAATTCATTATAACCAGTTTTGCCTTAAGGCATTGTCAAAGGTATCAGGACTTACAATCTGTCAACTCGTGAATACAATTAAAATTACGTTATGGTTTCACCTATTATTCCATATTTAAAAATTACTATTCAATAGGCTCAATACTGTTTACTTACATATGGTTCCATAAGATAGGTTCAATTTTATTTCTGGCCGTTTTTTAACTCAATTCAAGGTTTCAAGCTATCCAAATCCCAGCCCTAGACCTCTGAATTTTCAATTTCATGTTTGGATAATTTTTAGCACGCTTAAGACCTCGTTGGGTGACAATTTTCAATATAACGAAGGCGGCCTAGAAACTCTTGACATTAAAGAATGACACCAGTAATAATATACCCTTACGAGTAATAGTACTACACAATCAAAGGTGTCTTCGATATCAGATTGTATTATGTCGTAATGTTGGTAAATCGGCGTGCATCCAACTAGAAGTACCTATCTATTAGTTTTTTGGCGAACTGATCTCGGTCATTGGGCCGGTCATTACCCTTTGCGAAATGAAATCTCAACAAGAGTACACTTTTGTAGTAATATTATATAATATTGTTGTGGATTGAACGCTTCTTTTATATTATAATTATTTTTCGCGTCACTGAACTACGTAGTAATGGAGTAAAAATAAAATATGACGGTTACTACTCCTTTTCGTCCGCAGAATGTGTCAGATGTCAGGAGGAAAACTGGAAACAAAGTCCTATACATTTCCGTCTAGTCAGCGTATTATATTAAGCCGATGTCCTTCTCTTATGCCGAAATATTCGTACCTAAACTAGGATTTTAATGGGTTGCTCTGGTACCTACTCACATTATGACTTCAACATTTGTTTCGAACTTGCTAGGTTTAATATAGGTGCCTAGCAAGTACGCAACTATTAATTATAATTCATTTATCATTAGCGACATTCCATACAATTACGTGGTCGTGTTGCGTCATACTGTACCTATACAGAGCTAACAATTGAGTAGATGTAGGTTCGATTAAAATTTTGTTTCATATTTTGCCTTCATCATATTTTGGGCTAACAATCTCTAACATACACATACAAATATAGTTTGTCCATGAAATTAGGATAATAAGATACCAGACAAAGAACGTCCAAACCATCCATCACTATATATAGTTCATCGCAATATCTTACCTCGTTCTTTACCATAGTATAGTTTTAAATAAATATTTACGGAAATAAACTAGAAAACTAAAATAAGAACTTCAACTGTACTTTGTGAGGAGCTAAATTTATAAATAGAAATATTGAGCAGTATAATGTATAGGTAAATATCTATTTACGCAGAACGACTATTTATTTACTATAATAATTGCACGGTATAGTAAATATCGTCAACGTAAGCATAAATAACTACTAGGCGAAGACCTTGATAATTTTAATTAATACACAATTATAATGAACAAGATAAATATAATATAATTATTATATACAAAAGTACAAGGAAAGAAGACGAACAATATAATAGATATAGAATTAGAACAGATAACTAGGTGATAGGTGATGACAAACCCAAAATCTTCCATTTAATTTATAACTATTAACTGATTTTAATAATGGAATAAAACAAAAACATACGCATATATTATGTCGACTAAATAATTGTTGTTCAATGAATGTGACTTTGAAATTGCAGTAAAAATATTATACTGAGACTGCTTTGAAACTGTTCAATACTAACGCACAGATGCGTATTTGTATAGCGCCATAATTAAAATGCGTATAAATATTAGTCATTTCATTAATCCTATTAGGTTGGTGATATAATCAACATCGTATGATATACATTAAATCACTATTTTTTTTTTGTTTTTGTATAATTAAAAT